GGAACTACCAGATCTTTGATCGAGAACTCCTCGCAGTTATTCGTGCACTAACCGAATGGCGTCACTACTTGGAAGGACACCCTCACCCCATCATCGTATTCACCGATCATAAGAACCTCCTCTACTTTAGAACAGCACAGAAGTTAACCCGCCGCCAGGCACGATGGCAGTTGATCCTGTCTTGTTATGACATTGAGCTGCACCACGTAGCAGGAACTAAATTGGTCGCCCCTGATGCCCTATCTCGCCGTCCTGACCATGGCTCAGATTCCGCTAATGATAACACCGATGAAACCCTCCTCCCCGATTCTATGTTTGTTCGACTTCTTGACGTCGAACTCATGACCACCCTCGTAAATCCTGATCCCTCCGATCCCGACCCCATCTTTACCGCCGCATCCGATGCACTCGACGGCTTGTCCCTTCCTCCTATGAAATCTGCCCTCGCTGATTGGAAAATCACCGATGATATCCTCTATTATAAAGATCGCGCCTACGTCCGGCCTGCTGGTCGACATCATATCTTAGAACGATGTCATGATCACCCCTCCGCCGGCCATCCTGGCCGTTTCAAGACTGAAGAATTAGTTAAACGCGATTTTTGGTGGCCCGCTATGGGCACCTATATTCGCAAATACGTCGAAGGTTGCGCCCTCTGTCAACAGATGAAAGCCGATACCCATCCAACGAACCCTCCCCTTGTTCCTATCCCTTCCGTTGCCGTCGCACCTTTCACCCAGGTCTCTGTTGACCTGATCACCGACCTCCCTCCCTGTTCTGGTTTTGATTCGGTCATGGTCGTGGTCGACCATGGGCTTACGAAGGGGGTAATTCTCATCCCATGTACTAAAACCATCACTTCCGAAGGGGTCGCCAGCAAATTTTTCAAATACGTCTACCGCCGATTCGGCCTACACGAGAAAGTCATTTCTGATCGCGGCCCACAATTCATATCCAAATTCTCCAAGGCTCTCGCCAAACTGCTGAAATACGATATAGCGGCGTCAACCGCTTACCACCCTCAGACCGACGGACAAACGGAACGGCTCAATCAGGAGCTAGAAACTTATCTTAGGATCTATTGTCGAAATAACCCGGAAAACTGGGTGGAGCAGCTTCCTATGGCGGAATTCGTCCATAATCATCGCAAACATGACTCTCGCAACGCATCGCCATTCTTCCTAATGATGGGATACGAACCACGAGCCCTTCCGCATGTCCTCCCCAGCTCCACGGTCCCAGCCGCAGAAGATAGACTCCGCACGCTCCAAAAGTCAAGAGAAGAAGCACTCTCTTGCCACAACCTTGCAATGCAACGTATGGCAGAAAGAACTCACGGACAAAAATACCATCCATGGAAAGTTGGAGATAAGGTTTGGTTATCCGGGAAGAACCTAATCACACAGTTACCATCGCGAAAACTCGCCCCAAAACGATACGGTCCATTCCCAATCACCGCCGTCCTATCCCCCATCACATTCACACTCCAGCTACCACTCCAGTGGAAGGTTCACCCCACGTTCCATGCTTCTGAACTATCGTCCTATCATGAGACAGAGATTCACGGACCGAATTTTCCTGATCCACCCCCTGATGTCATTGATAACGAAGAAGAGTACGAGGTTGATGCGATCCTATCGCACAAAGGGACGGGTAAACGAAGACGCTATCTCTTATCGTGGAAAGGATACTCATCAGCCAGTAACGAGTGGGTTCCAGAAGGAAACCTCGATAATGCCTCTGAAGTCCTCAACGCCTATAAAAAGGCCCATGGATTATAGATTTCCCTCAGAATGTCCTCCATTGAACGACTCCGCCTCTGTATCCTCCGCATCCAGGAAATCACTGCTGCTATGAACCTCGCCGCCGAAAGAGAAGCACACCCCGTAACACTCCAAGAATATCAAAACGCCACCGCCGCCGACTTCGCACGACACGCATACTCCCCCGTACCCTCACCAGTTTCTGATACCCTACCCGACCCTTACCGATTATTTTTCGGTCATCGACCAAGTCGAAACTAGCGCTCTATTTGAGTCAGCTATCACTTCCCAGCAGTACGCTATCGAGATTGACCGCCTCCTCGGGGAAAGAGGAGCAATCTCTAGCGGCCTTATAATCAGAATCATCAGAGACGCCAGCCTCATTGAACGCACCGCCGCCCTCCTCGATGATGAACGTCATCAAACTATTTTTCGTCATCTTCATATACGTATTCGCAACACCGCCATCCGTCTTCTCCCAGAAGAGACCAGAGACGCTATCAGAGAAGCCATCCACATCGTCACCGAGCGAATCGCTCTTAACCCCATCGCGAGACCACCATCACCCCACATTGCTATCCCTGTACCACAACCAATCCCCGCCGAAGTCACGGCTCCCGCTGCCACTACCATGGACAGCCCGGATGATAATATCCCTCCTATTGCCGTACTTGACGTACCAACTTCTCCTTCTCCTGACCCAGTCGCACGCACCAAACGACGATTCCCGTTAAAACGGAGATCCTCTCGTCTCGCCGCCAAGCGCGCCGCCTCCGTCTCCCCTATTAAACCACCGATCAAAAGATCACGGTCACCGTCCCCCCCAGAGCAATCCTCGTCCGTCACCATTGTAAAAACGTCACCGGTCGACAATGTCATATGTCGTAACTGCCACATCGCTGGCCACCGTCACAAGAACTGCCCCGCATACTATTGCAGGGTTTGCCGAGAATACGCGCCCGGCCACCTGTCGGTCTTTTGCAAAGACCTGAAAGGAGAAGCGGTTATTCCATTAGTATGGACTGACGTCGGTTTCTACGATGCGCTCGCTCGTTGGGAGATCGAGCAAGACGGTATCGCTCACGCCGAAGAGATGGCGCAATCCCTCTCCATCACGGAGGAGCAAGACGACCTCCTCCACTCCAACTACGACGCCGACCCTATTTACTGGGCCAACCAAGATATGTGAAGTCGGTGACTTCATCGCTAAACAAGGGGTAATGTTACGGTAACAGTTGCCCCTATATCATTTTCTTACTCTTCCTTGTATTACGTCATGACCGCACGACATCGTGCCATCACTAGACCCGTCTTGTCACATGTATTACAGCGCGACCGCTCCACGCCATCGTTAGCTGACCAATTCTCTTATCTCTGACTCGTCTTGATGACGTCATTTCTCTTATCTCTGACTCGTCTTGATGACGTCTACGAACCTACCCTAAAGTAGGCCCTACCTATATAAGCAGGTCTTGTACTTAGATAGTCCTCACTTTAATCTACTAGGTTTTACCCAGAACATCCCTCGCTTAAAGACCCCCAATCTTTAAGCGTCTGATATCGATATTCGAGTCGGAGACACTCTCTCCAACTTGTCTTAGAAAGACCCTTACATTTGTGAGGTTAACGACCCGGCTTTAGACGTCACTCTTATCGAGTGTCTATCGTCGAGCCCATCCTAGTCGACCTACGGTTCGCCGTAACACATACTATCATCGTCAAGATGCTTTTCTAGCTCCTGTGCGTGTCGCATGGCCACCTGTTTGCGCTGAGGTGACAGTATAATAGATGGGCTTGAAGTGTGTGATTGCGACGAGGCTCGGAAGATGTCGCTGAATGCTGAAAATTGGTCATTGATTGCGTAGAGTGCCCCTGCTGATCCGCTAAACTGACGGCATTTTGATGGTGGACCAGAGCTTGTAGTACCAGATCCAGAGGCAGTGAGGGAGGGTGTTGAAGACCGGGTAGATATGAACTTGCGCTTGACCGTGGTTCTGACAGGAGTCACCTCCCAAGGAATAATATCGTCTTCGTTGTCGTCCTCAGCCACTACCTCTCTCTCAGCAACCGTTTTCCCTTTGTCACTGACCATTCCTGCTACTTGCTCCTGGTCCTTGACATACTCATCAACTAACCGCTCTACCTCATCTTCCACAACAGGTTGAGTATTGTTTCCGTTGGCCTGGTCATCGTCAGGGGGTGCTTGTTCAGACTCGAACGTCTCATGTCCAGCATGGAAGGCGTTGGTACCGCGAGGGCGTTGTGTGCACATGAGTTCATCCATCTCGTGGAAGTGTTCCCAGCCCTTGTTGTGAAATGGTTTGGTATCAGGACGTGTCTGCAAACTCATAATCATATCAGTACCCCTCTCATATCATAACTGAAGCGCACCTTTGCAAATGCCATCCAACGAGCGGCATCAGCAGGACCAATATTCGCACCAAGTTCATCATCCCATGAAAAGCCTGATTGAGATTTGATATCGATAATAGCAGCATATTTTTTTTTGCACTGTGCAAATTACAATCAGAATATAATCTAGCATGAGCAGAGAACGTACATTTAACCACTTGTTCTTGCATGATTGCCAGTCCCTGCCAGATCCCCCTACATGGTTTTCCTTCGAAACACCATCTGGCGGCTCCTGCAAATGAGTTGATGCGCCAGTAAAAGTAGACTGTTTGAATCCTGTCCCATCTCCACCTTCAGCACAGTGAGCTATGAGGTATTCGAGAAGGCGGGATGTCTCTTCGACAGTCCAGCGAGCAACTGCTAAAGTCCCGGCATTGTTTGCTGAAGGTACAGTAGTCTTTTTCTTTGCCATAGCAGCGGTAAAGGGAGGTATGAGTGGGCATTTGAGACCGTCACACAAAGGTCACTGTTGGTCACTGTTATGTCACAAGTGCCACGCCACATACAGAAACAAACTGAGAAACAAACTGAGAAACAAACGGCAGCTGTCCAGGCCCTAAAGTTTTACAGTGAGAAGACGCCCACTACCGCGTAATTGCCAGATGGGGATCAGGCCTGGGCACAATAGGAAAGAATAGCTATTAGCAACCACCTGCAACCACATATGGGACAAATAATTGCGATAGCCTATAGGCGTGCGCATTGTCTGGCAACTGGGCGTACAACCGTCTCCACATCTCTTGTTTTCTTACTATCATCATCTAACGATACCATCTCATCTGCAAGATACCCCACTCATTCAATCTACACTAACAGACCAGCACCATGAACACCTCTCCCGTACACAACCGCAAGGGCAGCTTCCTCACTCAGCTCTTTGCACTACGTCGCAAGAATCAAAATACGCATGTCGAGCCCTACATTCATGATCCTGTTGTTGATGCACCACCGCCACCTCCTCCCAAAGATCACAAGCGGGCATCGACGTCTACGCAGCGACCTTTCCTAGGAGAAGAATACATTAACGAGAAACCCCTTCTGTTCGATGTCGATCTTAACGTCCTAGCGCGGCCACCGCAGCCTGCCTCGCAGCCAATCCCCGTCATCCAGAAAATACCCCCACGGATCCCTGCCAAGGCGTATTCACCTCCTATCATACCGTTGACGCCCGAAGAGAAAGCGCGCCGTAGATTAGCTGCGCAGCACCAATCCGAGCTGGAAAAAGAAGCTATGTTGAGGGAAGAACACGAACGCCAAGAGACGAAACGACGTGAGAAACTGGAGCAAGAACGCCTAGAGCGTGAGGAAGAAGAGGAAAGGAAGGCAGTGTTGCAAGAGGAGCTGCGGGCTGCGGCGCTAAGAAAAGCGAGACTGGAGAGAGAGGAAAGAGAAATAGAAGAACAGCGATTGCAAGAGCTACGAGAGAGAAAACAGCTAGAGAAAGAGCGGAGGCTACAATACACGAAGGAAATGGAGCGGTGGCGAGCAGAGCAGATGCAGCGCGCCGAATCCCAATGCAGTGAGAAGGAGGAAGAGCGTAGAAGGTCGGTGGAAGGGAGACGCATGAGAGTTGCTCGCATGAACGAAGAAGTATTCTCCGCCAGCACGGCAGATAGGATGGTAGGTTGGGTCACGGTACAACCACCCAACATGCTTGCGTGGAAGAGGCGATATTACAAATTTGAACTGGGCCATGCAGAATCCAAGATGCTGCTATACGGAAATCCAAGGGTGAGCTTAATTCATTCCCATCTCGTTCGAGTTTCATGAATGTCCAGGAGGTTGTTAAACCCCTCGACGTCCTCCCTCTGGACGGACAGATCGATTCGCTTGCGGAATGGTACGAGGGCTTCGAGGAACTAGAAGCAATCCCCTACTCGTTTGCTCTGCGCTTTGTCGATGGCGTCGAATGGCGGATGTTTGCAGATTCAGCAGAAGAGAAGGTACTAATCCATACTATTTGGGCTCGATTCTGGCTTACATGATGGTTAGGACCGACTGCTGGTGCTACTGAGCGAAGCGGCGGGCATAATCTTGTGAATGATCTGTGAAATTTTTATTTGTTAACTTACAAGAGACGTAAACGGCGAGGGATGATATAAATGTGTATTCCTAGTAGCAGAGCCCATATGTAGTTTTTTTCTAGTCCTTCAGCTGGATATGAAGGTCAAATGACACATTCAATAGGTGAATACCGTATGACATACCAGTTGCCGCTGCTACTTACGGCGAGCTTGCAAATGGTGTGGGGATTAACACCTAAGTGTCGTACCTTCTAGTCTCAACTTGCGCGCAGAGCCTCGTCTATGATATAGCGCCTCCGATATCAGTGTTCTTCATTAATGCCCCAAAAATGAAAATTCGGCGCTTGCTCGAGGCATTCCAGCCTCAGGGCCAGCGACAGACACAAGAGCTCTGGCGTTTAATAATTAAAGAGAAATACATGCTGGAATAAACTTTCCTCAAAGTGACGTTTCGCAGTCAAAGCAAAGCTTCCAACAACGTGCAAGGAAATCGCCTAGTCAATCGCTTTCATGCTCGTGATGCTGGACAAGATTTAAAACGAGGCGTTCAAAGTGATTGAATTCCCGCGGGCGTCTACCAAACCTAACCAAACAGTGACATTCATTCGCTTCTGCAAAGTGCCAGCTAAAAAGCACTTCACGTCCTTGCTAGTGGAATGTTTTCAGTGATCGTGCGCGGCGCAGCTCAACGACGCGCTCTCCCAGCACTCCGTCACTTTTCAACGCCACCTCCATCACCTCCTCAAAATCCCCTTCCTCCGCCTCCGACGTCACTCCCAAGCCTTGACTTCCAACCTGCGGAACCAGAACCAGAAAAGACTCAGCGCACCGGTGCAAAATCATCCAAGGACTCGCTTTCGAGTATAGAGCGAAAGAGACGGTTTTTAGGACGTCTATCTCTTGGTGTGCTCGCAGTTGCTCTCGGTGTGCAAGTCGTGTATCTCGGTAGAGATTGGGAAACGGATGAGTTAAAAGAACGAAAGCAGGTGCGTCTATAGTTGGAATCCTCGTTCAGCGCTTATTAATTTCCAAAAAGACGGTGGAGGAGGCTCCGTCAGGAAGGTGGGATCGAACGAAGTCGAGGTTTTGGGAGCTGTTCGATGTACGTGACACAGCTAATCCCATAGCACACTAGCTCATAAATTTATTGATCACGTCAACAGTACTTCAACAAACCCCAATGGCCAGAACTACTCCCACCACCTCTTCCAGCTCCTCATCAAAAACCGTACACCCTCCTGCTGTCCATGGATGATCTCATTATCACGTCAACTTGGGATGTAGGTCGGCTCGTTCAAGTTATGGGCATCGCTGATGATATCTCTCTTCAGCGACAGCAAGGATGGCGGACAGCCAAACGCCCTGGCGTTGATTATTTCCTTGCCTACCTGTCCCAGTTCTACGAAATTGTGATATTTACAACCCAGCACCATTATGTACGTATTATCCCCATTACGACAAGAGTCGACGCTCAAAACCAACAGACCGCCATGCCCATAATTGAGAAACTTGACCCATATAATTTCTTCATCACTTATAAACTGTTCCGCGAAGCTACACGATCAGTGGACGGTAAAATCGTCAAGGTAACTCTCATCATCTGTTAAACTTCTACTTTATCTCTATCGTCGACTATTCATTAAAACCTTGTCTTCTCCCAGGACCTTTCTTATCTCAATCGTGACCTCTCGAAAGTCATTCTCCTTGATACGCATCCGGAACATGTAAGCTCACATCCCGAAAACGCCATCATCATCCCAAAATGGACTGGTGCACCCGGAGACAAGGGCTTGATTGCCATGATCCCTTTCTTGGAGTGTATGTTCACACTTTTGACTCTTTTCAGTAAACCTTGATCGAATTTTCCCGTATAGCCATTGCAATTTACAAATCTCCTGACGTGCGACCCATCCTCGAAGCGTATACTGGAAAAGATATTCCTATCGAATACGCGGAGAAGGAGGCAGAAGCAAAGCGAAAGCATATCGAGGAGTGGAAGAGCAAGGCGCGTGGATTATCCAAAGGCGGGTTTACGCTGAGTGGCATGTTCGGTGGCCCCAGTGAAGTCAATTTGTTCTCGCCCTCTTTACGTGCCACGACTGACTCTACTACTCTGCAGTCCTCGCGCGCGTCTGTCCCTTTGACATACCTCGAGCAGAAACGCCTTGAGGCCCAGCGGCAGTATAAAGAGGAGCAGTTGTACATTGCGACGCACAAGGACGAGTTTGAACGGCTGTTGGAGGAGGATAGGCAGGCAATGGCGCGGGAGATGAGCGGGAGTCTGTGGGGCGCGTTGGATGCGATGGCAGGGAAGAAGGCAGATGCTGCGAAGGCGGACGCGGATGCGAAGGGAACGAAGGTGCAGGTGCAATAGATGGATTGTGATGCACACAACTAGACTGGAGTTATTTACATCTAGGCACACGTATTTGTTATTGTCATTATTGCTCTCCACTCTTGCACTGCAACGGTCACCCTTATAAGTAAGTATTCGCCAGAATCACTGGTCTCCAGCGTGTGCCAGTCTTGAAGCTCGAGGTATCATATTGATGCTGCTTGAATACTCGCTTGACTTCCTCCAAGATCTCTAGTGTCACGATCAGCCAACTTGGGCCCGCCAGTTTGTCGTCCAATGTTGACTACGAAATTGACCGCAGCCACGGGTGAGTAGATCGCACTTGCACTTGTATTCATGCTCGGCACATATGATTCTAGTTCTCAGCTGCATGTGCACTATCATGGTGTATAGTCATTCCTTACGAGTCCGGTACTACTGCTAGTACATGTTCAAGCAAGTAGTTCAAGCTCGTGACGTGTCCCTTCTCCTGGAGTCCCGTTGAGATGGTGGAACACATGACACAACAATGCAATGTGCAGCTTGAAATTCCCTCAAATCCATCCAAAACAGCTATTTTCTGTTTGGTTTCCCAATCGGCAGGATAGTTCATCTAAGGTTAAAGGTCCGTCTTATCTCAAGAGTCTTAAAGAAGGAAGACAGTCTAAGAACCGCTGGATCTGCCAGCTCACCAGTCACGATGTCCACGCAGTTTTGTTATCAATCTCTATCCACCAGCAGCTCCATCAGGCTTCTCCGAATTCGCAAATTCGTTTCCACCTTACAATACGACCTCATCGAGGTCAACCTCGACAATAACCCCGTTTATGATGCGCTGTCCTATACCTGGCATCTGGGGAAAAAATCAAGTGCGACATCCGGAGTTGATTCAGAGTTTGGAGGGTCTATCAACTGCAATGGGATGAAGCTCAACGTAACTGCCAACCTTCGAGATGGCTTACTTCGTTTGGAGCAGCTTCGCCAGGAAACGCTCATCTGGATCGATGCGATTTGCATTAATCAACAGGATCTGCAAGAACGCAGCGCCCAGGTCAACATGATGGGCCGCATCTTTCGCTCTGCACGTACGGTGGTAGTCTGGCTTGGAGAGCCACCAGGAGACTACGCAGATACCATTCGATTCATGGAGCGGCTGCCCTGTATTAGGGAGCAGCAGTCTGAAAGTGTGTCAGACTATGAGGATGCTGCTGTCGCTACACTGCGTGAGATGACCCCTCCCGCCTCCAGAAGTGACTGGCTTTCCATCGGTGATTTCTTTATCCAAACATGGTTCCAACGATGTTGGATCATCCAAGAAACTGTTCTCGCCAGTACCATTGAGGTCTATAGTGGACCAACCCGTATCCCCTGGGGTCTGCTGCAAAATGCTGCGCGGCTCTTTGACGTGGTCCGCCGCTGGACCTTTTACTTCAAATCGTCGCGAGGAAAATCCACCATTATCATCGGTTCAATCCCCATGATACTACTTGCGCGGGAGCACTGTCACCGCGGCAAGCTCTGGCAGCTTGAGACCCACCTTGCCCTGAGTCGCACCTACCAAGTTACCGACCAGCGTGACAAGATCTTTGCCCTATTTGGCATATCGGATAGGTCGTCATTGGAATCCCCAATGGTGGAACTCAGCGTGTTCAATGTGGATTACACTAAATCTGTTGAACAAGTCTATACTGAGTGCAGTGCACACTTGATCGAGGGTCGGGCAGGGTACTCTGTCCTCTCTATGGTGGAAGCCCGCTCATATCCTCCACCTCGTCCCATCCCCTCGTGGGTGCCGGATTTTAGCGTTCCACCGAGCCCCCCACCACTCGCAATCCGTGGACAGTGCCCTTTTTCTGCAGGTGTATTCACCAGCACTCTACCTACCCGACCCACTATCTCCCCTAATAAAAAAGAGTTATACCTCCCTGCGGCCACACGACTGGGCCGCATTTTCCGTACGTCGGAGACAGGGGAAGAGATATGTTCCCTTGAGCGCATGACACGTTTCTTCCGCTTGCTCGCTGATCCAGCTCTACGTCTCACCAAATCTGCGACCCCAGCAGCATCAGAGGCACTATGGCGCATCCTCATTGCTGACCTCGCTGATCAGCAGCACCCCGCGCCTGCCCGCCTTGGCACTTCATTTAACCAATGGATCACCTACCTCATTGTCCGCGCTCTTGACACTGCTTCCCGCGCTTCCGCCCACGCTGCTGATCATTTCCCTGACGGAGAATCTCCACCTGAACCTACCCTCACATCCGATGCCGTGCGCGATTTTTTATTGTCCGCGGATTACACTATAGGCATACGGTCTGCTCCGTCGGAATACCGCCACTCCGACGTCCATGCTGCAGTGGTTGACTTCATAGCAGCATGGGATGGTACAATGCCTTTACGGGAGCTGCTGGACGCGACGAGGGTGGCTGTGGCGGCAGGAGATAAGGCCCGACTGGAGGCGACGCACAGTTTTGCGGGAGCGTTCTCGTGGATGTGTTCTGCGAGGCGAGTGTTCAGCACAGAGGAGGGAGATCTTGGGATTGCACATCAAGGTGCGAGGGTTGGCGATGAGGTGGTGGTAGTGCCAGGAGCAGCGGTGCCGTTTGTGGTGAGGGAGGTTGAGGGCGGGGCGTATGCCTTGATTGGGGAGGCATTCGTACATGGAATCATGCGCGGGGAGGCGCTGGAGGGGAAGGATCCATTGGCCTTGGAGGGTCTGCGCTTGGTGTGAGGACTGACCTTTGCATTGTAGCATCTAATTATGACAGATATCAAGAAATCAGTGCATGTATTACTAGAGGCTAAGGTCGTGCTGAATAGTCTGCACATAGGTTTGTTGATACCCCACAAGTTGGGATATGTGAACTCACCGCTCAGAGATGGTAGCTAGCGGGCCGTCCCTACGAGCATATTCAAATTGTAGCCCTGAGAAACCAAGATTGGTACCTTGCTCCCCGATCATGAAGCTGAAGCCACATAAAGATGTAAATCACGTGGAGTAGGCTTTCGGGCCATCAAAACCACGTACGAGCATTCTACTGGTGTATCCAATACTACTCTATACATTCACTTCTTCGATTGCTCATAGGGTCGTGATGTGTCATGACTCGTCATAATTTTAGTAAGGAACGATACATTCCACAACTACATTAACTTGAACTTTCGTGACTAGTTTGGCGAAGATGGTGTACCTGGTTTGAGGGAATTGGGTGGGCCTCGATAAAAAATCCTGAGAACACATTGGACTTGGGTGAAGAAGTCAGATGCTCATTCATCCACAGGGGGGCCTGTTGGGACTTAAAACATACATGCTGCTAACTTCATGGTCAGACCGTGACTGTGGCTTAGTGCGAGGTTGTCGAGTGGCAAGAAGTTCGGGACACGCACATCCCTGCGATGCGGCAGTCATAACTTACAAAATTCAAAGAATACGACGTTCCGGGAACAATACATGCAGGGTGAGAGGCTAGGAGCGCACTAGAAGCTACTATAAGCCAAGCGCATTGACAGGTGTCAACACTCAAAGCGAAAGTGTTCTTCTCATAGCTGAAGCCAGACCTGAGTCGCTGACAGATATATCGATACAGCCCTGTAAATGTTGTTGCCCAGGTATACAATAGTCCCGAGAACATCAGATTGTCTCGTGTCAATTCCCAGGCGGCAGCACATACATGTTCATCGTTTACGCAGATCTAGTTAATCGAACACCGTGTAGTATTCGTGGGACTCAGGGAGGAGCTTTCAAGTCTTCTGGGTCTTCTCCAAGGCAACTCTGTCATTCACGAAAAAAGGATATTAACTTGACTCAGCAAAAGGAAAAGTAGGTTAGTCGACGGTTGACGTGTCTCGACTTGGGACAGCGGCAAACCTATGAATGTAATCCTATCGCGAAGCAAATGATACGGAGACAAGGACAAAAGCCAGAAAGATAGTAGGGTGTAGGAAAGGACCGACGAAGCTTGTATTCTTGTCGCCGTCTGGTCGTGTCACAGGAAGCGGGAAAATAACCAAGGCTCATCAAGGCTCAATAGCAGATGTTCAAGTTGCATCGTGTATAAAAATCTCATTGTAAAAACTTGCTCACTGGCAGCTTAGATTAGATTCGTGAGCCCGAGCAATGCCACTGTCTTGACCCTGGTGAGAGTTTTTGTTGTAGAGGTTGATTGGCATGATCACCGTGCCGACACCCGTGCCTCGTGTCAGAAGCATGCATGGCGGCAGGCTCCGCGGTAGGCGTTAATAACAACCTTGGACTCCGGATGCATTGAAAATCGACTCGTAGCTGAGCGCTGAGGTGTCTCTGCAAATTATATACTTGAAATTCCCGGCATTTTTCTGCGTAGCATACCGAGGTAATCACATGAATATTGTTTGACTTCATGAGTGGATTGAAACAATTGAATTTGAAGCTTTACAGCTGTTTGCAAAAAGGTTGACAGTAGCGACATTTTGAGAAAGAACAAAACAAATAAATAATAGCCACATACATAGGGTCAAATAACACGCGCATATACTTGCAAACGCTTGACCCAATGTATGCCTCCCGTTTCGCGCCAGAGCTTGAGGATCCGCCAGAACGTGCATTCCGAATCTCCAACGCAAGCAAGAATGTCTTCGAGTGCAAGGTGTTGATGCTTGTGAAGATTAATTGCGGCTAGTCGTGACTGATTTTCCGATACATGATGGTCAATTTGTGATGTATGTGGTTATTAATCTATTATTTATTTGTTTTGTTCTTTTCTCAAAATGTCGCTACTGTCAACCTTTTTGCAAACAGCTGTAAGATTCATGATATGAAAGCTATGGCTGTGAAGTTGCTGTCAAAATCTTACTAGCTGGTTGGTTTTTACTATTTATTATCTGACTAATAATTAGACTGTCTTCGCTTCGGTTCAGACAATATGACGATCTCTGCCGCCGTGATGCCAACGGATGGTAGCAATGGCAACATTCCCAATTCATTGGTTATCAAGACTCTAGGTGGACTCCTCAAAGGAAAAGAAAGAAGACAAGGTTGGATGACAGGTCGGTACATTTTACATTGTCAGAACCTAGTAATCTCACCTTGTGATTTTCCTGAAGTTCATACGGAGGAGCTGACGCAGTGGGTCTGTGCAAAGAATGTACCAGGTGATTAACAGCACGAGGGCATGGCAGCCAGCCTGACTGGAGAACTTTGACAGCTCTGACGCCATGACCAATTAACATGATTGATGATGGAACGAATGCCCAATCCGAATGTTTCGCCCTGTAAGTGACAGCCTGTAGCGATGGCCTGGGAGCCTATCGATCAAGATTGGCCAGGCATGCATGCAAACATATTGCTCCATTATGTTTGGGATTGTATTGATGGATATCACCTAGTTGAGCTTCATCACACTTTTATGTATGCTGCCACATCCACCGTGCCACGACACCGTTCTGTGTACTACTATACATTGCAATCACGTTGTGACACGTACCCTTGTTGTTTTTGGTGGCGGCATGCCGCAGCCTGGTGAGCAGTGATCACAATTCATCAGCTGCGATCTGCCACGTCGGATTTCAATAGCTCATCCCCGCATTTCCCTGGCTGGAGATCGTGATCACCGCTGCTCACACGCTGCGTCACCCGTTATTTTTCCTCGGCAACGAAATTTAGACTAGATATGTGCATGCAAGGTTACGCTGTGAGTATAAATTAATTCTTGGGTTGTGGTCCTGGAGGAATACCCATTCGTGGCTCTCCAAGCAGTTCACTAAGCGTCTACTGTCAGCGCGATGGTACTAACGAGTATCATCAAAGTGTCCAATTCTATCCTGAAAAAGAGTGCGTCCACAATGGCGACTACTTAGCAGAGACACTAGTACTGACACAGAGCTCGTCATCTCGCGCTACCTACAGGACATGGTGACACAGCGTGAGGCAATAGCGATTCTGTCAACAAGTCTTCGAACCCAATATTCTCTCATGTCTCACAGGTTCGATGGTGGAGATGTCTCTTTCATTATTGTGGCATCTGCCATGGTATTTTTCATGATACCTGGTCTCGGTTCGCATATTTTTCTCTCTTTTACCTTCGGTTATATCCGCTCACTCATGCTCACGTTATATCCAGCTTTTCTGTATTCTGGATTATCCAGAAGAAAGTCCGCATTGTCGCTTATCTGGGCAGTTTCTGCTAGCAATGCAGTCTGTATCTTTCAGTGGTACTTCTGGGGTTATTCCTTGGCATTTTCGCCAACTGCAACCAACGGATTCATGGGCAACTTGGCGAACTTTGGCCTGATAAACGTCCTCGGCGAACCCTCTCCCGGTTCTCCTCTAATTCCTGCGCTATTGTACGCAATATATCAAATGGAATTCGCATGCGTCACAGTGGGAATACTGGTGGGTGGGATCGCCGAGCGAGGTCGGGTACTCCCAGCCATGGTCGTCACATTCTTTTGGATGACCTTAGTTTATTGCCCTCTTGCTTGCTGGGCGTGGAACGTAAACGGCTGGGGTTATAAATTCGGTGTTCTTGATTTTGCAGGTTAATTAGTCCTTCCTCACTGCCGTCCAGTTTTTCTGATATTTTGTGATTTACAAGGTGGAGGTCCCGTAGAAATCGGAAGTGGAGTAGGAGGTCTTGCCTATGCCTGGGTGCTTGGCCGCAGACAGGACAAGGAGCTCCAGAACTTCAGGCCACACAATATCTCCATGGTCAACCTGGGCACCTTTATCCTCTGGTTTGGCTGGCTAGGTTTTAACGGTGGGAGCGCTTTCGGTGCAAACTTGCGCGCCGTCATGGCCATGTGGAACTCTATGATCGCTGCCGCGTTTGGCGGTATTGTTTGGTGCCTCATTGACTACCGCCTGGCGCGGAAGTATAGTATGGTCGGATTCTGTTCAGGAACCATTGCTGCTCTAGTTGCGGCAACGCCTGCTTCAGGATACATCAAGCCCTGGGCGGCAGTTCTTATGGGCATTTTCACCGGCGCTGTGTGTAACTTCGCAACTAAATGTGAGACTACTGAATCACTCTGGAGGGCGGATGTTGACGCAACCCTCAGTAAAATTTCTTCTCGCAATAGACGATTCACTTGATCTTTTTGCCGAGCACGCTATTGGCGGGATCCTGGGTCTCATGACGAACGCATTTTTTGCTACTGAGGCCGTTATCAGCCTAGACGGCGTCAACACGAGTGTCATTGGCGGCTGGGTCGACCACAATTGGAAGCAGCTTTATATTCAGTTTGCCTATGTCCTCGCGACATGCTTATATACATTCGTTGTCACTGCCCTGATTGTCCATTATGTCGACACAATCCCTGGCCTCCATATACGCGTAACAGCCGGGAACGAGACACTCGGTCTCGACGAGGTCGAGGTAGGCATGGATATACTCTTGAATGTTCCTTCAACCTAACAAGATAACACAGATCGGTGAATACGCGAATGACTACATCGAAATATGGCGTGACGTTATGGAGCCGAACCCTATGGCCTCCTCAAATACACGTGAATCAACGCTCGACACGATCACCTGTGCTGTTGGACGCAGCCAACAAGCTCTTTCGCAAGAAATTTCAATGCGCAATTTGCAGGTTCACGACAATTTGCACATTTGTGACGAGGATAAATATGAGAAGTCCGTTGAGCTGGAAGTACTGTCAGGGCGGGCCGGGGACAGAATCTCCGTAGTTGCATGAGGATATGGGCATTGTCTTGGATTATTCACTGAGTGAACATCCCTGATCTACTTTCACCTATCGTTTTTATCACAAGCATTGTATGCACTCGCTTTATCCCTTTTGACGCCACTAATTGCCGCATCTGAGGTCGTTGACCCTATGACGAACGAATCTCATGCCTCACGTCACCCCCAAATAATTTGTACACGTCGTAGTAGCACACACTTGCAATTTGCGACTTCAAATATTATTGTCTTTATCGTGCACAGGCTGGGAGGTCGAATGTCCCACCTTCCCAAGGTTCTTTGAAACCTCAAAGTCACGCAGGCGGCCAATGGTAGACCTCCATGTAACGGCTTATCAGTACTTACTGGGGGCTGGTAACCTGGTTCAACAAGATAGCCCCATCATCTCAAACTGGTCCTGGTCCGATTGCATCTGTCACGTGACGATGGGTTGGTTCCCTTCTGTACTCATTTGGCTATGACACCCACGAGAAGAGGGAGTATCAAATTGGTAGTGTACAATTCCCTACAAATCTATTGTGCAGCAAGTTATGTACGTCAGCTAGCACCTTATAACACTGGTGGATAAAAATAAAAATATATCCCATCCTGGTAGTATATCCATCAGCGCATGGACAATCTAACAATCCCAGCCGAGCACAAAGTCAGCTGGCGCTGCGGTTTGGGTCGCGTTCTCGGTTCCTGAGAGCAGAGCACCACAAATACCAGTTCCAAATTCTTCATGCAAGAGTAGATCGACGACGTTACGCGAGGCTAGTGTCTCGGTTTCCATAGTCGAGATGAACCTAGGCCAAGGTTGATGTCAGGATGAAAGTAAAAAGAAACAGCGTCATTCCAAACATACGGCTCGAAAGCATTCACGTAGTAAAAGCCTTGGTCGAGCTTGACAGGAGGAAATTCTGATGTAGGAGGCAACACAGGGTATGCCTGCCACTGATCAAGTTGTTAGCATCTCAACTTGCCCATGTAAACAGTAATGACTTACCAATTTCCTATATACCCAACTGACATTACCAAACACTGTCTCGAGCCATTCATCGGTGACGCGATCTTCGGAGAAAATTTTCACGGTCGACTCAGGGTCTGTCACTGCGTCTCCTGCTGCTCCGTCCACCTTACGAACCTTCCGTGGTAAGAAATTGAATTAAACTCGGGCTCCACCCCACCCGCTCGAGCACCTTCGTAAGTAGTCAGAATTGTTGGTGGCACCTGAGCATTAGAGGTGAGGCCAAAGTACTCCGGTCTGGGGTGTTCGGAACGTGTCGTCAGCAAAGTGACGTGCAAATTCACATATGGTTGCGGAGGGATTAATTCAGCCAGATCGGACGGCAGGATAATATCAGTCTGGTGGAAAGGCGCAGCAAGGATAACTCCTTGGTATATCTGGGAACCAGCCGATGTGTAGACAGTCCACAAAGAAGTGCCAGATTTCCGTTTGATCTCCTTGACCTGGTATATTGTCAGTGGTCAAACACAATATTTAAGAGGAAGAAACTCCAACATTCGTGTTCAAAAAGACATTTGCTGTCGAATTCTCAAGAAATTGCTCGAATATGCGGAAATTTCCTGTTACGACACCAGATGCACCAGATGCTGCCATTGAAGCGGCACCTCCGAGGGCGTGGATCTTGTCCACGTTCTGATGCAGCATCAATTGACTGATATTGCAGTAAACTATTTGGAAAGTATGACACACCTGCCCGTAGTTGACACGCGTCGCTGCCTCAACAAGCTCTCGTGCAAAGAGCGGGGCAACGCCATTACCTTCCAAAAAATCCGAGGCGGTTTGGTTAGTCATGGACACCCACTGGAACCTCTCTGAGAACACTGATATATCATCCCAGCGAGGAGACTCGGGGGTGTAGAAGCCGAGGAAACGGTCGATCACTGACTGAACACTGTATTCCCAATAAATCCCGGACATTAAACGAGCGAAATAAACTTACATAGCTTTCGTTCTAGTGGGTGCGGTGTAGCCATACCTCCATAACACCTTCAAGGTTGCCCACCAGCTTTTCAAATAGCTGCCGCTTTCCATCTTTGATGCCGCATAAAGTTTGATGGGCAAATTTGTATCAAAAGCAGCTCACCACAAGCACGAAATTCTGGCCATCCCAAATACCAGTGTTCGAATCGTCATCTTCGAAAGCTGTCAGAGTCAAGTTGAATTCCTTGGAAGCTCTCATTAGATTCTTGTTTGCGTCGACAAATATAGAAGCTCCTAGTTCCAATGGAGCAAACGTAGTATCATTGTAAGGATATACTACGATGCTGCCTGCAGGCCGAATTAGTCAATAAGGATAAGCACTGCTCGACAGACAAGAAACTAGAAACTTACGACCTCCGATGTAATCTGAACGCTCATACAGGTCAATTTCAACAGTCGATTCCGAATCTTTTCTTCGCTTTAGATATCCAGAATGCAGCTGAGGAGCCTCCCGCGCCTGCGCCAATGATGGCTATTCTTGGAGAAATGTGAGCCTGTTCTAGGTCGGCAGAGTCTTTTGACTTGAAAAGAGGAATGCTGAAGGGAAATTGGAAAGCAAGACTGGAGCAAACAAAAAGCGAATATATGAGGAGACGATGCATAACTTTCGATCTGAGTAGGAGTACATACAAACCAAGTATCTACCGCACAGTACGCGAGGTCCTCGCAAATATGTACAAACAGAGCAATGGCACTAAAGCATATTTTCATACAAGTTTCATACGCGTATCTTCACTTAATTTACGATCGAGTGTCTTTGTTTGACCAAGTACAAGGTGACTATGTATACGACACCGTCGGGGGAAACGACAAAGAGTGTATGAGTCGATTAATCACTTACTGCATACCTCAGATACGCGGAGTCGGAACTTGTCAAAACGGGGCCAATTTGTTGTCAGAAGGATTCCGTAAACAGCTGTATACCACTAGTACTATGACTCAGTGTAACCTGCTGAGGCCTAGCTTGGGGTATCGATAAGGTACGTACGAGTGACTCACCCGCGAGCTCACATGCACAGCTGGGGCCCACGGGCCGAAACCACGCCTAAATTTCATAAGTAAGCGTATATAGAAAGGCTGTAAGTACGTATTCCCACTGGTACTTCATCACTCTTCACCACATCATATCAGCGTATCGTGACAATATTATGGCAGCGACAATGCCACTAAGTCACGTTTTCAAAATACCGTCAGAGATAATTGAACACGCTCTTACACTTTGCCATCCTCGCGACGTTGCGTCGTTCTCACAGACCTGTCGGAAAGCACGCCGCCTAGTTGCTGGGAGCCCAGATCAATATCTTTGGCGTCAATTATTCCTTCTCTTTCCCTTCGATGACCCTCTGCATATCTCATCCACATTTCTGGAAGATGGTCAATTCAACTGGAGGAAGGAGCTACACCGGCGAATGGAGGCGCAATCAATCGCCTGTCGCACAAGTTCAACCCTTGAGGAACTCTTGGCTGCCATCGAAACTTTCATTTCTGTGGCGCGCAGCGCAGCTCCTGTTACATGGGGATATGAACGCAGTTTCGTCCCCCAATTTATTGTGGGTTGTTGAAGTGTTGCAGTCCACAAACATGCTTCGCTCTCCATTACTCTTCTCACAAGAGGGTAACCAACCGTTGGCTCGCCTGCGAGCATACCTTGCACTGACGTTGGACGAGTACGACGACGATGACGTCGAAGGGAAGGAAAGATTAAAATCGATACGGATGAGGAGTCGCTGTCAGGTTTATGACCTACGGAATTACCATCAAGACAATGACTGGGGCCCATTCAACGTCACAACAGGAGAAGTGGATTGGACTCACATAGAGTCAATTATCAACGTTGTATCTATGAACCTTTCTGACCGTCCAAATGATTGGCCGGATACAAGGCCGCGTTATGGGCTCGAAGCTACTCGAGCATATTCAGCACCCGGCACCACAGCACTGGCAACAGGTGATTGGGCTGGTATTGAAGGTCACTGGAGGAGATATGTCTGCTTCATGGATTATCGGTATGGCTCTTGTTTACCTTGCCATTCGCAGCACTCATGTATCTAACCGTACTTGCCAGAGACTTGTTCGGTGAGTATACTTGTAACTCGAGTTCTTACGTTCATTCATACGTTCATCAGCATTCAATGTAATGATTTCCTTTGTGAGACTTACCCTGATATTCATACATTGTGCAGTATGGAAACAGAGGACGCGGACAACAAGATGGTACCTACTTTGACACTTCAAATTTTGAAGAAGTTGCGCGCCTTGTTGAGCTCAAGTTGAGGCTTATAGACGCTCAGGCAATACCAGAAGTCTACATACTCGACCGCCTCCCTGATTCCTCGCATAGGCACTACCCGACCTTGTATTTCACTGGATCATCTTGGGGCATACAGGGTAACGAGGTGACTGTCATTGGGTCTGTAGCCATGTCGGAAGGTGGCGTAGTACGATGGCGATTTGTAAGCCCCGTTATTATTACTCATTCCACAAGATACGAACCCGAAATGAATCGAGTTACCCCAGGCATCTATTGCTAATTCGCACATTCAATGGAGGTAAGTCGTAGGGTGTTGCAATGTCCAAATGCTTATGATACACATTTTACCATAATATTCAGTTCCGAAGGGGTGCAAATCGGCGGCATCGCCAGTGCGTTTGGAGTAATAGGAACGTGGACAGGAATTCATCACGATCGTGGTAAGCACCTAATAGTTAGCTTTCAATTTGAGGCTGTACAAGTTCTACTTTCACAGGCGATCCTGTTGGTATGCAACATGTGTCCATCATGTACCCTTATACTCATAAGCTCTTTCACATCATAGGTCCCTTTTGGCTTTACAAAGTAGAGGATGATCATCCCATTTATATGCGAGCTCTCATGACCAATTGAGTCAATGCTGGAACCACTTCATGACCGTGACGTCAACCGACACAGATACTGTTTTCTTGCGGAAAAGTGCTTTGAATATTACTTTCGTTGTATATCATTATATATATACCCCATAGAACGTTGTCCCAAGCACATTAATCTTGTATTTATCAGCCTGCTCAACAGGTGTCCTGTCTGTGAGGAATTAGTACACACAATGGTAACTCCGTCGTAGCAGACTAGGTAGAAAATCGTTGGGATGTAAGTCACACAATGTCTGCAATATTTCGTTGGTCGGCATTCGAGGTTGAAGCGCCGGAGGCCAGTTGACATGGTCACTCACTGGACTACACTAGGACTACGGGTGATCGGAGTATATCGTGCTCAAGCGAGGCCGAGTAGTGGAGATTGATAGATTCACTGCGAAGGTGATTGTTCGCACTGGAGATACAATAGACCGCGCACGACTGCTCGACTCGACGCGCGCTGCGGAGGAGACAGGATGTGATCGCAATGGGCTGAACACGACAACTCCCCCTGAGGGTGCGCACATAGCATGATTGCGTGTGGACATAACAAAACCTTCCGCTTGCGAGTGGTGGGGACTAGGTCCATGAAACGCTTGCTTCTCGAGGTTCAGAGTAATCCTTGACATCACTGTGACCTGTTGACCGTTAAACTTATCAGTCTATGACGGATACGAACTTCAAGCCGTGCTCGCAGTGGGGCCATGACGAAATCATCTCAGTCAATCGCTGTTATTGGTGGTTTACTGAGAAAGGCACGCACAGAAGCTCGAGCCTGTGCACAGCGAGTAAATCAATAAAAATCTGAGCAAACACTGTAATGGAGATGTGCATACTGTGCAGCGATGTTTTTTACCCCCTGGTAAGCTCTGACAATCATGGTTGCCAATATCAGTATCATGGTGCAGATGACGCTATGTGCTTAGTGAGCTCTGCTACTAGGAGAGCCTGGTTTGCGCACCTGTGATACAGTAGCCCGTTTGCGAAAAGAGTACGGAGAACAAGCCCCGCTTCTTCATTGCGGATCGAAGGAAGCGTACGGTTTCAACGAGCTTATTCAAGCGCTCTCGTTAAACCACTTATCTATGTTATCGCCGGCTCCTTCAACCAAGCTGGACAATGGCCCACAACGAGATCCTACTGTGCGATTCTACCCATCCAAGAGCCAGGACAGCATTGGCTACTGGAGCAGCTGCAGACGATGGTGTCACAGACCGGAAGAGCTCTAGAATGCGCATTTGACTGTCTCGTTCCTCCATTTCGCCTGTCACTGCCTCGACAGCCTTCGAGAACTCCGAATCCGACGAAACTAAATCCAGCATACTTCCAAGAGGAAATTACCGCGGAGCCTTGAAGATAGCCTTTCGAATCAGAGGGGTCGATGGCGGATTCTTGTGTTTAGGGATTGCCGGTGCTACAACAACAGGAGTAGTGATCGGTGCACCGTGTCGCAGAAAAGTTTGACAATCCTGTCCAAGACGCAGAAGCGATTGATGGGCCAAGACATTCCACAAGCTCAGGCTATATTTTGGTTACCAAATAGGGCTGTCCTACGGGCGCTCCCTGCCGAAAATTCGTCCGAAGCCAACTCTGCTAACTCAGAGTACGCAAAGTGTGCGAATACCATGTCCTGAGTCGCAATCCACGAGATAACTGTCACATTGGGATCTGCAGCAAGGGTGCTAACTTTAATCGGCTGAAGAAAACCTTAGGCGTAGATTTGCCACTGCAAAGGATAATTACCTGAGGAATGTGCTCGTCAAATAATGACTCCGCGACACGAGGCCCATCATAAATGATCGAACCAAAAGCGACGCTATACACCATCGATGAAAAGAGCCATCGTGAAAGTAGCTTCAGAGATTGCTCGGGGCATATGACTACGAGTGGATCGTCAAACATGGTCAAGGAAGGAAGGAAAACACTCACAAGTTCCGATGACCTCAAAGGTTTCGTCTCTCTGAACACAAACCGGTCTAGCATGATGTTTTCGAAGTAAGAAACTAGCGGCTAGCCAAAACTGGGCCAGGATGAGGAAGAGCAGTCGACCATCGAGGTAGTACGGATGTTCCTGGTAAAAAAAATCCAGCCTCCGAAATTTAACAACACTCGGAATGAAATCGTGTATCAGGCAACCCTCTTCCAGGCATGTGCAGTAAGATTGCTGAATCACATACCTTGACTTTACGAAGACATTCAAACGAAGGTTTTCACGTTCTTCCGATGTAAACGAGTTCATGTAGAGCGTAATAAGCATCAATGTACATGACATGAACACTGCCAAGCAACCATCGTGTGCTTAGCTTTGCAATAGCATTCGTGAGCATTTTGGCTGGTGAAGTCGCAGGTGCGGTAGCAGCTATGCAACAGATACGAGACGGCATCCACACGAGGAGAAGTAACTCGCAGGTGAGGTAAACCTTTCTCGTGGCAGCCACAGGCTGAGGCAACAGACCAACAAACCAACAGACCACTTAAGGCATACCATCGTCCAAGTTCCCAGCGAAAGCACTCTTCTCATCTTCTCCCCAAAAAAGAATGCTGACAACCAAGGTAAATGCAGCAGAGAACGCGAATATATTGTGTATGAGTCGTTGTCGAAGGGTAAACCCAACAAGGGGTTCATACTAAGTTTCGGAAATAGACAAGCGTGAAGTCAATGTGGATTTATTGCTCGCGTTTACATAGTTTCGATCTCATTCCCGCAGACATCGTACCCTTTAACCATTCAAACTCCAAGTATTTGTTGCCACAGCAGAAGGATAGGCGACGGTAAAAGCTCTTCGTGAACTTTGAAAGAGGAAAGTCAGAAAGGATTGACAGTAGGGTTAGGGTCCCAGGACATTTGAATCAAGCACAACAGTCATGTACAACAGGACCAAACCACGTGTCGACGATGAGGACAACGTCGATGGTTTTGACGATGAAAGGCCGACCATTTTTTGATTATCTAGATGCGCTCATAAAGGCTAGCAGATGTCCTAGATAATTTTACTCCGTCCAAGGCCCTCGCGTCCTAACTCTCGACGTCATCTCCCTGCTGTGCACGAACCAACCTCGTCTCAAGCGTCGAAAAAAGTGATCTTCGTCCAATGCTGACTTGGGAGCTGATTTTTCGAAATTAGTTGCTGAAGAAATGGAGGCTCTTTGACGCGGTATTGCACAGCAAGAGGTGAACGAAGGTTTAAAAGGCGAACAACAGAAGAGCGGGAGTGCACCTTCGCAGCGGCATTGAAACTCGGGCGTTGGCTACCTGCTGTTCGTACCATTATTGACAAATTTTCTAGACTCACTCGGGACGCTCGCCACTTCGGCCACTGAGCCCAGGTCTCAGAGAGCCATACTTCTTATTGAACGTTCATCTGTACATGATCTGCTGTAAGTACCTTCATCTTCACATGCATCATCCCTACTCCACCCCTTCGAACCTCCTATTAAAAGGTCTAACGTCCGGTATTAGCTCTGCCCAAAGGTTACCATTGCCACGACGACGTCTAACTTCATTACTGGTTCCGAATCCACTATGGCCTCACACTCAAATTCTTCGGGTTAGCTCTCAATCACCATCTATACATACAGCCCCACCGATACCGCTACAAAATAGCCAGCCATCAAGCTTACTATGGGACTAGAAAGGAGCACCCGGAATTTGTTAGATAGTCCTCTTATCAACAAGAATCATAATGAGAGGCGCCAGCTCATGACAAGTGCGCTCAGGGCCTTCGCTGCATGGGATTTAGGCTATATCATATAGCGCTCTTAATTCACCCGTACTTGGCGGTCTCGCTCCTTTTAACTGTCTCATCGACACCAGCTGCATGATTTTCGCGCCACGCACCGGTCAAGCCCTGTTTTTTCTGCATCGTGTTCCGCGCGTGCCATTATAGATTCCATCATTTCCGTTAGCCGTAAGACACGTTCTAGGACCGGTAGCTCAGTCTCCCATTACACTCGCGCGTATATTTGATCCCCACCTTGACCATCGCTCTTCCCAGCACGAATTAATGACCTAAATGGCACGGTTATGACTTTCCGAGTGCGACGAGTCTCTCAAAACACCATACAACCACATGCACCGACATTTCAGGGTGCATGTATCCAACCGGGAAGTCGAAACATCAACGCATAAAAGGAGGCAACTTTTGAAAAGCAAACCTCACCTCGGGCCTCAACTTTGAGCTCATTCATTCCTCAGCTATACTGTCATACTTCATACACCTTACAAGCAAAGTGCATTGCATCATGAAATTTTCATCCGTCCTTTTCTCTTTCTCGATCTCCGTCTTTGTCCTTTCCTCTTTGGCGCAACCGACAGAAACCCTTTCATATGACACCACATATGATGACGCCTCTCTCTCCCTTTCCAGCATCGCTTGTTCAGACGGCACCAACGGGCTTGAGACAAAGGGATACACGACCCTTGAATCACTTCCTACATTCCCTAACGTTGGCGGTGTCTATACCGTGGCGGGCTGGAATTCCGCTGCAGTGCGGAACCTGCTATAATGTCGCATACGGAAATAACGTCGTTGCCATCCTCGCGGTTGACATATCCAAAGCCGGCTTCACCATTTCAGAGACAGCGATGAACACCTTGACTGGTAATTTGGCCGCTGAGCTGGGAAGAGTGGATGTTACGGCAACCCAAGTGAATGCGTCAGTATGTGGCTTGTAGTTGCATTGTGTCGGAGTGTGTCGGTACGTATGCTATTGCAAGTCTGTTATGCCTCCATTGAACATTTGCCCCTTCAGCAAGTTCCCTCTGCGTCTGAGTGCCAGATAGACGATATTGGGACCTGGGACTTACAGTTTCGATGGACTTGAACCACCTATCAAAATTAGCTGAATGAACGAACGGCAAGACTTTCACCTGGTGAAATTACTTCTATATGTAGGCTACGGTTATTTTGGACTTATCGATTTACAATTGTACATACCTGCATCGTCCATAGATAGTTTACGTGCGGTGTCATGGATTTGACCTGACGGTGTTGCCGACCAACTGTAAGTAGATATCGCAGTATAGACATTCGGATTTCATGAACACTCGGTTAGGCACCATCCAATCACAATCGCTTATGTCACCAATACGCGAGACATCCTTGCAAAATACATTTTTTCCTCTTTTTCATACTTAACAACCTTCAGCCAGCTTTGCCTTTGCAGAGTAACTCTTAGCCAGCCTGCCTTGGCTTTGGGTATTCGGGTGGATGGGAGACGAAAGGCATACTAGGAGTTCAATTAAGCCGGAGCGCCTCCCAGACTCTATGCCACTGCCTTTCGAGGCGGCTTGGGAGGTGCTTGACTATGCAACTCTGACATATTCGAGTGTAATCGGTAGTAAAAGAACCACTTCATTCAATCATGATTTCTTTGGAGGACCGTACTTTTAGAAGATCACCAGTCAAGGAGGAATCTGGAGGATCCGCCGCGGCCCAACCCAATGTTTGAGTTTCCTGTCCTAGTGGTGGCGGCCTAAGTACCAGTCTTCAGCCGCCAGCGCTCACTGAGCTTCAGCAGCAAATATTTGGAGTTGGTTCTCTTGATCGTTCAACGGCGTGCATAATCGACTAGGAACAACCTTGATCACAAGCTATGCATGTCAGGTCCTTGCCTCAAAATTCTGATGATGTGCTATGACCATCGACGTGGCGCTGCGAGCATGGCGCAACTCTTGCGCAAATGATGGGACATCAATGTATCACCTTTGAGCAACTGGTAGTCCAGAAGCATAAGTTGGAGATATGACGAGTATAAGGTACGGGGTCCACGTTTGAGATGATGAATTGGTGCGCGAGTTAGTTCGTTCAGCGTCTGAGTTGGGTACACTTCCTCCTCCATCCCCCCCTCAGCTCACCTTCGAGCTTCCTCCCCCTTTATCCTTATAACCTCTTTCTTGTCCTAGTATGGCGACATGCTTGAAAGCATCAGACTATTGAATGAATTTCGCTAGTGCCTCTATCCCCTTCTCCGTACACAGAATCTCGTTGTGTATGATGTTGTGGGATACTTCGCGCAAGTGGATGCGTTGGCGTGTGAATAGCGGACAGTCGCGTACGATGTGTTCTGCAATGTGCTCGGCTTGGCTCTCCATATGAACAGCTAGTAGGTTCAGTCGGTACGAATGAAGTGTAGTAGTATAGTACTCTCTCTCCGATGAATCCATGTCCTGTGCGACAGTGTAAGACGGCCATAAACTTCGTGAGGGATATTAATGGTGAGGGTGTTTACGGGATTCGTGTTAGTAGAAGTCTATTTGCGAGGGCGGAACTCTCAGACTGCGCTGCCACGTCTCTGTTCCAACTCTCCGTCCATCGCCGTAGTGCTTCTTCCTACGGCGTGTGTTTGCGTAGGTTAGGTGGAGTGCATCATCACCGTCCAGTGGCTTCCTTCACGAGCTTGTCAACGCATTCAAAAGCGAAGGACGAGAAAGTGACTGCATTAATGGAATAGCACTTTTAAAAAGTACGAGACAAAGCTGAAGCAATGGATTCCTTTAAGAAATTTAATCTTCGCACCGCCACTTCGCGCTTGGCCTTTGCTTGTATTCGGAAGACAAATCTTTAATCGTCCACAAATTTTCATCGTTCAGGTCGGCACTGCAAATGAGACTGCCACGACGTGTGCCATGGGCAAGTATGAATGAGCTTGATCAGCTCTGTTCGTGGGTTTTCATGGACGAAGGCGATCTCGAGGCGAAACGATTCGCAATTAACAGAGTGAGCCTCACTTGAATTAACATTCTCGACGGTCGTCTGACAGAATCTAGTTGTCGGCATGGAGAGCTGTGACTGCATTACCTCATGCGTTGGAGTCTACTCTATCCATCCTAACGGCCCGGTTGATTGATACTTCTGAAACGCAGCAGAATTCCTCCTGGTTGACTCTAAGGCAGAACTATGCTACTGCAATCATCCGAATGGTAAATGGTCTCGTGGATCCTTTACAGGCGGGAGCATATGCGAGATCTATAGCGTCTATTGCCGCCCAACTAGGATTACCTTCTTGGTTAGTGGAATTGAGGCATGCAGCCACACACGAAGACCTTCCCAGCCTTGAAATGCTCAGGGAAGCAGCACGGGAGGTGAGCTTCTCTATGAGAAATGGGGAAGATTATATTCTTACTGTGGTTCATGTTTGGTGCGCGCGGTCAGTCACTGACATGGTTGTTGCACAATTACTTTCTTCCCACTATAAACCCTTCAGCTCCTAGACCGAGTACGGCTCCACCTTTACGATCGGTTGCTCCAGTTTTAAAGCAATACAAGACACTGCTGAAGATTGTTACGCGTGATACTTCCCTCCGCAAACAAAATCAGCCCAACATCGATGCGATCATGCGAGATATCGAGCGATGGCTCGCAGAAGCTAAGCTAGCTGCAGATTTCGCAGCTGATGCGTACGGGTGGGACACCATCGATGGTAATGACGTCGGACAAGAGGATCCTAGAGAAAAGTGGGCTCTAGAAAGACTTTGTGATGCCTTGATTGAGAAGGGTGCTCTGGTATCTCTCTCACAAAAGTATGTATTTTCGCAGATTCCGGGCTTCCCATTGATTAGAACACTTAGGAAAAGAAACATTCCGTCTAACGAATTTGTACCTCTTCACCCGTCGCTTGTGTTATGGACTCCGTTGTTGGCACATACACACACATACCATCCTACCTTCCCATCTGTTCTAACTACTCGGATTGTGGAAAACCTTCTTTACGAGCAGCCAAACACAGGATTTGACATGGATGTCGTTTCGTTGGAAGCAGACGAATCGCAAAACGACCCTTCGTTTCATCTGGCTCTCGCGAAATGGGCTGCGTGGGTTATCAATGCATATGACAATGGTCAGGAAAATGGGGAGTTGAGCCTCAGAAAGAATGTAATTATTTTACTTGCTGCTACCCTTGCTCCCGGTAAGACAGAAGGGGCAAAGAAGATCGATGTGTGAGTAGAAATTTGATATCCAGCTGTTTCATTGATGCAACAGTATGCAACAGGTTGACTGCTCTCCTCGGGGCGGTGAGCTCGGGTTTCACGGAACTGCAGAAAGCATCTGATATGCTTCTCTCTGCAACGCATCCATTACAACCGCAGGTGAGTAAATCGAGGGCCAATCCCACCTCCTTTCTTGATGAATTGTAGCATTGGGATCCGGGTGATCTGACAGTAATGAATGAGCGACTTCGTTCTCTAATGTCTCTTGATGGTGAATCTCAAAAATACACGGATGATCTAGACTCAGCGCCCACTACATTATTGCCAACGCAGGGTTCAGATATAGGCGGGTGGAGATTACTGGACCATCACAGCGGCTGGAAGTCGTGTCCTATAGGCGTTTACTATCCAAATCACGCTGCATAGTAGACAATTTAATGTTCTTTGCATACTATATCTTGCAGTTACCTTGTCCTGTCACCCAGGTCACAGTCACGCCACTTCCATGCTGCGCATTATTAATTTATTACTACTCAGTTTCCCCGTTCCCAGCAGGTGCATGATTCGAGTTGCACTGGAGCATAGGCGCTCCAAGTCCTTACTTCTCTCCTTTGTTTTAGCAGTGAACTATGAAGTTCAACACACCGCTACCACAGACGCTACCTAAAGAATGCACTAAGGCAGCAAAAATTTGTGAGTATCTGCCAGCTTCTTTGTGGGCCAGTGGCGCTGACACTTTGCCCAGTTTCTTCATTCGTGGACAACAAGAATAATGGTCTTGACGGTGTGAGTATAGCTATTGGCAGCACAGGAAGTGAAATCTCAATCGACATATCAGGTCATTCCTCGGAGTGTGTTAGAGAACGCCAAGGGATTCGCCATCTTCACTGTTTTCAAAGCAGGCTTCCTCTTCTCGGCAAGAGCGGGAACAGGGATCGTCATAGCGAAGCTTGATGACGGATGTGGGCACTTCGCATATTACGTATGCACCAGTACCGCTCACAGGGTTTATTAATGGTTAGCATGGTCTGCTCCAAGTGCTATAGGCTCAGCTGGCGTAGGCGTTGGTGGACAGCTTGGTGCAGAGATGACGGATTTTCTGATTATCCTCAATTCCACTTCGGTCGGTCTCCATGTTTCCCGAATCTCTGGGCTTCGTCGCTGACCATGTCATTGTAGGCTGTTGTATGTCGATTTTTATTTGATTTCAATGGTCATTAAACGCTTATCCGTGTTCTTGTGACTTAGAGATCCTTCATGTCTGCTGGCAACCTCACTTTGGGAGGCAACATAAGTGTTGCGGTGGGTCCTCTTGGGCGGAATGGCGAAGCGATCGGATCCGTGAATTCAAGCGGCAAGGTTGCTGCAATGTAAGCTCACCACCCCCCATCCACAATACGCCAATTAACAACTCAAACTTGAATTATCCAGGTACAGCTATTCTAAAACGCGAGGCTTATTTGGTGGAGTTTCCATAGAGGGCTCTGTCATCGTTGAACGTCAGGATGCAAATACATTAGCATACAAACAAGACGTGACTGCGAAAATACTTCTCAGCGGAGCAATCCCTTGTCCGGAATGGGCTTCACCCCTTGTGAAGACACTCGAATCGTGCACCGGTTTGCCAGGAACTCGGAAGTGGGTCGACGACGGAGCACGGGAACAGCCTGGTTACGCATTTGCGACCCCAAAGAGTGAAAGCAGTACGCCTTCCTTCTTGAGCAGGAAGAAGAAAGGAGTTGATTTTCCCCCGGAACACTGGGGAAAGAGAAGTGAATCTGGATCGTATTTTGCTAGCGGGGGAGCGGACGTCGATGTTGGCCCTACTCCGTGGGATGTCTACGACCGTGTCCCACAGTCAGGGTCTGATTTTGATACAAAGTTTAAATCTGACCCTGCACCTCCTTCGCAAAGTTACCACCGGTCTTTTAACAGTGTCTCTGCGCCACCAGGTGCAAAGGACCGATATGACCCCGCATCACCGTTCAACTCCCTGCCACCATTTAGCTCTGCACACTCAGGCTTAAGCGACAAAAGTGGTGCTCATTCGCGCTCAATGAGCGTACCACCTGTCAAACAATCTTACAATCAACATTCCTTGGCGGATTATACAAACCCTTTCGCTTCCAGCTCACCACCGGACGACAATTTCTTCGAATCAGACAATCGTACGAGCTCCCGCGCGGCGCCATTCATAAAAACTAAAGCGGAATTGGCATCGTCTGTTGCTCCTGGTGAAGGTGTCAGTCGTGCGATAGCACTCTACGATTTCAACGCAGTTGAAGTATAAAAATTTCTCCCATGATGATGAGCAACTGTTTACCGAATTCCATGTAGGCTGGCGACCTTTCTTTCTCTAAAGGGGACGTAATTATTATAACAAAGAAGAGTGATAGTACCGATGACTGGTGAGTTTATCTACCTACTTCCACGTCGATATTGGTAATTTTATGACTTGAACCAGGTGGACCGGAAAGGTCGGTGGCAAAGAGGGAATATTCCCGGCTAATTTTGTGGAAACTGTATAAGTACAATGGCAGCGCATTCCCATTGATCAAGCATCATTCCTATGTATCGAGTATCTCGTTGTACATTTAGTCCACATTGTCAACTGTATTTGTTGTAACACGTATTAACGGCATGCACATATGCTTGGATATATACGTGTGTTTGGATTCTAGAATGACAAACATGAGAACGCGCGCGTTACTTCTTCTCCTATCCACAAGTTCGAACCGGGTCTGCAGGTTGGAATCGCTCCAATGCCAAAGGTAGCAAAGAAGTACTACGCTGTGAGGATTGGCCGCGAAGGACCACGAATATACGACTCCTGGCCTGGGGTGAGTTTTTTTCTCAAGTTCAGTCAAAACGAGCCCCCTTTCTTAATGTGTCCATTTCAGTGCAACGCAAACGTGAGCATAAATTAGACCATGACTGATAGATGCCAACCTATAATGCAACAACAGGTTTCGCGTTGGCCTGGTGCCGTTCACAAGAGCTTCCGGTCTCGCCTTGAGGCTGAAGAGTGGCTTGCGTTAACTGGACCAAGTAAGTAATTCAACAACTAATGATGATGCGGCTGATTCTTGGAAGTCTTGTTACCGGCTTCGAGTAAGGAATCTATATCGTCTAGTGGACCCAGCGTGCCACCGACCTTTGAGCCAAGAGTGGCAAGATCCAATCAAGCAAAAGCAGAAAGGCAACCACCAATCCTTGAAGGACGCGACCAGACTCCCATTGAGACATCTACACCTGGACCTTCATCGGAGGGTATTGTTCTTTCAGCAGAGCAAAAAGACGTGCTTCGGAGGGTCGGGCGCGGCGAGAATGTGTTCTTTACCGGATCTGCGGGTGCGTAATTCAAGCTGACCTGCCTGCATTATCGATGACTCTGTCTAGGCACCGGTAAATCTGTTCTCTTACGGGAAATAATTCGAGCGCGCGGTGGGCGGGGTCACCCTGGCCTTGCCATAACAGCCTCAACAGGAATAGCATCGGTTAACATTGGCGGAACTACCGTGCATTCGTGGGCGGGTATCGGGCTTGGTCTAGAAGACGCGAAGAAACTCGGGGGTAAATTTCTGGGCCAGCCGAAGTTTGATCGGGTCAAGCAACGGTGGCAATGCGTTCAAACTCTCATAATAGATGAAGGTTTGCGGTATACGGTTATTGTCTTATGAGAAGGCTGATTGTATCATTACGCAGTATCTATGATCGACGGAAAGCTCTTTGATAAACTGGTATGGTGCTACCGAAGCATTGTAATCACATACTGCTGACGTTACTTCTGAATAATGTAGGATGCCATTGCTCGCATTGTAAGGCGATCAGACAAACCTTTTGGTGGCATACAAGTACAATCTTAATAATTTCTCCTTGACTTCAGGCTTCTGATGTGTTTGCAACCTGTAGCTGGTACTTTCGGGAGACTTCTGTCAGCTTCCTCCAGTGCCGGATCGTGGTAAGAACGGGATCCAAATACCATCCACGTTCGCATTTGAAGCGGAAAGTTGGAGTTGTTGCATCAAGCAGCCTATAGTGCTAACACAAGTTTTTCGGCAAAAAGAGCAAAGTGAGCGATAATTTTCGATTCTGCCTTCACCCACCTACTTGAATTTAGAATTTGTCGACATGCTCAATGCGATGCGTTTTGGAAAGTTGGATAAAGCTTCTATCCAAGCTTTTCAAAGTCTTTCTCGCCCAGTAGGGTATGATGATGGTATTGGGCCAACACAGCTGTACGGTGTGGTTGTATGGTTGCGTTATTTTAGACTCAAAACCTCCCATAGGTACCCCACTCGCTCAGAGGTTGATTCAGCAAACCAAAGAAAGCTTATTTCACTGCCTGGGGATGGAATTCAATACCCGGCGGCCGACACACCTGGACGCGATTCGAACGACAATTTTGTTTCATTCGAACAGATGGGGCGCTTGTTAGAAAGGCTTGTAGCACAACGAGTCATTCATTTAAAAGTGAGTACTCCTTTTGTTTCCATATCCGTTATCTCACAAATCGCAGGTCGGTGCACAAGTCATGTTGATCAAGGTAATGTGAGGTGCTTCTAACGCGAGCTCCTGAGTTCAACACATAACTCCATAGAACATGGTGCAGGGGCAGCTGGTAAACGGGTCTGTGGGGCAAGTGGTCAGATTTAGTACTTCTGAGGAGGCCATGCAAACCGCTACTCCAATTGCCACGGAAGAAGGTCTCAAAGGTGGTCTATCCACGAAGTCCGAGCTCCCTGCCAACTACGACAACTCGCAATGGCCTGTTGTCCGATTCACGTGTGGCAAAGAAATGCTGTGTGTACCAACTGACTTCACGGTCGATAATGCAGATGGTGGTATAGAGGCGAGAAGACGACAGGTGAGCCTTCTGACTTTCGCTTAAAATCGGTGAATGAACAAAATCAGGTTCCCTTAATATTAGCTTGGGCACTGAGTGTCCATAAGTCTCAGGGGCAAACTCTTGAAAGGGTAAAAGTGGATCTTGGGCGAACTTTTGAGAAAGGCCAAGGTAAATCTTTCCTGAAGACTTATCCCGTGCGTTCACTGTCGCCTTCTCAGCATATGTTGCACTTTCTCGTGCTACTAGCATGAGCACCTTGGAAGTATTAAATTTTCTTCCAAACAAGTAAGCGTTCAAAATCTGCTTTGCCATGTTTGAACTGACCACGTCTTGTTGTGGCTGCAAGAGTAATGGTGCATCCTCGCGTATTGGAGTGGCATAACAATATGGAATGCGAAATGCTGAGTGACCAGATGTACGTGGATGACGAGTCCGAAGCCATGGACAGAGACGAATCTCGGGAAGCCTACTGGACTTGATGTGTATTATTGACAATAGTATATCTAATAACTCGTCAACATCATGCTGAACATACACTTGAGAATGGCAAAAGAAAATACAGCAGTAAGTGGATCATCGTATTATCCTTACGGAAGGAATCAGTTAACATCGCGATCCCCACAGCACTGGTATCCTCCCCATTGCGCGTTGGTCACGACACACTGAAACTCGGTGCGCACGTTAAACGTTAAACGTTTGCAAATCTCTCTTGCCCTAGCCTGCTCTCGAACATCTTTGAGTATCTCCATTAGTAGTACCAGGAAAGGGCATACTATCCCAAGACATCAGAGGGAGTCGTCAGCCAATGACGGATCTTGCTCCATTGTCTCCTGTCGTCTGCATTCCAGGAACTTGGCAATTTCGAGGGATCAACGACATAACTGGATCCAAGAATGCTTCAGCTCAAAGGAAGGGAAAGACCTTATACAACAGCAGGCGGTCTACGGTCTGCAGTTCGGCATGGTATTTACGAATGCCGTTGGCAATACGAAACAGGTCTCCAGATGATATATCGCCCTCGACTTGGAGGAGGTTTGAGACGACAATCCACGTTTGAGCCTCAGCCTCCGAGTCGGTGAGCGTGGTCAGTGTTGTGTATTTGTGCATGAGAATGATGGGATGGCTTGAATTTCGGATAGTTTATGATAATGTTGACGATAGCTTGGGTCATAGATGAGACTGAGGACTCAACGAATCATCGTCGACCCACATTCATTCAACTAACTCGGTGGAAAGGCGATATACAGTTTTTGAATTATGTAATTGTACGTGCCGATGCGTGAGAACAGAGTACAGGCCGGGGTCTTTAAGCGGAACTAGCACTTAACTCGATGTTTCAACGTTGCAACTTGGGCCCCAGGCTGATGCTACTATCACGTAATATAGAACGCACAACGAGTTCCCAATATTGTAACAAGCAGGCTACCTAAGTGTGACTCACGTATCCAATAGCTTGTAACCCGCTTTGTCCTATTCCCTCAAGCTTAACGTTCAAATAGTGTAGACGTTCTGCAGAACCTTCAAGCAGTCTACAGTTGGTGGTCATGCCAGCGCAATTTTACGCCGTGCGTATTGGCCGCGAAGGCCCAAAAATGTACTCGAACTTCTACGATGTAAGTCCCTTGAAGCTATCGACATGTAACTTAGGTCGACTATTGACGCGCGGCAATAGTTCCGGGCTACAGTAAGTATGCCCTCGCCGACTCAGCGCAACCTCCGTCAATTGATTATTGTTTGAGACCCTTGGTCTTAGCGGTGCTAGCGGGAAGGGGTTCGACACATTGGAGGAAGCAACAGCTTGGCTTACACTGACAGATGTACCCACATCTGGCGTGTCTGTAACTCAAACGACTACTAGTAGTACGTGTACATTCTTAGTTCTGGCCCTTTGAATGTGGTAACATGCTGTACTGTTCGACAGCCACAGTTACATGGGATGTAAGGTCTGAAATCCATCATTCAGCCTTAACGTCTACGAGCACGACGGTTTCTTTTGAATCTGCAAGACGCTATCCAGAACCTCAACCCGGTTGTCATTGGGTAGAGTACGAATCGCCCTTGAATACGCCACAGACGATACCAAATAGTGACAGACTTACGCCTCCTCCGCCATACATCCCCTTGCAAGAAGCCGAACTTCCCCCTCCGCTTCCCCCTCCACCAGAAATTGAGTTGTCTGAAGAGCAGCAACGGGTTCTCCGACTCGTTGAAAGTGGCAAAAACATATTTTTCACAGGTCCAGCCGGTAAGCTTGCATATCCGCTTTTTAAGATAAGTAATCAACGCATAACTTTCCAGGAACCGGAAAATCAGTTCTATTGAGAGCAATAATAAAATTGCTGCAATATAAGTTCGGTGAGGTTGCTATTACCGCACCTACAGGCATAGCAGGCGTGAACATCGGTGGTTCAACCATTCACTCCTGGGCAGGCATAGGGTTGGGCAAGGAAACTGTCGAGGTGTTGGTGGGTGCTCTAAGTTCAAAGACGGTCAAACGGTGGATGGACACTCGTGCCCTTGTAATCGATGAAAGTACGTTTGACCTACGATGTTAGACAACTGTGCTAACGTCTGGCAGTTTCGATGCTGGACGGCCGTTTATTTGACAAGCTCGTATGGTTTCATGCCTGCACTACATCTTCATCTAACTAATTGGGCAGGAAGAGCTAGGTCGGATTGTCCGAAAAAGCCATCGCCCTTTTGGGGGTATACAGGTAATAGTTGTTATGCCCTTGTATTACCCTTCAGTTACTGACAGGTTGAATAGCTTATCCTATCAGGCGATTTCTTTCAGCTTCCACCTGTTCCCGAGCAAGATTCCACGACGATAATACCTCCTACCTTTACTTTCGATGCGCTATCTTGGTCTCGATGTGTTGACGAGCCAGTTGTACCGACAAAAGTTTTCCGCCAGAAGGACACTAGTGAGTACTTCGGATTCCATGCAGCTTTCTGGACATCTTACAGAGATGCAGAGTTTATTGACATGCTCTCTGCGACGAGGTCAGGACAATTGGAAGATTGGCACATTCAAGAGTTCTTCAAGTTGAGCCGTGAGGTTAAATACTCCGATGGCATAAGTCCAACTCAATTGTGCGTTTTTAAACTCCCTCGCTCCGTGTGATGTATCAGTAGTCATTATCATCCATAGGTTTCCACTAAAGAGCCAGGTTGAGTTATGCAATAAAACGCATCTCGACGTATTACCCGGGGAAATATTTACTTATCACCGCCATGGAGTCTAGAGGCTTTAATATGTATGGAGACCGAATACTGGTCGATGCTGCAGAGCGGTTGTTAGAAAGACTAGTTGCTCAGCGAGAGATATCTCTAAAGGTTAGTTGCGACTTGCTATGTGTCTAAATGTGTTACCTAATTCACTACACACTCAGGTCGGCGCACAAGTAATGCTTCTTAGAGTGAGTATCCAGAAATGACTGTACTGGCTAAGCCTGATCCACACCTCCAAAGAATCTTTTGCAAGGCAGGCTGGTCAATGGCTCACTTGGCAAAGTGGTTGACTTCATCACCACACATGAAGCGATTAAGCGCCTTATCGACATTGCCGACATTGAGGCGAAACCTTTGCGTTCCCAAAATGGCGACTTTCTTCCTACTATTAATGCGAGGACTGATGGTAAAAACACAGAAGTCCAGTACGAAGGCCTATTGGCTCTCAATGGACACGTATTTGGAAGACATGAAAGGTTTCCGCTCGTCAAATTCACCAACGGGCTACACCTTCTCTGTGCGCCCTTACCATTTGATGTCCAGGGCCTGAAAGGCAACTGCGAAGCACAACGAGTACAAGTACCTCTCGTGCTTTCCTGGGCAATGTCCATTCACAAGGCTCAGGGCCAAACCATGAGTCGAGTAAAGGTTGATCTGAGGAGGATCTTTGAGAAGGGGCAAGGTGAACGATTGAGCCCATATCTTATTGTCTATGGAAGTTGATCTGCCTTTGGGAAGCATATGTTGCCCTTTCGAGAGCTACAAGCCTGGAAGGACTGGAGATCGTCGGTTTTGATCCTTCAAGGTTTGGAATGAAGTTGGGAATTGTTGCTGGGCATATCGACTGACATGTTCTTCCAGAGTATTGGCTCACCCACGCGTCATCGAGTGGCAGGCTTCCTGGCAAGCCCAGCGAGCTCGAGAGGAGGAAATGGATATGGACTGGGTGATTGAGCAATATCACTCATCAACAGATATCCTTTTGTAACATTTAGCTGCACAATGTCATGGATTTGTAGATGCACAAAGGCCATTAATTCATTGATCACAAGTAACAACATGTATATTTCAACACGGTTCGTGCCTAATATTGTAGACGCCAATTATCCAGAGAAACACAGAATTACCCTGAGCGAGAGTGTTTGGTTAAAAGTTTAAAAGTTTCATCTTGAAACTCGATGCACAAGAAAGAGGTAACCCTATTGTATTAGTTCACTTGCCACGTCGCCCGCAGGAGAGATGGGAAGCGACAGCGCTGAAGGTGATAAGGGTGGCGAAATGTCTATCTCCGATTCTGTGCGCTTTGACGCGGAACCGGTGGGCGATGGCGATGACTCATCATCTCCGCCCTGAGCAATTCGTGATGGCAACGGGGGAATTTCCATGTTAACGCGTGTCGGCGAAGTTGGGTTTGCACGAAGGGAAGGATGTATGCTGCCTGTCGGTCGTGTGGGGAGACGAGGAGTGAAGTCATCTGGGCTTCTCGGGGATCGAGGCCTTGGAGGAACACTGCCAATCTTCGTGTGTGATGAACCATACGAATACACAGGAATAGGTTCACCAAGTGGCGCAGCAGGCAGAGGAGGGGAGTTACTGGCAGGCGGGAGATCCTCGAAAATCTCTCGGGCATTGTTAATCATGTCCTCCATTAGCGTATCCTGAATTCAGAAAAATTAGCTGAGGCAACCCAAGTAATAAAGAATGACTAACTTTCCATGACTGAACACTCAAAAGGTCACCGCCCTTTGGAATTTCATCTTCACCAAAGATGACGGCGCCAAATACAATCGCCAGGTTTTTTGCGTCCATCTTGTTCTTATCCGCATTGGATGCCACCCGGGTTAGATGCTCAACTAGAGCGCGCAGAGTCGCGCGGTGGACGGCAGGTAGCCGCCGTATCTTCGAACGCAGGAGGGCAAAGTGATTCGACTGGTGTTCCGCTTAATACAAGGTCAGATGGTTTTCTGGATGGTTTACGCTCCCGAGTGCTTGCCTCGATCCCCCGTATGCTCTATACGATCCTGCAGTGGAAATCTAAACAATGGTTCCGAAAGCTCGCGCAAATACAACTAGAAATGAAACATCATTGTCGTGGCATCACAGTTGCCAGAAAAATACAATACCTTTAATAGTGAGGATACAGCATAAATATCGTCAGTGAGGTTGTTAAACTTGAAACCGGCTTCGTTTCGCTCTATCTTATGTTGTAGCTGCGGAATGCTGATGAAAAGCATGTGATATGGAAAAGCTGATAGACTTACATCCTGTACAATAGCATGCCTGCCAGATATCTTGCTATAACTATCAACATCTGAAGTCAGAAAATTGCACCAGGACTTACCCTATAAATGCCTTCTGCGTCTAACCCTCTCTGATCTACTTCTTCCACACAGATACGCAAAATTTTTGGAACATCGCCTTCCCCAAGGCCTCGAGCAGTCGCATAATCCACCAGACTAAAGCCGAAGATGAGGTCGTTGCATTCGCCAACATTGTAGTTATAGTAAAGTATTGGCTTGGCTATTGCCGATGCCAGTGAACGAGGAATGAAGGCCGTGACAAGTGATACATCTTTTTCTGGGGAGATCCTGTCGACCACGGAACGTCCGTGTGATGATAACTGTGTCTGTGTCGTAGTAGTCGCACTACCGACAAAATTCAGAAATGCGAACGCAAGTGATGCAATCAAAATATACGCACGTCATGTTATCAAGATATTTCTCCAGGACATTTTTGACTGTATTCGAATATTCATAAACAAAGGTCTCCAGACTCTGAATGGTGCCTACTAGTCAGCTGCCAGTAGATGATATCTGCTACATAAGAAAGTTACCTTGTAACCACTTGCAAGGATCTTAGTGCGCCTGAGTCTAAGGGTCTCTAGCCAATGCACGCCCTTCCGATATTCCCTATCTGTGCTAAAATTAACTTCGCACGGCTTGCGTACACCGACGCGTCACTTACCAGCCTCATCAGCTTCTCGTTTCGCACGGACAGCACGAAGCGCACTATTTTCTGACCGTACACCCAAGCTCTCTTTCACAGTACCGCTTTTATCTAAGAATGTGATAAGCTGATTAAGCTGTTTCTTTCCTATAGGCGCTTGATTGAGTCAAGTCGGAATCAATATATGCTGTATTTATGCCATACCGTGTTGAGCAAAATCAGAAAATGTGCCCGAAGTAGACGGTGACCGATTACGTGGTCCAGGCGCGCTTCCAGAGGGCCGTCTATCAAGAGGGCGTAATGGCTGAGGGGCAGTGACAACAGGCCGGGATGGCAAACTAGGATTTGACCGCGAAGTACTCAAGGTAGTTCCGCTTTGTTCTGAATATGGCGTAGTACTAGTAGTAGATATTGAATGCGGCGGCGTGGCGGCAGCGGCAGCCTTGTGATCCTTGAAACACATTGTAGGTGACTGCAAGAAATTACTACTTCGGTACTGACCTCGACTTCTTGGCATTTTTTCAGGTATGTGCGCTTCAGCTTTGGTAGTGTATTCTCAACATAGTCAGTGTAGGCACTGCCAGACTCTTTTAAATCCTCTTTGATGCGTTTGCGCGTACGTTCCTGCGTCTCCTAACATTGAGCGATTAGAGATTCGACAAAACGCTGAAGGAGGGGGTATACATACCCTGAGTGACGTCAAGGCATTAACAACATCTACCGTAAGCGTTGCGAGAAATGCTTGTCTGGTTTGTGCTTCTGTATCGCCTGTAAGGGACTACTACTATAAGGTCTGATATTGAAGTAAGACCGACCTCTCTCGATGTTATCCCGAACTTCATTCCACGCTCTCCTTGAAGTGCTAAGTTCTGTCCGATCGTCTAAATAGTTGTCGATGGATTTCACTTTCCGATGAAGTTTGAGCAAGGACTCGATGCTAAAACGCGTGTCAAAGCGTATTCCGGAATAATATATACCAAATATCGCTCACTACACTTCTTCGATACGTTTTCTACGGGAATCATACCACTGTTAGACGGTGTATTGGGATGACTGAGTGGACGAACCTTTCTTGGAAGAAGCTTAAATATGAATCTGTTAAGACCTTGAGGTGATGTTCAAACAGGGGAATTGGTCCGTGTTGCGACTCTGAAGAGGATGGCCTAGGTGCAAAGGACTCCGCGATTGGAGCAGCCATGACAGTGTTGAGCAAGTTGTTTAGACATGCTCCTGATTTCCCCACAACATCCAAATAGGGATACACAAGGACCCCTGGTACTGACGTGTGTAATAAATTGAAATTTACGCTTCCGAAGCTGTTGAACCATGTGGGCATCTCGTTATAAAGTTGTTGATTATACAGTTGTTGATTTCAATCTCACTCTTCTACATACTGCGCAACTTGATAAGACGCGCAGTACCAGCCTATTTCTCAGGAAATGTCGCTCTGGAGTCGGTATACCGATCCTAGTCCATGGCAGGTCGTCTTGAGGTCTGACACTTTTCAGTCTCTCGATGGGAAAGCGATCATCCATGGCAACTTGAATGCGTGAGTGTCGTGCTCCAAGTTGATGCCTGAAGCTTCTAACATCCTCAATTCTTAGAGTGTGGTACAGCACACTCATGGTTCCAGCATATTTTGCTGCTGCATCCGCTCTTCTGCTCTTGCTACATTTAATAGCGCTATCTAAGCCGGTCAAAAAGGTTTGGTCGCGTTTTCTGCCCTCTAGGACCGAGGAAGAACCTAGCATTTTCTTCGATGAACCTACTATAGCTGATGGATTTTTCTCCGAGGCTAAAGTATTCATTTCCCAACATGGTGGTTGGGTCATTTTTGCATACAAGTTTGCAAGATTTATTGGTTGTCTTGCGTTCCTGGGACTGTCATTAGCTACTTTCATATTAGATGAACGTGAAGAGCACGCAACTGGAGCCAACAAACTGTCCAAAGGAAAGCATCGCAGGGCCCATCCCTCCGATGGCTACATTCCGTTCTCTCACGCTGAGTGGTTGCAATTTGCGTTGTGCATGACTGCTGTTGGTGATTTGTGGTTATCTGTTTCGATATTCGCTCATTCTCTGCAGGCTTATGCATCTATTCTCGGGCTCGTTTCTGTGACAACGAAACCCCGATGGAGCAGGCTGGTGTCCAATCACCTGGCTACTCTTCTCTTCGCAGCCTTTGCGGTATTTGCGTACCGGGATCTATGGCCCCTTATCACCTTCCATAAACGACCCAAAGATTTTGAGGAAGGGAGCTTATTGTGGGTGAAAGTCGCTGTTCTTTTCATGTCAAGCATCGTATTCCCTCTCGTGAGCCCGAGGCAATATGTTCCAGTAGACCCCGCGGTATGTCATAGTATTCCATAGACCTCTCATCACCAATGCTCACGTCATTTGAAAGAACGTCTCTGACAATCCTCACCCCGAGCAAACTTCTTCTTGGCTGTCTATGATTTCGTATACCTGGCTGGACCCCATCGTCTTCAAGGCGTATCGAGTTCCCCACCTGTCGCACGAAGAACTTCCCCCAATGGCCGACCATGATCATTCCAGGAACCTCAAAAAGAAGAGTTTCCCCGTAAGTATATGTCATTACTATAATAGGAGGTGAGTTGACAATCGTTGCAGCATCTTGACCCCTTCTCTGGTAGCCGAAGGCGACATATCTTCTTCGGCCTCATGAAGACTTTCTGCGTTGAGTATATAGTCTTGTCTGTTATGATTGTTCTCCAGGTATGCAATTTCTCTTGCTCGTGGCTCCCTATGTCAGACAATTCCCCATGACAGGTGCTGGCAAAACTAGCCGCTCCCTTTGGAATTAATCAACTTTTGCTGTATGTAGTTTGGTTGTCACATTTCTTGACATCTCATGCGATTTGTTTAGTTATGTTGAAACGAATGGCGAGCGTGCTGTGGTCCGTCCATGGGTCTGGATTTCCTGGCTGTTCTTAGGACCACTTGTGGCTTCCTTGGCATGGCAATGGTATATTTACATTGCGGTGAGTGCGATCGTTGGATAACTAGTAATCAGAATCATGAGCTTTCTAGACACGCGCACTCGTGCACACGGAGGGTATTCTCACGCAGCTGGTCTTCGAGCACGCGCTCCGAATCCGAATGAAAGCTGAGCTCCCCGATGACGGCAAGAAGTCTGGGGAGTCTACGGCAACATCAACGCCAGACAGTGCATCTGTAGCTGGATCCAGCACCGCCGCCGCGGATGAAAGTACGGATGGCAGTGGTGACGAGACCATTTCAATATCTTCCACGAAAAAAGGCAAGCGAAAGTCCCAGGATGTCAAAGAAGAACTGGACAATTCGCCGAAAAAGCATTCAAGTGCTGACAACCTTGTTGGGAAAATTAATAATCTTGTCACAACTGACTTGAGCAACGTTACCGATGGACGAGATTTCCTCATGGTTGGCAAGTCACACTTGGTTCTGATGGATGCGTGCTTTCTGACGCGTGTTTTCATCCAGCGTTGTACGTGCCACTTCAAGTAGGCATGTGTATCTGGTTCTTGTATGAAATTCTTGGCTGGAGGTGGGTGTCGTCACACTGCCGTCTAACTTGACTGATGGCTATTTACCAAGTGCCTTTGCCGGCTTCGCTGTGATGATCGTCATGTTCCCTCTCCCTGGGTACGTTGCCCAGATGATTCAAAAGGTGCAGGTAGAGAAAATGCACAAGGTTGGACCTTTCGTTGATTGGTCGGTCGATGCTTATCGTAACCCCAGACAGATGCTCGGGTGCAAACCGTGACCGAAAGTAAGTCGAGCATAATCGGTGTAAAACCGGTGCTTATGGTTCACTAGCTATGAATGTTCTGCGTATGATTAAGCTGTTCGGATGGGAAGAAAAATTGGACGCGAGGATTAGCGAGAGAAGAGAAGTAGAACTTGTCTGGACGTGGAAGACGAAGATCTTAGAACTGGTAAACAACAACTTGAAGTACGTCTTCGGTATTAACTGGTGTGACAACGAAAACTGACGCATGAATAGCTACGTAATTCCGCTGTTTACTATGATGGCTTCTTACATGACATTCGTATGTTGCATTCGATTACATGCAAGGCAAGTTTGTTAACCTCTCTCTTAGACTCTTATTATGGGACAAAACCTATCTGGTCAGTGTATAGACTGTTGCGTTTTATTGACCTGACAGGTATTCCAGCTTCAAAGGTTTTCTCGTCGATGTCAGGTAAGCTTCATACTGTTATTCACTTGTTTAGAGTGACTGATGACTTGTTCCTCTGACAGTTTTTGACATCCTGAGAGACCAGCTGAACATCGTGTTCTTCTCCATTCCAAGATTTACTCAAGGTCATTATTTTGTCTACTACGAAATCACTGACAAAACGATGCTCTCCAGCCAAAGTATCGCTGGATCGCGTCAACAGTTTCCTGACTGACACAGAACTATTGGATGCCCACGAACAGCAGGACGACGACAGAGTCCAGCTCTTTGTCCAGTCAGAAGAAGAATCTGACCTCATCGGCTTCAGAGACGCTGTCTTTGCATGGTCTAATGAATCCCATGGGTCGCTGACGCCGTCGAAGCGCAAGTTCAGGCTTCGCATCGATGGTGAGATGTACTTCCAACACGGTCGTATCAACCTTGTCGTTGGACCGACAGGTTCTGGAAAAACATCAATGCTTATGGCTTTGCTCGGTGGGTAATTGTTGGACCTTGTCCGTAGATGTTTATAATCTACTGCCCAGGCGAAATGCACTTCACGCCCTCTGGTCCAACATCTTGGTTTAACCTCCCTCGCAAAGGTGGTGTAGCCTATGCCGCGCAAGAGTCCTGGGTCCAGAATGAAACCATTCGGGTACGTGAGATCGCAAAATCAGTTATTCGTATGCTGAAGTAGCTCTCAGGCCAACATCCTTTTTGGCACACCCTATGATGAGATTCGATACAAGAAAGGTGGATATTCAGTTGCGCTACTTGTGAACGTTTGTTGAAATGTTTGAGCGCAGTCTTGTATCAGTGTGCTCTGGAGCGCGACCTGACTTTATTCGAAGCGGGCGATCAAACAGAAGTTGGAGAAAAGGGTCTTACGCTAAGGTAAGTTCAACAAGCTCAGCCTCCGTTTATTATAAGTCTAACATCGTATTGAAAGTGGCGGTCAGAAGGTAATCACTTTCCTCACGAGTGGGCATGCGGCTGCTGAAACATGTTAGGCACGAATTACTCTTGCAAGAGCTATCTATTCTTCGGCGAACACACTGCTGCTTGATGATGTTGGTCGTTCCATCTCTGTTTTGAACTATTAGTGAGTAGACACACAGGTTTTGGCTGCTCTGGATGTCCACACGTCCAAGTGGATTGTAGATAAATGTTTCGCAGGAGATCTAGTCAAAGATCGAACAATTATCCTTGTGGTACGTGCATGTAGGTTAAATGTAACTACTCCTTTTCTAAGGCAGTACAGACACATAACGTTGCTATGACGAGTTCTATAGCGCACTTCGTTGTGTCCATGGGTTCCAACGGTCGGATTGTCAGCCATGGATCGATATCGGAGGCCATTGCAAAGGACAACAAGCTTGCAGCGGAAATGGCTAAAGAACAGGAAGTGCTCGGTAAAGAGGCTCAGATCGTAGACACTCCAGAAGAACCGAAGGCCAAGTCCGATGGCAAGTTGGTGATGTCTGAGGAAATTGCAGAGGGTCATGTTTCCTGGCCAGCTTGTTGGTTCCTCCCTCCACAATCCTTGGTGCCTTGCTGATATTGTTTTTCAGTCAAGCTCTACCTGACCGGCTTGGGGGGGAACTATCCTATGACGTTCTGGGTTGTGTTCTTGGTTCTGATGGGGTTGACGGACTTCGTCAACACTGTGCAAACCTGGTTCCTTGGGTACTGGGCATCTCAATACGAAGATCGTCTACCTTCAGAGGTCAATGTCAAATTGTAAGAATAGCTGCCGTTCGTGGATTTGTCACTCACCTCTATCGTAAGCTATCTCTCTGGATATGCCTTGCTCATGCTCTCTGGCTGTCTCATGTATTCGGTTGGGTATTACATGTATTATCGGGGTTCAATGCGGGCGTCACGAACCATTCACAAGAAACTCATTCAATCTGTACTTGGAACAACGCTAAGGTATGTTCTCTGGATTTTACAGTCGCGCACGCATTCATTATTGGACAGATGGTTAGACACGACACCTACATCTCGAGTTATCACCCGGTGCACACAGGACATAAGAGCCAGTCAGTCTCTTGCTTCTAGACGGTCAACATTTGCTGATAGGTTATCCAGTTGATGGTCCGTTTGCACAGGGAATTGGTTGGGTCGTTGAACTTTCTTTGACGATGATCGTGAAGCTCGGAGCCGTTGTGGTCATGACGCCTGTCTTCTTGGTGCCCGGTCTCTTCATTGGCTTGCTAGGTGGATGGATCGGTCGCATCTACATGAAAGCTCAACTATCAGTCAAGCGAGAAATGAGCAACGCGAAAGCACCGGTCCTCGGTCACTTCGGGGCTGCCATTGCAGGACTTAGTAAGCGATCACCAGGCTTCTATGATATGTGAGCTCATTCATTAAAACAGCATCGATCCGAGCGTATGGTGCAGAGGAGGCGTTCAAAGAAGAATCTCTTAATCGCATCGACCGCTACACCAAATCAGCGCGCATGTTCTATAACTTAAATCGGTTCGTTTGTGTTGGCTGTGGAGCGATTGGTTGCTAACGGGTGTTCTCAGTTGGGTTTGTGTCCGTATTGATATTATCGGTGGTGGATTCTCGGCTGGTCTTGCCGCTTATCTAGTGTACGGTCGTGGAGCCCATGAGGCGTCAAACATTGGGTTCTCTCTGAACATGGCAGGTAAATCATATCTACATGGTGTGCCTATTGCGAATTTTCACTCACACCTTACAGTCGGTTTCAGTTCCATGATCCTTTGGTGGGTTCGTATCCTCAACGAGGTGGAAGTCAGCGGTGAGCTACTTTCTCACATAACTCCTTCTGTGTCTAACTGATTTCTGTAGGTAACAGGTGAGCATGGACAGACAATGCCTCCGACTGTTGCTTACGTGAAATAGTCTGGAACGGATCGATAGTTATATCAAGATCGAACAGGAACCTAAGCCTACTGAAGGTGGCCAGCCGCCTGCGTACTGGCCTGCAAGCGGTGATCTCCGCGTAGAGAATCTGTCGGCCCGCTACTCGTCGGTGAGCATTAGCTCGTGTCTCCGCGTTCTACCTAACCGTCGCTTGCAGGATGGACCTAGAGTTTTGCAGGACCTGTCTTTCCACATTAAATCAGGTGAACGCGTTGGTATCGGTGTGTCGCGAGCTTGCTTCCACTTCCAATTCAATCGCTAATCCGAATTTAGTGGGGCGAACTGGAAGCGGAAAGGTGATACTTGTTTGCGTTATCTACCTTGACTTATATTGACTGTTCTGAAGAGTTCCTTGACCCTCTCTCTCCTTCGCTGCATTTTTACAGAAGGCAATGTTTATTATGATGGGATTCCGACAAGTGGGATCAATTTAAATGCCCTGCGGTCCAACGTGACCATCATACCTCAGATCGTACGTTTCTTGTGCCGTTGCTCGTTCACGTCGCTGACGCGTTTCATCTCGCACAGCCCGAGCTCCTGAGCGGAACGCTTCGTCAGAACTTGGATCTCTTCGAGCAGCACGATGATGCGGTGCTTTACGATGCTTTACGCGCTGCCGGACTCTTTTCTGTCGAAGACGAGTCCGAGGCGAGCTTAACATTAGACAGTGCGATCGCAAGCGGAGGAGGGAATCTATCAGTTGGTCAACGCCAGATCTTAGCTCTGGCTAGAGCTATGGTCCGCGGAAGCAAACTGCTTATACTGGATGAGGCAACTTCCGCTATTGGTGTGTACCTCACGTCGTGAATTTTTATTATGCTATAATCCTCTGCAGATTATAAGACCGATTCTGCCATCCAGTCTTCTCTCCGCAATGAGCTGAATAACGTAACTCAGATTATCGTTGCACATCGGCTGCAGACGATCATTGATGCTGATAAGATTGTGCGTATTTGAAATTAGGATATTGTGTGCTGAGGACTTACGATCTGCTCGATAGATGGTCCTCGATGCCGGTAGACTTGTGAGTAACCCTATCTTGTATCGTGATCCCATACTGACCGAGTTGTACAGGTCGAATTTGGCAGTCCATTGGAGCTATTGCAAAATGAACAGGGTACGTTACGTGCTCTAGTCGATGAATCTGGGGACAAAGAAGCATTATACGCGGCGGCTCACGGCAAGTCACTGGAAGAAGTAGAGAGATTGTAGTCGGAGGGTAGTTTATGATCTATCATACTTGCAGAAGTGGAAATTCTTGTACCCCACAAGTGGGTACAAGTCTGGTGAAAAATTTATCTGTTCCCTCGTACCCTCAATCATACCAATTCACGCCCGCCTATCAGCTCACAGCTTCATTTGGCATGCTAACATTTGTCAGCACAATGTTGCTTGATTTTCGCTCCCTTCAAGTTGTTGTTCTCCTTGTTGTCTACACATTATTCTCCCCTAGACAACCCTTTATAGATGAAAGAAGATACTTGTCCCTTCTAATAAAGCATGTCAATGTTGCCATTCAACACGGAGAGTGCTAGTGCACGACCACCCGAAAGAAAGAAAGCTACTAGTGTCGCGATTGGGAATTCAGGGCCAAATGTTCGCTGATTCCCTTTAAACAAGCGGTGTGAGTCCGTTCGTATCATTTAATTATGAAGCATCACAAGGAGGTAAGTGTCACTGCAAGCGAGGGCAACTTAAGTATTGTTCACTCTAGTATCTTTTACCAGAGTTATTGTTCCGGCAACTCTGCGAAAGCCATTGCTTGTTCGTCACGATGAGGCAGCTTCTGTGGGCCATTGGTAAGCACCCTCCCGTTTTGAATATTATCATGCCTTAGAGCCTGAAGATTCCTGAAACCGCTACTTGGTGGGAGTGTCTGTCTACAAAATTGCTGATCCATCAAGTCCTCTACGGGTATCGATCGTGAGTCGAATCTTGCCATTCTCCCAATTCACGCCTACTCTACGAATGGTTTCTTGAGTGAGTGATGAGTGCTGCTGAGCGCATCGCGACTCACGTAGTTAGATCATCAATGATATATGTGGGGCGCTTTATTTCCTCTGAACAGTTCTCAAAGTCCTCGCGTTTGTGGGAGGTGCAAACTGCAAGCGTCTTTGCACCGGCACTATTTCCTGCTTGCACTCCGGATGGTGCATCCTCGATGACAAGACCTAGAGCAAATCAAGCGCCACAAAGAAACGGGTAGTGTCTGACTCACACTTAGTCACATCAACCCCAAGTTTCTTTGCTCCCTCAAGATACGGTGTGGGCTTTGGCTTGCCTTCACTGACATCATCTGCCGTCACAAACCCTGACGTAGGCACGGGAATTTTGCACTTTGGTATGCATTGACTTGCGTAATACCTCGAGGCTATGGTCCAGGGAGCTCCGGTGCACCATTAAGAAGACAAGATTGCTACACTACCTGATGTGACAATTGTCCACCTCGTGCACATGTCATTATGGGAGTTGAGCTTCGAGCGATGTAGTCAGCCGATCGTGCAAGATATGTGTAAGTTCGAAAGTTCGAAAGTATTACCTGAGTCAAGAATTCGATGGCGCCTTCGAGGGCCACTGGGCTACCCTGGATTACTAGGTCCTCGAAGCGCAAAATTTCGCTCTGCAGAATCAGCGAGGCTATCGCAAGTATGGAATGAGGTCGAGCCCACATTCAAAAGTTCTGTGTCCTGGATATTGCATACCGTCTCGTCCTTCAGGGTATCAGCAAGTCTCCGTCCATGAGTTTTCTGCACGATTGGAAGATGCGATCCAAGTTTGTATTCCTCCGCGAACGTTTTCCAGGCTGAAATGACGCCAGGAGTGGAATCTATGAGGGTCCTGGCGTACGGCGATCAGCCATGGCAGATTAAGAAGACTGATAGTGACAACTACCCATCCAAATCGAAAAGGATCTACATACGAGAGGTTATCCGCAGAGGGTATTGTCATTGTCCAACTTTTGCATCGACGAAATAAACACGTACAGCATCGACTGTCACGATCTCAGGTAGCGCCATGGCCGTCTGAGTCTACGCCGACTGGGGTCTAGTACTACCTGAGAGATAAGATAACCAGGAAAAAGTTATTATAAATTATTTAAATAATTGTCGCGGCCAATCAACTTCGTTGCAGTCACCCACCTACTGCTGCCGATCCGTCATCACTGCAAGCAAAGACTAAGATCCAAGATCCAACCGCCATCTCTAGCCCGCAACGATGGCTGATAAAATCACCCGTATCGCCATCGTAGACGCAAATCGCTGCAAGCCAAAGCGATGTGCCCAGGAATGCAAGAAGGTGACGCACCACTTCCTTCCAAGCAATCACATCAGATCAGTCACTTATCAGCTCGCGAGCAGTCATGTCCTGTGGTCAAAATGGGTGCGCCTCCACCCGAAGCACAGGCAGGGTCCTCATGCTAATTTTCCTTCCAGGTAAACTTTGCATAGAAGTAAAATCGACCGATAAGATAGCGTTCATCTCTGAGTTTTTATGTATCGGTTGTGGTATCTGCGTAAAGAAGTGAGTGGATCGTTTTACGAGGATCGTCCACATAATGGAGAAAACTCTTAGATGCCCATTCGAAGCTATCGCCATCATTAACTTACCGACTAACTTGGAGTCACAAGTGACGCATCGTTATACCGCTAACGCCTTCAAACTTCATCGACTACCTACCCCAAGACCTGGCCAGGTCCTCGGACTCGTTGGCACCAATGGAATTGGTAAAAGTACGGCACTAAAGATTCTCGCTGGAAAACAGAAGCCGAATCTTGGCCGTTATGATGTGAGCAGTATGAGACTGTCCCAAGACGACATTGACTTTTACCTGGCAGGATCCTCCTGACTGGCAAGAAATCTTACGTTACTTCCGTGGGTCTGAGCTGCAAAACTATTTCACCAAGGTTCTCGAGGACAATCTGAAGGCACTCATCAAGCCACAATACGTTGACCACATCCCTCGGGCGATTAAAGGCAGCCTGACTGTTTCACAAATGCTGGACTCGAAACTAGAACTTGACAACAAGCAAAAAATGTGCGATGAGTTGGAGCTGAACAATGTTCTTGATCGTGAAGTTTCGGCACTCTCTGGTGGAGAACTGCAGAGATTCGCGATCGCCATGTCATGTATCCAGAAAGCCGATGTGTGCGTATGTCCCAATTCCATTATAAACCACACTTTAAAATCAGTCTTGCGTAGATATATGTTTGACGAGCCCTCGAGTTATCTCGATATAAAACAGCGGTTGAAGGCTGCCGAGGTCATTCGGTCCCTACTCACCCCGGACTGCTATGTCATTGCTGTCGAGCATGATCTGTCGGTATTGGATTATCTTTCAGACTTTATCTGTTGTCTTTACGGAAAGCCATCGATGTATGGTGTTGTGACTATGCCTTATTCTGTCCGTGAAGGTAAAAGTTTACCCATTAACTCGGTGTGAAATGGCTCACTCCTTCACAAGGTATCAACATCTTCCTGGACGGTTTCATTCCCACCGAGAATTTGCGTTTCCGTGAGGAGTCTCTGAGCTTCAAGATGATGGAGACTGCTGAGGAGCTCATCATTGACAAGACCCGTCATTATTCTTATCCATCTATGTCGAAGACGATGGGCAACTTCAAGCTCACTGTTGAGGCCGGTAGTTTTACTGACTCAGAAATTATTGTCATGCTTGGCGAAAACGGGACAGGGAAGACAACCTTTGTCCGCCTGCTTGCTGGCGTGATGACGCCGGACGACGAGGCAGACAAAATGGAGCTGGCGGTGTCCTTGAAGCCGCAGACGATATCACCAAAGTTCCCAGGAACTGTCCGCATGCTTCTGCTGAAGCAGATTAAAGCGGCCTTTATGCACCCACAATTCCAAACGGACGTGCTCAAACCGATGACGTTGGATAATATTATGGATCAGGATGTGAAGACACTCTCTGGAGGTGAGCTGCAGCGCGTGGCTATTGTCCTTGCACTTGGTGGGTGCTTTCTTTGATTTCACTTGGCGTTGGCTGACACCTGACTTAAGGCAAACCCAATGTGTCTGTGTATTTGCTCGATGAACCAAGCAGGTACACCAATCTTGATCTCCCGAAATGAATACGCTAACACAGGATTGAAGTTTCCTCGACTCTGAGCAACGTATCATCGCAAGCAAGGTCATCAAACGGTAAGCAAATGGTCTAGTCGTCTCGTTTTTAGATTTGATGGATACTCCTCAGCTTCATCCTTCATGCCAAGAAGACTGCTTTTGTCATCGAACACGACTTCATCATGGCAACCTATCTGGCTGACCGCGTCATTGTGTTTGAAGGGGAGCCCGCCGTTCGAGCAAATTCTACGCCGTAAGAAATTCAGGCGACACTACGCTCACGTGGTTAATTCGCTTTGCAGACCACAGTCCCTCCTCACTGGAATGAACCACTTTTTGGCATCGCTTGAGGTCACGTTCAGACGTGATCCCACAAACTTCAGGCCAAGAGTCAATAAGCTTAACAGCGTAAAGGACAGAGAGCAGAAGGGTATGTCTTTGGCCTTTTGAGTCATTTATAAGGTTTTGATATCGTTTTGGCAGTCATGGGCAACTACTTCTTCCTTGAGGAGTAATTGATATCCTTGTTCTGCCACTGTTCGTCAGGAACGCGACAAGATTGGTTGACGACGATGAGGGTTATTCTCAGAGCTGATATTACGAACAGAATCGTAGTACATCTTGTTGTACGATCTGTATTAGCTTTCACTATCCTCTGCGCTGGCTGGCGAATCTTGGGAAGATTAGCAAGTCACGGGTTTGCAGAACCGATCGTGCCTTGCGAGCCGTGTGGCCAGTCGGTTGAAAGATGCAGTCCGAGTTTGGTAGTCTCTGATGAACAATAAGAACTGTTCTTGTGGACAATGTCGAACAACAACGGATGACCTGGTAAAATTACACAATGCACTCTCGCGTTGGCGACTACCGGGGTGCTTCTTTATTGTGAAGGAGAGGCGGATCTACGTATGATTCCGTTGTTCTTCATTGTTGTTCCCGATGCCTTTCGTCAAGTATAAAGACAATACCACGGCATGCATTTCGTACACGCCGTGTTCATCACAATCTCGTCAGTGACGAAGTGGACTGTGTCTGCTGCCTTCTTTTACTTCGCCCTCTTTGCTTCCAACTTACGACCCGGCATTGACTGCCATCTTTCACAAGCTGGTCTTGGACAGGTCCTCGAAACACTCATTCGCCGCTGAAGTCGACAACATACCAGTACATCTACACCATGAAGGTTTCCGTTTTTGTAACTCTCGTGCTCTCTTCCTTCGCTACCGCTCTTCCGAGCCTCAAGCGCCGTGGGGGAAGCTTTGTACTGCAGAATGGTATTGACGCGATCAATTTGAAGTACGTCGCGTCGGCTCTACGTAGTTTCTTAACAATCTAACCCCTGCTTTCAGCAACCAGTTCCAGTCCTTGACTGCGTCCTCACCATGTACATCTGGCAACGCCTGTGTCAGCGGAGAGTTTGCTCAGTGTGTCAACGGGCAGTACGTCCTCACTTCATGTGGATCAGGTCTAATGTAAGTCTGTTCTATCGAGTATGTTCCAATGTCAATGCTTAGTCGACCTTCCAATGCTTCATCTTAGATGTGCTGCACTTCCTCTTGTCAACTCTGCTGGAACTAGCATCACTTGCACCACTCAAGCAGACCTGAACTCTCGTATTGCTGCCACCGGCGCAACTGCCGACGGAACAAGCACGACGGGCAGCCCCTCCAATGTGACCACTACATCCAGCTCAGCTTCAACAGCCACTTCCACAGCAGGCTCTGGGTCAAATTCCAACTCAAATGCTCAGACCTCCCTAACTCTGCTGTCAAGCCTTGTCGCTCCTAATTTTGCTAAGAACGGTCAGAATGTAAACACCTCCGAGGCTGGCGAAGTCCCCTCTTTGACCTCCACAAACAACTTCATCAACTACTGCGCCACATTGTCCAATCTCCCTATAACGAATGGCCAACAGATTAAAGGTGGTTCCTGCAACCCCGCTCCCATGGGTGCCATCCCTTCCACCTCGAATATGCCCAGCGCCAAGTTTGTCAGTCCTAACAACTTGGCTGTTCTTCCAGCGAACACCACTTTCCAGGTGACGCTGGCGGTGAAAGAACTCCAGACTGGGTTCTTTGTTAATCCGGATACCAATTACTTTTCCGCTCCCCAGCAAATTGATCCTACATCTGGGCAAATTCAGGGTCACGCCCATTTCGTTATCGAGGCGCTTCAGTCCCTTACGCAGACTACCCCAACCGACCCCAATAAATTCGCATATTTCCTTGGTCTAAATGGCAAAGCAGATGCAAAGGGTCAACTATACGCCAACGTCACTGGTGGTTTGCCTGAGGGGACGTATAAGATGTCTACCATTATCAGCGCGATGAACCATCAACCAGTTCTTGTCGCTGTGGCGCAGCACGGAGCATTGGATGACCAGATCTACGTGAGTTGCGAGTTGCGGTAATATCCATCTTATCGCTGACAGCTCTACCAGTTCACTGTTGTTGCCTCCGGCCAGAACGGCACGACCAAGACGACAACCTCCATTGGTGGCTCGCCGCTCCCTTCAACTGCCTAGGGTGTCTTCCGTGCCTACGGGTTCCAGCACTTGACCCTCACATACGCCCGAAATTATGAGCGCCACAACCATTTATAGCAAGGCTCGACTGGCTTGAGTTTATAGATTGCTACTTTCCTTGCATGTTGTTCAAGACCATCACGGATAGAATTTATGTCGCCCGATTCACAGTGGGCAAGATTGTTCTCATCAACTTCAGTGTAGCCTTTATGCACTAATATGTAGCTATTGCCTCAGGTCATTACCTTATATCAAATAGTTATATCACCCCATAAATGAAATTGCTTTGATTATCGTTAATTCTGCGATACAACTTTGTAAATGTTCAAGCATCAGGCAGGACTCAGGGACACCCGAAACACTAATGTCGCCTATTCTATTACGAGGGCCTGGGCCGATTATTTCCTCCAGCGGAATATCATAATGCGTAAAACCTTGATTTTTATGCACACGGACACAGTAATTTGGTGGAGGAAAGTGCTGTTCTTCACTGGTTGGCGAGCTCAGAGTGATCAGAGGCTTCCACTGGCAGAAAAGATAGTAGATAGCTTCAGTAGCGAGTCCAGAGAGATCAAGTTACTGTGAAATAGCTACATCAGCCTCAAAATCACTTCAAGTGTAGATTCTATGATACGAGAGATTTCCCCTTTACCATAAATCTTGAAGTTGGGGTACTCCACGGCGTTTGTTTGGCAAAAGCCTTAGATCCAAACAAATCAAAGTGATCCTTTGATCGGCCGCAATTGGATCACAATATTGACTTGAAAAACACCCTTCGCCGACTTTTATCGACGATCAGCTCCCCCCGCTTCTACGTATAAGGTCTGCAGATCTATTTATAATACAGATCATTTCTCAACCACCATCCATAGTTCATCACTGACATGACCAGCTCGTTTATCATACGAGTTCCAGCAACCTCGGCCAATATTGGTCCTGGTTTCGATGTTGTCGGCTTGTCACTTTCACTCTATCTCACTCTCACTGTCACCATCGGGGAGACCTCTACCTTACCAGTGATAACATATTCGGGTGAAGGAGCCGACGAAGTCCCGCTAGACCCGTACCGCAACCTCATGACTCGCGTAGCACTCTACGTGCTACGTTGCAATGGCCATAGGACATTCCCTCCCGACCTTAGTATTCACTGCCACAACCAAATACCTTTTGGACGCGGACTTGGCTCGTCTGGTGCAGCGGTCATTGCAGGCGTTCTCCTCGGAGACAGTCTCGGAAAACTCAACCTTTCCCGAGAGCGAATGTTAGACTACGCGCTCATGGTCGAGCGCCACCCAGACAACGTGACAGCTGCACTTGTTGGAGGATTTGTAGGATCATACCTTAGAGAACTAGACCCACAAGCTACTGAAGCAGCGCAAGTACCCCTCTCCGAAGTCCTCCCGGAATACCCGTCTGATGCTGGAGAAGACTGGGGCCTTTCCCCACCTGTTCCGCCGTTGGGAATCGGTCACTATGTCCGATTTAAATGGAACAGCAGCATCAAAGCTGTTGCCATTATACCCCGATTTGAACTTAGTACTGCAAAAGCACGAGCTGTTCTAGCCAGAGAGTTACTCGAGGAAAGATCTGGTACGTGCTCTCGTATATGTATAAAGTATTGTGTCTTGAATGAAAGTACCCTTACCCTCGCAGGTTTTTAATATGCAACGATTAGCCGTCCTCACCACAGCTCTTGGTCAGACGCCACCAGACCCAGAATTAATTTTTGAGGCTATGAAAGATCGCGTGCATCAGCCGTATCGAAAAACTCTTGTGCGTAGTTTCATTATGTGTAGGTTCCACTTCTTGACCACCATTTCAGATACCTGGCCTGCCAGCAGTTACTTCCTTAATTACGCCTGCTTCACATCCTGGCCTGCTTGGCATTTGCCTCTCTGGTGCAGGGCCGACCATCCTTGCGCTTGCAACTCACAATTTTGATAGTATCGCTGGGAAAATACAGGAAATATTCCAGCAGGAGCAGATCACAGTGGATTGGAAGATACTGGAGGTGGCGGGAGGGAGCACCGTAGACTCTTAATCTGCATCTCGGCTCAGCTTCAATGGTATGTGATCTGCCCTTCCACCGATTGGACACCGATTCGCACTGCGATGCGATGGCAGTCAGCGGGTCAGAATGTTGTTTCCTCCAATGATTTTTGGCGGTATCGAATAGACGCGGAGGAATGCTAACTAGATCCTTAGGAAAACGATCTTGCATATGTGCTGCGAAGGCGCGTGCATTCAACACAGGGAATTTAATCGATGAAGTAGACTATTCAAATCTGGGACACCCAGATAGCAACAGTCTGCAGGGCGGATTATGCATGAATCGTCCAGTGCTCACTCTTCGGTATTATTGCGTAGACTCATATTTTGATTGTATAGAATGTTGCACAAACTATCAGAACCTTGGTATGCATTGGTCGGACCGCTCGGGCTCATACTTAGTGGTCTCGCCTTTTCTGTCACCTGTGACGCTCCAGTCCGAATTGTAATTCTCGCTAAACGCTTCTTCTACTACTTGTATCGGCATTTTGGACGTGCTATATCCCTCAGGCTGTCATGGATCGAATAATTGGATGCTTTCTCGCGACCGCCAAGAAAGAAAACTCTCAAAGTACCACTACCTCCTCACTTTTGATGATTCCGCGGCTACATTCGCAATGTCTCAGAAGTTCTCAAATGTCACGACGTCATACACCGTTAAGGTTAGTTCGTTTGAACTAAAATCAATTCAGTAGGATGAACAGACCTGCGTCATCGGGGACTCGGATAATGACCATATCCGCATATTCTGGCTGTTTATAATCCGATAAACGAATGTCTGTCATTCATCCACTTCAACATCAGCAAGTATGTCCTCACTCCACTTCACCACTTTCGCTTTCGCTCTCATTGTCTGCGGCAAGCTTCTGGAAAGCAATGCCCTCGCCATCATTAGGGACGATCATTCGACTGGATTTTATTTTAATGCTTATTACAAACCGACAAACGATGCTACGAACGCAACTTTTGGATCACTCATTTCAGTTACTAGTGAATCGGACTTGGAGGTGAGTATACGTATTGCGAACTCGGTCACAAACGTGTATTTAATCTCCGTGTAGTACCTCGGGCAGGTCAACGTAGGAGGACATGGCAAGTAGTGCATCTTATTAGGGGCTACATTCACTGACCTGTCCAACCTAGATTTTAACCTAGTGCTCGATACCGGGTCCAGCGATCTGGTGAGCAGTGCTTTGTTTTGTAGTTCATGTTCGAACTTATTGTATCGATGCAAGTGGGTCACTGGTCAACAAATCAAGATCAACAGCAAGACATCGGACAATATCAACCTCACATATGGAATTGGTTCCGCCTCAGGAAACGTCGCTTATACCACTGTTCAACTCGGGACTTACCAAGTGCAAAATCAAGGTGATCCTTATCAAAGCTTCCTTTGACCTCTCCTTACTATTTTAGCGTTTTTAAATGTTGACAAAACGTACGAGCAAGGGACTGATGGAATTCTCGGCCTTGGCTTTATATCACTGTCCATGATCGAGAAAAAAATCAAAAACAAAGCCGCCCGCCCTATAATGGCAAACCTTTTTGAACAAAATCCGTCAACACCGAATTTTATGGCTTTGGCGCTCGAACGCACGATTGATAATGAAAATACATCTGGAGGCGCTATCACGATTGGAGAATACGATCCACGATTCAAGGATGTCTCCGGGACACCTAAATATCCCCTTGCGCCTTCGACGTCACCGCGCTGGACTATCGCGCTATCGGGCATGCAGGTCAATGGCCACAACGTGACACTTAAGTCAACAGTCAAGGGAGCGAAGAAGGGGACTGCTATTTCCCTCATCGACAGCGGAACCAGTTTGGCGTACATTCCCTCCGACGCTGTGGATGCGATATATGGCGCTATCACCGGGTCGGTTCATATACAAACCAATGGGCAAAATTTCTGGATCGTCCCGTGTTTAGGCCAGGCAAATTTGTCTTTTTCATTCGGGTTCGTGAATCCAGTGGTTTTAATCTTGAATATCTATTGATCAGAGCCTTAGCAACGATTATTTGCCCATTAACCCTCTCGAATTGACGAGGCTGGCAACTTTTACTGACGGCAACGCTCAATACACTGTTTGCACCTCCGCATTCCGCCCGCAACTGTCAGATACAGGCTCGGATATGGATTTTTTGCTTGGTGATATATTCATGCGCAATGTCTACTCTGTGTAAGTTCTTTCTATTGGCATATATTCACCCTGGCACTGACCTTGACGAATGTAGCTTCAACTTTGGTAATCTCACATCCAATAATGACGATGACAAGGGTGCTTCGATCCAATTCCTCTCGAGGTCAAGCAAGGATCAGGTTTACCAAGATTTCCAACAACAACGCACTCAGAACTTGAAGAACCTTCCCCCGTTATACGACTTGTCCAAAATTCGTTCCGACGGAACTTCTTCGGATGGTGGACGCATCAATTCTTACTTGGCGTACGGATTGTCGAAGTAAAAATATTATGTAGAATTGCAGTGCTGCAATATAATTGGCAGCAAACATATTTTACACGCGCTCAAGTTATGTGCACAAGACGCACAGTCAACAGAAATTCAAACTCATGCTACGTCAGGACTACATCCAATCCCACATGTTGGCGCACCTGAGCTCACCGTGACAGGCAGCATCTTTTGAGTCACAATCGGCTGATATTGTCAGTCCATACCGGTTCACCACCTTTATCCTCTACCATATCCACGAAGGCGCTACACTGCATATGATCGCGTCCGCTCAGAATTTCACGGGAGTTAGATTTCCACAGGGAGAGGGAAGCGCGGCATACATCAGCAATAATATTATTTACAAAAGAATCAAACACAAAGACGAAGAGACTATCCACATATTGCAGTATTAGTGACTATTGGTGTGCGAGGGAGATGCACAACAAAGAAAAGGCACAAGTCGAGCCCATAATAGGAGGGGTCACGGTCGGCGTGGTAGAAGCAGGAGATGATGCAGTAGACGTCGAAGCAGCGGCAGGCTGAGTTGCGATGATGAGGCTTGTGCCTGTACTTTGCCTTGCGATTGTTTTTGCTGCTGTTGTGCGCATTTCGTCTTGTCACGGTCTGACCGCTGAGTAACAAACAGTGACTGCACAGAAAGCATTGATTTACAATGATTCGAACCCGAAAAACAACATATTCGTTTGTCCCACACCAAAGGAACGTCACGGACGATGCGGAGACCGCGATGGAAAAAGATGGATTCCGTTTAGCGTCCTTGGAGTTCGGTTGTTTCACTGGTGGTTTGAGAATGACAGAAAAGCAATGAAAGGCGGATGACCACTGGCAATACAGGTCATAACAAGAACTGACGAATAACAATAACACACGTGGACACCGTTTCGCGAGTCATCGAAAAAGCCTGGTGGTCCTTATTGGAGAATCTTGCGCTGGGCTGGATGTCACGTAGCTTCTAGATGTTGGTGTCATGCTGGAGTGGTACTCCAATTTGGAGGTTCGTGTCGAGATTCCAGGAAGCACTGTGTTGTCATAATACGCAGTTGCAAGGAGGCGGTCGGCCAGTCAAACGTTTGGATATAAATTGGCGGCAGTAACAAAGTGTTCATGGGTCACTTAAAGGTGGCTGTGTTAAATACCTAATCGAGTGATGATATGATCTTACTATTTCCATTTAACGAGTACTAAGACTAGACGCAGCATACATTGCAAGATATATCAATAGATCATCATATGTAATTCGTCCATGATTGTCATAAAATGCAAGCGAAGGAATGGTATCATGATATGGGTATGGTACATTATGCATGCCAATGGTTTTAGAATCTAGGTCTGCTCAAGCACTCAACCCCTTGCGGTGAGACAAACAGCCCTCATTGCTACCAGCGACGCTGAATGTCTATCGAATGGCAGATTCACCGTAAACATCACATCACTGCGATCATTGTTGAGGTAAACTGGTAATGTGACCAGGTCGGCAGGCTGTTCCTCGTTACTGGAGTCATCTTGCACCCAGCGAATTTGAGAGGCATTGAGTCGGACAGCCTGCCCGTCATTGAGGATCAACTTTTCATTCTCGGTGTCCCAGGCAGCGCCCTCCAGAATAAGACCTAGAGACGTTGTTCGAGTTCGCCGAAAAGGGAGGGGAAAGAAACAACATACCATCAACAATGAATGCACCAGGATCGTTCATCTGGCCGATGTCTAGGCGCAGGTGAAGCGTCTCGAGACTCCACCGTTTGCGATGCGCCACAGCTTGACGGGTCGCTGTGATATATGCTTCGGGGAAGAACAGTCCACCAAGCCACACCTCCACGTTGGAAAGATTTTGTTGCACACTCGTTATGCCATCGAGCTGAGACAACCGACGAGCCAGATCTGGAATCCACTCTGACACGGACATGGCCTTTGGCACCTTGTATCTCCTCCAGTGAGAAGGAATAGTTCCTAATATGCATCAGTATTCGATGCAGAAGAGAAGGGCAGCGACAAAGAACCTTTTGTCAGGGAGCTCATCAAAGTTCGCAAGTGATTTGTCTGCTTTAGTTCTCCATCGCAAACCTTCACCACGTCTGCCAGGTCCTTGCAAACCTGGTCGAGAAGTTTGCGTCCGATCGAGGCCTCCCGGGAGAACAAACGATAGAGAGGATCAGGATTATCATTGGATTGCTTCGGCAGAGTATTCAGTGTCTGAAATAGGACAATGAGCGTCATGCAGACAACAAATCCATCAAGAAACTCACCGAAGGGAGTTGCGTAAGCCACTCACGGCATCGCTCGTGAAGGTTGCGCATCCATGCAGGTTGCTGCGGGGTCTGACTTTTTGAGGGACCAGCGGCATTTCCGAGCTCGTCATCATCTGCCAGAGTCCGCATCTTGCGCAATTTACCAAGCAGTTCATTACCTTGAAAGCGAAGCAATCAGAGAGGTCGCATTGTAGATGTATATTGCGTACCTTGCGCTACAGCAATAACACGCTCTGCGGTTGGAGGGAGGCTTAGCCATGCGGGTGGTTCGCGATCAGGTAGGCGTTGAACCCAGGTCAAGAAATGCTCTAGTTTGGTGCCATCAGGAGCTTCAAGCCCATGGTCTTCACCGACGGTTGGAACGAGGTCGAAGTCAACGTTGTATGCAGCAGGCGTAAAGAGCTTGTCGACAAAGGCGTCCAAAATGCGCTGATCAAAATCACTGTCAACTCTTCCTCCGTAGACGGACTGCTTGATCAGCGTTCTGAGGGCATCCCAAGGAATGTTTGCCGGGTCTACATTTGCTCGTCCTTTAGCAACTGCATTGAGCCAGGTGTCGATGGTTCCGAAAGCCGAGGCCATATCAGAGTCGTTAAAGTCGTAAGTCTTGCTCCAACCTAATGGGACATAGCGGAGACGCTCTTGGACAACAGCATGGAACCACGCCAGTAGGAAGTACAGACGTATCTTCTCTGATGGACCTTGCGCCAGCCGCTGTGGCGTTATGGATCCAAGTGAGTCCAAGAGGTTTGCTTTAATTCCTGGCAGAGGCTCATTCATGATGATGCGTGACTGGCGTAAGATGTTTACAGGAATGGAAGGATTCGCTTCTAAGGTCAGGAAAAGGCGGAAATTTCGATGAGGATTCAATGTCTGGAGCTTCTTCTCCAGTTGTCCTAGCCACGTAGGAGCAAGATGCACGTTCTTCAGAAGCACCCATGTCCCTTGACGGGATGCTGCTGCGATTGCTTGGTCTGCCAACGTAAAACCTTCTTGAGAACCCATGGCCACTGAGGAGGAACGTGCACCGGTAGATTGTATGAGGTTCTCTACGCGGTAACTGGCGTCATAACCCGTAACCGATACAAGGGCCAAAGGAGTCGCCGCCGGCACCTCATTCGCGACCATGGCGCCCAGGTCTAAATCGGATGAGAGGTCGCTCTGGAACACATTTCGAACGAATAGGGCCGTGGACTGCAACAGTCTGTCGGGCCGAAGGCACTTGACAATCAACATTGAACGCAGTGCTTCGACGACAGCTGCAATCTGATCAGTGGTCGCTCACTGATGAAAATGTGTGGTCACTCACGCGTATTGGGTTCCCAGGGCGTTGGAACGATAGATTCAGGACTACTCGATTGCAGGAAAGGAATCCAATCATCTGGGTGCTCCAATATATTGTTGAGAACTGGCTTGAATAGGGATTGTTTGGCATAACTCTCCAAGTGCACCATCTGATCTGGCGTCAGTATCGAAGGGGTAGGGTGCTCTGTTGAGGGAGCTGTAGAAACTGCAACGCCTTGCCCGCTCTCCAGCAGGAACTCCAGTCCGTCACTGATATCTTCCGTTCCACGGAGCTTGACTTGAGCCAGAAGAACGGCGAGCATCACATGATCGCGATGAAGAAGAGCCCTAGAAGTCCGCTTGTAGACGATTAAGAACAAGTCATTGAGGAGGATTTCGCGCCGGCGATGATGGTCGGATACGTTCTTGAGATTAGGATTGTGATGCAAAACGTAGTCGAATATGTCCAAGAAGAACCGCAGCGAGAATTGGTAGAAGTGGTTGACAAGGTTAAGTTGCTCAAGAATGAAAAAGACGGAACTGCATGCCTGCGCCAGAGGCAGGTACTCCGCAGTCACTTGCTCAACCTCCTTCATAACGATATCCGTTTCTTCAACCTTGTGAGTAATGTCCGCGGCCTCTCGTTTGAGGGTCTCCAAGGTGCTAATGACTTTGTCATCGTCAAGAATGTTACCCGTTGATTCATTGAGAGCTTGCAGCAGCAACTTTTCCAGCGTGCGAAGGCGAAGTCGGAACTCTCCTTGAGCCTTCATCAGATCAGTTCTCTTACGTTCAGTGTCCGGACGTTCGACTTTAAGAACTTGGTCTAGCGACTGACTCTGGAGACTACTCCTCGTCATGGTGAAGTTAACAAACGTTACCCTGCTGCAGATATCTGGAGAGAACTCGACAGAGGGGTCGCGAGTGGACAAAAACATGGTAAACGAAGGAGAGAAGTCGATGTCCTGGCTGCCAAGGCGGATGAGAACACGACCACCCGTTCTCCGAATTTCCCTGTTCAGCACAGCGTTCAGGATAGGATCGAGATGTTCGACATCTTGAATAAGTAAAGGATTCCCGAAACGAAGAGCGCTCTCAAGGACCTTGAGGAATGCCTCATCCAAGAAGCTAGTGACAGTGATCTTGCGGTCCTTGTATTCGTTGAGAAGGAATGTGGTGGCTTGCCCTGTGGGATCGATTATGAGAGGGTAGCGGTTGAATCGTTTCAACATGATTGCGTTCTCCGTAGTCAAATTGTCCGATGGGAGTGACTTCGATTGCCAGCTCAGGCGATCATCAGCAGGTCGATAGATACTCCGTGAGCGAAAGCTCTGGCTTGAACTTGATGCTTGCTTCGTGAAGATGGCTCGACCATTCCTGCCACATGACCTCGCGATAATGTTGATCGAAGAAGCCGCCATAAGCTAAAAAGGCAGCTGAAAGTAAGACATCGCCAACGATGGTGCTCATCTCCGCGTCGAATGTGCGACTCCCCGACTCCCAACGGCCTTTCTCCGATGACAAACTTTCAAGAAGTTTCATGCTCCTGTCCACTTTGCTCTGCACACGCTCCATCTCCGATTTGATAGCCTGTGTCTCGCTGATAAGCAACGCATACTCCTCTTTATAGGTCGCAATCTTGGACTCCAACTCGGCGACAATGGTAATGATCTGGGAGGCCTGTTTCTTTGTCATATCTGCCTGCGACTCCAGTGATTGGACCTCATTGCGCAAAGGCTCTACCTTGTCGAGAATCTCGGAGAAACGTACTTGAGCGAGAACCCATTTCACCAGGGGACCGCAAGCTTTACTCGCACGCTGCACTGTTTCGAAGTTGAACGAAGGTCGACTCAGGAAGTCCCTTTTCATCAGCTCGCGAAGGGGCTTCGTCATTTGACTATTGGTGTCAAAGTTGACGATCCTCTGAATGAAGTCGTCCCGACGAATGATACCCTGAACAGTACGCCAGTTGTCGATTTTGTGTCCCAGCAGGGTACATACGGACTCCATGGCAAGCTTTACTGCTTCAGGAGGGTTCGCCATGGTTCTGACCTCTTGGAGATGCTGCCTCTTGATACTGCTAACGGCAGACTGGGCATCCAGGACAGCCGGTTCCGCGTCAGCCAAGTCCGCCATGACAACGGAGCGACGTTGAGCAATGTTTTTATCTTGTTCGACAAGAGCCGCTTGGATCTCTATTGAAGCAGTTTTCTTCTGTTCAGCTTCCTGTTGATCTGCAACCATGCGCCTGAGCTTCTCGTTGGCTTCAGCATCTTTCGCTTGCAGTTGAGATCGTTTGATGGCCAGACTCTTGCGCAGCTCCTCAACTTGAGTGACGGTATCCTTCAGCTTGTCGAGACCAACATGCAGATGGCGCTGTTGCTCCTCGAGCTCATCACGTTTCTCATTGAAGAGACGAACATATTGATTAATGCTGCACAAAATATTCAATATTACAACAAAGTGAGGACGGCGAAACTCACAAGTCCAAATAGTGACGCGGTGTGACATAGTTATAACGACCCTGCCGGCGGCTCAAACGTTGGTTGATCTGGTGCAACGACGAGTGAACGTAAACCAATGCGTTCACCACTGCTGTGCGGTGGACTGGTGGCATGGACAAGTCGCGGTATGCAATGGGGAAGAGTGCGGGAGGGGTGTAGGAAGGCAGATCGAGGTCAATTGTATGCGTGAACTCCATTCCGACTTGATAGAATGCCTGGTCGGACCAGTCACCGAACCAGTCAAGAACACAACGATTGAACAACGCAGGAGAAGTAGCAGCACGAGAAGCAAGGCCGTTCTCAGGCGGGTTCATAGTGAAGACGACATGAAGATTTTTAGCGACCTGCTGAGTGAACCATCGATAAAGCTCCTCGTGCGAATCGAGCATCAGGCCATCCCTTTGAGAACCTTCTTTGCAAGCTGTCATAAGCGCAGCGTGTTCATCTCCTTCAAAGAGACCAGGAACTTCAGCGTTGGCAAGGAGCGTATTCATCCGTTCCAAGAAACCAGAATCAAGGACGTTGGACTCATCCATAATGAAGCAAATCTTTTCGCCCTTGCAACCAGATCGGCGCAATACTGTCCGTAAATCGTCGTCAAAATCATCACCAGTGTACTTATTGGAGACCTTGATCTGGAAGATGCTGAGTCCATTAAGCCATGCGACAAAACGTGAGAGTGTGGTCTACTCAGAAGTCAGAAGTAGGTCGGCTCAGGAGAACGTAGTACCTACCTTGCCGCTACCACTGACACCAATAAGAAGCAGATGCCCCTGCACCTGGCGGAATACTCGATCAATCCGAAGCACATGATCGAGAACATCGTTAAAGAGAACAAGTGGCACGTCCAGTTCTTCCTCGTAGAAGACTCGGAGGCGAGCTTTCGTGTACTCACGAAGCTCCTCACGCTCAACAGGAATATAGTATTTGGAGGTCCAGTTGGAAAAAAGGATTGGTCTGTGGAGGGCTTCATTCCGGTCGATCGTCGGGAAGTACTCCATGGCTGCGTTATCGATGTGTTCGTCCGTCCAACTTTTCTCATCCTCCGTGACAAGACGGTCTTGGAACAGGCGCAGGGCCTCATGCGCCCAGACACGCACAAGACCTTCGACAGACAACGTTTCCAAAGGCCGGATTGCCTCGTAGATACCACGAACCCATCTTGTCAGCTCACGAGGACTGTAGACGTAATGTGCTTGGATATCGGTTGTGAAGCGTTTCTGAGATGAGAGATAGAAGGCGACCATGGCATCTGTCAGTGGCTCTGCATATGCCCGCAGAGTTGGGACCACTTTCAACAGTGCTCTGTTGTACGTGCCATAAATCTGTTTCAAGGAAACCTCTCCAGGATAATCTACCATGACGAGGGGAGCGTGACGAAGGAAACGATGGCTAAGAGGTACACGTCCAGGATCAGTGGGAGGGTTGCAAGCACCCACAAACTGAATGCGCTCCAACTTGACCCAGGCCATATCCTTCGCACGCCAGTAACCTCCACATTCGACAAGCTGACGCAAGAAAGAGATGACTCGCTGGGTGCCGTATTTATCTTGAGCGGGAAGATTGATCTCATCGCAAAAGACAACCAACCACCGACCGATCTGCACTGGGGCCAGAATGACACCGTTCGGAGTCTTGCGATACTCGCAATACTGCTCAAAGGTTTTCAAGATGAGCTCTGGCGTGGTAGCGCTGGAGAAGTTCAGACCAACAACTTCCATGTCGGGAAGCTTGCGCAATGCACTGAACAAGGTCATGGTCTTTCCAGAACCCGGAGGACCACAAAGCATCAGAGGTTTGTGCTCTGATAGCCATGAGTACAAAACTTCTTCGTGGCGCACAGTGTCCATCGTAGGTACAACAATGTCTGAAGATGTGACGGCGTGAGCGTCGATCTCGATGGAGGGCACCTTGGACTGCCAAGCAATCCAGTCACCAGTGGAAATTTGGACGTCGAAGTCAATGAGGGAGTTGTCGGAGCCCATCGTTGGAAGGTCGATGCCGGTTTGCTTGCGCAAGAAGTAGCCCATCTCAGCTCGAAGGTCGAGTTTGGCATCACCGGAAAATGCCCAAATAATGCTCACAAGTAGCCGTTTGGTGACATACTGCTCTACCTTTTCAGGTGCAAGAGGGAAATCGGAATGTTGCAGGTTGTACTCGATGACGTTTCGCGCTGTCTTGTTCAAGAGCGAGAAAAGAGTATGCAATGCACGTGTCGAGGTGAAGTCCATGATATGATCTATAGACTCGGCGAACGTCAGGGCAGAGCCAACAAGATCTCCGTCGCCGAAATAGCGCTCCAGAATGGACGCGATCTGTACTTGAGTGGCAAGATTGGCAGAGTTAGATGCGTCTGCGGCTAGCGCATCAACACGACGGCCAGGCATATCGACGGCATCTTCATCATCCGCATCCAGGGGCACTGTTGACAGAGTGTTGAGGTAGTGACGGTAGACCATTGATGGTTCAATGACGTCTTCACTGAACCAGATCATACCGCAACGACTAACGGTAGCCAAGGTGGCATAGCGAAGATGCTCGACCTCGAACATGATGCGAACATTCGGCGGGAGGTTCAGGCGTTCACCGTTGGGCAGCGTGAGCAGTTTGTTATCATCCAGCACACTGTGATTACGTTAGACAGTGGCAGAACTACCCAATCCTGATACGCACCTATTCAAGTTCTCGACCCACTCAGGATCAACATCGCCATCGAAGATGATCCAGTGTCTCTTACTGCTTTCACCACGAACATCATCAACAATCTTGCGCAAGATGTGGGTAAACAGCCCGTCGTTCCATTCACGTGTAGTAGGATCGAGTGTGCCGTACAGCGCGTCCTTGTGCATGGCCTTAGGGTCAATGACATAGGGAATTCCTTCGGTGCCATCGAGCCTCTCAAGTGCGGCAAGCAGAACCTGCCAAGCATTGGTCTTTCCAGTACCCGAAGGTCCCACCATCATGAGACCATGTTGAATCTTCTGAATCTGATAAAGTTGAAGAATCTTGGCAACCCATCGATCACCGTCGACAAGGCGACGTTCCGCGCAAACCTTGAGAATTTGCTCGCGCAAAGCATCGAGGTCAACCGGAACGTAGTCGGTACCGGGGAAGACATCAGCAAGCAGGCTGTCCAGGGTAAGTCATTTGCCTTGATAGAACAAGCAAAAATTTACCTGGTAAGCAGAGGAACATCATCTGCAACCAACTTCGGCACAATTGTCTCGGTGACACTCTGGATGAGGATAATCTGCTCCGAGATGCTATCAGAAAGACCAACTGCACCATCCGCATCTTCAGATCTCGCACTCTGCAGACGCTCACGCTTCAAGATACCAGCACTTGCTAGGACAGCCTTCAAAGCACGGAGACCGAAATCGTAATGTGGCTGGGGGGAGAGCTGTTCATCGCAAAGATTGAAGAACGGTACAATCTTTGAAGCAAGTGACTCCGCTGTACGGAAACCTTGTGAGAAGAGCATGACCTGGGCAATCAGTTCGCGGTCGGGTCTCGTCATGGCCATCCTGAATGAGTAACAATAGATTCAGAATGGAACGCATAACCATCAGGACAGAACGTACGGCCTGAACAATTTCGTCAAGTTAGGCGGGAGCTGAGACCGACCAGCGTAGTTGGGGTTAGTCGTAATGAAAATACCTTTTGCATATATTAGCCAGTACCACCGCGTATTATGGAATTGTTACCAATGTTCTTATTGATCTTGAGGTTTTTGCCAACAAGCTCGATTTCGATGTTAGGGTTCTTCACCAATGCAACAAGACCTTGCTGAATGCTTTGTACTTGCTGAGACACAGCACTGAGAATACGCTCCTCAAGTCGATTGAATTCGTCAAAACATCCCCATGCACCAACTTGACAAAGCCCAACGAAGATGCGACCCATGGCTTGGAAATCAAAAGTCTCGTCGCAACAGAAGACCAAAACGAAACGCCCCAGCTGGACACCAAGAGCTTTGACAGACTCCGTTTTGCCTGAATTTACTTTAGGCTAACGTCGGAAGATAAGGACGACATACTTACCTGTACCAGCAGGTCCAAAAGGTGAGCCTCCCAGCTGGTTGTCGAGCGCCTGAGTCAGTGTCAAGTACACTCGGTCTGTCAACGGTGTCTGGACAAGACGATCGGGGACACCGAGATACTCCCATCCGTAAGGGAACGATGCATCAGCAACGGAGATAGCAAGTCTGTCTAATGGGTTCTCCACAAAGCGATCCAAATAGAAACGCATCTGCGCTAGCCACGTAAAGGCCTTGGTGTCTGTGACACGCTGCTGGATGAGGGTACGTGTAACGTCTCTTTGGTGGACCAGTTCGGTAATGAGGTGCTCACACTTGCGGCGGGTGACAGGGCTCAGTTCCTGCAGCACAATGTCCGCAAGAAGGTCGAGTGCCTGGCTGACTGTTTCAAGTGGCGGTTCTGGGAGCTTGCCAGACTCGAGAGTGGCATCAACTGCAGTAGTCCACGCAACTTGAACAGCTAGAGTGACCAACTGTGCAGGATACTTCTCCATCCACGTCATGAGCTGGTCCATTTCCAAGGGAGAACCAGTGCCATAGAAGGACTGTAGCTCGGTGACAGCATCACACAAAAGATCCGCAAGGGACAATCGCATCATGGATTCGAGCTTTGTGAGCCAGTCATTGATCTTGGGGAAATCCTTGAGCAAAACAGGCTCGCTGAATTTAACCTCCTCCCCTTCGCGCGAGGCCATGCCCTGGATCTGAGTAAGGTCCTCATCAAGCTTGATGGTCGAAATGCCAGCAAACATCTTTTTCAGGTGCTTCATGATGCGCACGATATCCTTGCTGTTGCCGATGATCTCCAGCAGGTCTTCATCGCCCACAAAGTAGAACCGAGGGAACGAAGACCGCTCGCGCTCGAGGTATTCACCAAGCGCTTTTTGGATCTTATTCAAGAGGTCGGCCAAACGCTCCAAGCTCTTCTGGATGCCCTGGATGTTCATGACGTCTATGACGAATGGCGACTTGTACACTTTTTTCATCACGGTCAGGAACTCTGCATTGATGTTCTGGAAGCGGGCGCTTTCCACCGGAAGGAGGTGCTTGATGTCCGCACTGCCTGAGAAGATGCCTTCTAGATATACCCATTGACGCTGTACGTCAACCCAGATATCTAAAACAGTATTCAGTAGATTTACAGGGAAGAGTAACCAACAATCATACCAAAGAGTACATGGATCCTGTTGAGTTTATCTTCCCATGACCCTGCTTCTTCCTCAAAGACTAGAAAGCAAGTTAGAACGGCATCAATGTAAAATCATGTCTCATACCCTTGTAATAAGGCGACAACTTCATTGCAGTCAAGGAGTTCAAGTTCTCGCTGCACTTGTTAAAGAGGTCATCCCATCCCCTGGAAGTAGTATGGTGAGCATCTCTACGTGGCCTTGCTGAAAATAACTTACTTTATCAAACGACACTTGTTCTGATAGTTGATAAGATCAAGCGTGTAGTTCGTCCATATTTCCTTCACTTGCTTGATATACTCTTCGAGGGCCATCTCCAATAGAGTGTGAGGCATAATGAGAGAAACATCACAACGCCACGCACCTCCCCCTGCGCTTGGATGATAACCTCGCGTATGGGAGTATCATTCTTCTTGAGGTCTAAATCGTAAACATGGCCAAGAGTCATACTGTACTACAATCAGCACGTAAAACGAATAAAGAATAGCACAGAACCGGCTCACAGGGTCAAACTGATCTGAGACGGAAGTCTCAAAACCTTGAAGAGCTGCTTCCAGTGTCTATCCTTCAGCGCCTCCGACTTCAAGTCCGAAATGAGCGAGTTCGACTTCAAAAGTCCACGCAGTACGTCCTGGACGTATTCAAACGCTGCGTACTGCCTCATACGCGTAGGCATGTCCCTCGTCGACGTCAAGAGGCCATCGAGCTGCTGCCTCAACTTCCTCGGTTGCACCACTGACCACGACATCTCCCTCAGGTCGCCAATCTGGCTCCATACACCAGAAAGCGCCGTCCATACTGCTTTGAGGTCACGTAGCTCCTCGAAGACCGGTTCAAGGCGTGTATGACGCGTCAGCTCGAGGTCTAGAGCCTCCTTTGCCCTGCAGACGAGGTCATACTCCTCCTGCACGCGAGTAAGCTTCCCTTCGAATACGTTAATAGTGTTCATAGCCGTGTCTGCACGAAGGCTGCCTTGTACGGGACGTGTCTGCTCCCATTCCGACAGGATATCGTTGATCTTGTTCTCTACGATCTTGTCTTCGGCAACTATCTTGAGTTGAAGGCCCGCTGTACGAATAGAAGATGAGTCACATATGATAATGTAAGTTCAAGAGAACAACCCCGTACCCAGCTGCTCTTGAATGGAATCATTCTTTCTCTTGAGAATCTCGTTATATGCGCTCCATTCTCCTCTAAGTTGGTCGCTGTATAGCCAGTCATCTGGGAATTGGTACCGAAAGCGCTCTAGTGTCTTCTCGCCGTTGGCACATAGATCTATCATAGGACCCCATGTCTTGGTCTTGCGCTTGAGGTCCTGTACGAATGTAATGAAGGTCACCGCCGCCGCAGTTGATGAGTTGGAGGGACTGAATGCCTAGAGAACTGTCAGCATCACGATGACCTCGTTAGCTTCTTGTGCTCACCTCCATGATTGCTTCTGGAAGAAGCTTTGACGCGTCCCTGCGAAACTTCAATGTCACAACACTTGTGGGAAAATATGCCATAAGCAGACCCCCTGCAATCGTTTTGTCAACGACACGACAAAGCAAGCTACATCGTCACCCGAGAAAATATCTGCTTATCATGTCTGGACGCCAACAAAGAGTGTTGGTGCAGCCCATTGTACGTTTCCCCATTCAAAGTCAATTTCGATTCACCGATGATCTTTATTTGCACAGAATGTGATCTTCAAAAACCTCCAGCAGGTCTGCTCCAGTATGCAATATTCTCTCCCTTGATACTGACATATGCATATAGCGAACAAAAATCGTTATATGGTTGTATGACAACATCGAGATGCGGATCGAAGGGCGCATCATTGTACGTGCACTTTCCCAGTTTCGAGCGTTTCGAGCGTTGAAGCGCATCTCTGGCAAGGCCATGGCACTCCGTGTTTGCGTGACGCGCGGCGATCTTGCTTATTTTTCCCTTTGCTTGAATTATCTTGAAGTCTGTTGAACTGACGCAATGCATCTGTTCTTCAGGGATTTGACGAATTCATGAATGTCGTGATCGACGAAGCTGCAGAAGTCTACGTCAAAGACGCCAAACCACGACGAGAACTTGGTGAGATCCCTTATCTTGATGGATTCCATGGACGCATTCCTGATATGGCTCCAGGTCGTATACTACTAAAAGGCGATAACATCACCCTCATCCAGCAGATAGTATGATATGTTGGCTCTGTTCATGTAAAATCTTGTCTTTCTGCACCTACCGGTATATGATGTGCTCTTACAATGTATCATAATAATTTTGTGCTGCTACTGACATACCTCAGCAAACGATGTTATGTTTGAGGACAACCCGACAACGCAGCAGAACAGAATACAACATTAAACTATAGATTGTAAATCGGTAATAACCTCGTAAGACTAAGTGCTTGTCTACACAAAGGACACTCTGCCTTCTCCCGTCCCCATCCTACAATGCACCCCCAACAAAACAAGTGCCCACATTCGGTTGCACAGCTGTCAGTTCGTTCTTCCAGACAAAGTGTGCACGTCCTCCCTGCCCGCTGGCGTTGAGGTATCGACGTGATGTCTAAGACTGTGTTCCCGTCTTCTTCTGCTGGCTTCACATCAGACTCGGAGGCAGAAACGCCGAGCAACGTTGAAACAGGTCGATCATCAATGAACATCTCATTCGTCGAGTCCAGCGAACGCTTCCCTGAGGACTTTTCCGAAGTAGCTTGAGATCTACTGCGGAAAAATGTAACGAGTCGGTGGAGGAGGCGTATCGCAATGAGTATCCCAAGCAATGAATATGACGGCGGGCGAACATGAGATTCTCTGGGATGGAAGACACCTGTCACCAAATATCTAGATCAGTTTCTTGTCCATTCGCAAGCAAGAGACTCGACCTACATGGCGAATGCCCAACACCCTCTTCACCAGATCATAATACGTGCCCCGCAGATAAAACACCGCCAGGTTGATCTCCGTCCCTACTTCCAAACACACCTGCAGCCCCTTGAGCAACTCACCCACTCTCGGGCTCAGTGCACCAATGTGGGAACCCCAACGCGCTATAACATACGAAGGAAGTGTAGGAAGGAGGATAAGCGCAGCTCGGAAAGAATGTGAAGGTGTCCTTCCGTCAGAAGAGTACTCCCAAATATCTGTGTACTCCTCCCCGAGAGTTTGAACGGCTAATATGTGGTTAGTAAAGGGTAAACCCTCGCAGAAGATGTATAGTACCTCGGCCAACGGATAGTCCGTAGTACATGAGTTTCACAACTAGCTCGACTTCCTTGTCCCATCGCGTGAGCCACCGTGTACCTTTCCGATCATCATCAGCACCAGCGGCAAGGAAATAATATGAGAGCGCACCAAGCCACGACCGAAGCACTGATTCTGCCTGTTCCCTCAACGATGCAACATGGAACAAATCTCTTTGGTTCGCCCTTACTACATCATGATCAGCCTTCCTTGATGCAAGAACAACGAGACAACACACTAATTTGAGCCTGCTGAGCGTCGGGAAACGTGGGCAGGCGTGATGAAGATGTAGACATGTTTTCGGTAACCTCGGCCTTAATTGCAGCTGCTCTTTTCCGCCACACACCCAATAGTTCTCACTGCAGCTAGTCGCATATTTCACTTTCACTCATCACCGCGAGTTCACTACAATGCCGCCCATGCCCGCAGCAAACAGAGCGCAAGAACCTTCTACATGGCAAAAACGTACGTCTAACCATGCATCTCGAGTCCAAGAATAATTTCTTATGACCGATTGACAGTGAAGTAGGTCCTAGTTATAGCTACCTCATCACATAACCCTTTCCAAACATGCCTTTTATCTCAGAATGGGCGCGATGATGGGCGGAGGCGTCGGTCTGACGATCGGTTTCATCTTTGGATCATACAGCATCCTTCGGTAAGAAGCCAACCAGCTTCTACCTTCGTTTTTACTCACCAAACATGTTACACAGAAATGGTTCCGGTCCTCGAGGATTCCTAGCTACGCTTTCGCAGTACATGCTTAGCAGCGCCGCGACTTTCTCTTTCTTCCTTGCTATCGGTTCCGTACGTGTTTTCTCTCTCCATGGGATATGGGCTGTCCTGGAAGTGGGCCTCTGATATCATCGTGTACGCAGGTTATCCGTAATGACGCGCTCCTACCACCACACATGGAAGCTGCCCGTCTGCAACTCCTTCCTCCTCTCGTGCGCTCCAAGGCTGAAGGCGCCATGCTAGTCCGTGCACGCTGGGACGCAGAAAGAGCGCGAAGAACAGCCGCGTAGTGCATGTATTGAGACTATGCATTGATACATGGTTGAGATGAGATATGGATGATCTAGCTAAGAACATTGCGTGTGTCGGTGTGGGCAGTGAATGTGGGGGTATAACAAAACATGACATGCTGCAAAGACGTGCAAGCGCGCTCTGCGGCTCCTGTCCAGTCTACATATGGGGTGGACATAACTAATACCTTAGGTGTCAAATTCATATCTCTAATCATCCTTTCTAGAACCGCAGGTCCGAGGCAGAAGTCAACTTCTGCATGAGGTGAGGAGCGACAGCGTCATGTAAGGGAAGAACCTAGAGAGACGCAGTCCACAATCTGCCATAACTCGATGGAAATTGACTTACGTGGTGTAGGCGGAGTTAGACGCTATCGAACCACGCTCGTTACACGTACCCAAAACCGCTTCAGTCTCCCGCACTGAATTGGTTTGGAACGATGGCTATACACATCGACCAGTGATGCGGTATGCGCTAGGCTATATGGGCCAGATATAGTTGGTCTCGGAGGTGGAGTAGGTTTCCACCACCGTGCGAACCATCGACTTGGTTTGTTTTTGCTCTGACCTGACGGAGTTGCCAAGGGGAATGGGGAGGTGAAGGAATTGGCGAATAGTCGTGATGGCTATGATACACCGTTGGTACTTCAACAAATTTCACCGACGGAGGGGATCGCTTTTTCTTGCGAGATGTCTTTGTTGTCGTTGCAAGGGAGATTCCCGAGTCATGTCGAGTGAGGATAGATTTTACAGGAGCAGGAGCAGATTTTGTGTACACTGTTGAGGAAGAGGCGATGGATGAGACGCTTTGGCGTGCACGATGTATCGGAGGCCGGAAGTACTCCGAGCGATATCGCGGATAAGAGGACATTCCTGGGCTTGAAGGCATGGAGGACTCAAATAGTATGCTTCTACGTCTGCTTGAGGATTCATCGCACTCCAAAGGTGGGGTCTATATGGAAGGGTGGGCTATGGGTTATGGTATATTTGATGGAGATAAGGACGTACCAGAACTCTTCGAAGGCTGTGCGGCATTGAAGAGTTATTACCCTCGAATTCCTCTTCTTCTTCAGGTGTTATGTCCTGGCTTTGTGTTAGGGATGCCACGTGTTGTGTTGATCTGACAACTCACTGCTAGATCACTCAAAGTGTTGACTGGAGAAAGATCAGTGATGGACTGCATGAACGGTCAATCAGAAGCTGGTGGTACTATGGCGGGATGTATGAGCTCACATTGACTATGGTATCAGTATCCAGCCAATCCCTCAGAATCTCGTCGTCGGGTGCGAAAAAGTAGGTGGGCTGCTCGAACTCTTTTGAATGCTTTTAGAGTCGATATATGGTCAGTCTAAAATGACATCAGAGATCCCCAGGGGCGCTTACGCTGAACCTGTGAGTTTGAGTGACGGACATGGTAGTTGCAGAGAGTAAGAGAGCCAGCGTGCATTCTGAAAGGGCGATTCGAAGGTGTTCCGGATACACGTTGCAGGGCTATGAGAGTTAGGAAACGCATAAAGATAAGGCTCGGAATACCGGATGTGAGTCATCTTGCAAGGTGGCAAAAGCGTGTTCGGTTAATAACTCCGGGTACCTAAGGCCAGGCACATTCCAGTAAGCCATGCCTAAGCCCATCCGGTGTGCAGCATAGGAATGCTTTCACACATAGACCACATGGAAGCAAGCCATGGAAAATGACAGCGGTGATCTCTGTCGCCTCGGTCATTCTCCATGTCATCATACATGTCATTCCAACGTAGGTCATTATCTTGAAAATGACAGGCGATTATGTGTAGTGGATCCACCTACCGAATTCGCTGATGCCCGTACAATAGCGAACGTACCCGATGACCCTCCAACACGCACAACCAGTGCCCTGTCAGTCCGAGGCAGAGGTAATAAAAAAACGTGCACCAAGACGTCAGGCGCCATCTCCCCTCCGTAGTCGATTGAACTTCGGTAGCATCTCACGAAGGTACTCTGCATGCTTCAACCTCAAATCAGCCTCTTGAATCCGTCCCCTTCCACTCCAAGTCCTTCTTTCTGCAGCGGGTCCGAAGATGGACGTGTAGTCGTCGAGGGTCTCGTCGTCTGTAGGAACCACGAGGCATGCAGCACCGATGACACAGTAATTTGTTATTCGTACAGTATGGTGGACGCGCGCACGCGTCGATATAGTGTTGAAGTTGCCAACGGATGGACATTCGACGCCTGTCCAAGAAGAAGTTCGTGACTGAAGTCACGGATGGGGGAAAAGACATACGACAGCCAATCTCGAACAAATTGTTGTCACCGACTCTCATCACTTCTTTGCGGCGATTGACTATTATGGCGGCCTCTTCGATGATGCAACCTGAGCCAATTACAATGGGACCGGCTATTGCGAAAATGGTGGCTTTGGGGTGTACGACCGTGCCAGGTCCGATAGTGATGTCTCCCTTTAACTCAACATCTTGGCAGACCACCGCCCTCGAGTGGATCGTGAATTTATCGCGGCTGCGAATCACAGCGTCACCATTTGATACAGGTATTATGAATACAGCTAACTTACATGGGTGGCATGAGTTCAAGAGCAATAACCCTAACCCTAGGATGTCAAAGCTGGTGCTAGCTATATTTACGGACTATCATATTCTATGAAGTGATATACATGGATACTTCTTAAATCCACCAAGAGCCCCTAGTGAGTGAATGAATGACTCATGGAGGGTCCGGAAATAGTCCATTGCTGATACTCGTCATTGCGAAGTGTCCAACACGATCAAACGTGACCCATGTGCGCAAAAGGCATGTGACAAGTTTCAGCTCGCCCACTCCACTGACCTAGTGAAATCTCCTTTGTGCCGTTTTGATGAGCTACTCGCTCAGATATAAAAGCATGTGCTTACTTTCCGTACCATTAATGGATTAACCCCACTTACTCATCTCTCATGATTCATCATTCCCCGTTGAACCTATTTTTTACACCCCTTTGCTTGTCAACGCCAATGTTCACTCACTGATGCAGCATTTTGTTGTCCCACTCCTCGCGATCAACGAGACAGGGATTAATGCAGTTGCGGAACTATGCTACATAGCGGGAAATGGTGAAATGAACCTGAATTCGCGAGGTCACGAGAAGATGTTTCATCCAGCCGCAGACCGAGCAGCATAACTTCTTGGTCTAGCTAAAACCCAGCAATTGATAGAATCCGGTTTCATCGCGAGAGCTGCAGAATTCCATTAGACACGGGGTGATGAAGGTATGACATGGATATGATAATTATAACCACGTCTATATTTTGAACGGGGTGTCGACATGCAGCCCACTCCAAATACCTCTTGCGGCCTCCGTCGTGCTCTCCACAAGACGGCCCTTCTTGAGCTGTTTTATTTTCGCGCCCGAGGAGTCGAGGAGTAGTTGAACTTTTTTCTCCACACCATTAACTTCGAACTCCTGCAATGGAATGACCTTGTCACGGCCATTAACTACGATCAGGTCAGATGAGTGTTCGGTATCACAAAAAGAAGCAACAGAACCATAAAATCCCCTTGCTATTGGTTCATGACCGTTGCGTTGCTTGACCACGAATTCTACGTGTGGGTTCTGCCATGCAACACGCTGTAGGTCATTTGAGATGAAAGTACGGGTGTTGGTAGATGAAGGAAGTTTCTGGCAGTATTCTAATACTATTTTCCTGACCTGTGGTAGGTACGCAGAGTGACCATTTGCAGGATACGAGCGCAACTGAGCTCTAAGGATCTGTTTTGTGGCCATGGACTGGAGCAGGAGGGGTATCGGAGTATGAATTTGTTTGCGGGTGAGATCGATCGGAGTATGAAAAGAGTGAGGAGAGAAGACTTGGTTTACATCGACTAAGTTGTCTGCGTGAGGATTAATATTCTAATTCGACCATCGACGCGTTGAGCCCTGAACGCGTTCATCCCCTAATCTTTCCTCGCCACACTCAAAATCTATAAGAACTACAAATCGAACAATTTTATCATGGCTAGAGCTACTCGTTCAGCGACACAGCAGAATGAAAAGGATAAACAGCCAGATCCTGGAGTTTCACAACGTGCAAAGCAATCCACAAAGAAACGCAAGCGCGTTTCACTTCCAGATGATGACCAGCCTGCACAAAAGCAGCATCGTGGAGAGAATGGCATAAAAGAGGAATCAATAGACGACAAGTTGTCCAAGGGAAAGATGCCCGAGCTCGACCATGTAGCCGATGTCCCTCTAGACACTCCAATCGCACAAAATGTCCTTGAAATCCTTGAAATGTGAGTCGAATACTACTATTAATTCATCTTCTAATCACCCCTACAGGGTCGACTCTCAAGGTCTTCTCGACCGTGTCTTTCCCCTGCCCGCCACAAATCCATCCGATCCCTCCACATCAAAATCGCAAACGGGAACGTGTTCTCTGCATACTCTCCTCAGCGAGTCATCACAGCACCCGCTCAGGGTGCTGCATGTAAGTTTCCTGCGTTCTTCGACATCGAATTGACTTATGAATGGCTTCTAGTCCGCAGTTCAGAATCTATTTCCAGAGGTCCATCCCGCGAGGTCTCGCCCATCCTCTGCTGCTGCACTACAATTGCGCTTTTGCAATCTTGCCATCTCCCTCCTCAACCAGGCATCCTTCCACTCCGTTCCGCTGCCCCTTGACATTGAATCCATAATCCCAGTCAATCCAGATCCATGTGCTGCAGATGCGCCATCTCTCAGTCCGAGCCTCCTTGATAAATTATCTCACACTGGACAGGGTAAGAAATATGCCCTCATGCAACGCCTCCCATCCGGCACCTGGTGGTCATCCCTCGGCTCAGATCTCTTAACCGACTCAAAAGAGTTCAAAGACCTCCAAACTGCCAATGCAGAACTCGTTGCCATCCTCCCCTCACCTTCGTCTCTCGTATACTCCGACGCCACCTCCAATTCGAGCATCACTCTCACAGATACGCAAGCTCCGATGACGCTGGGTGCCTACATACCGAAGAAGCCTCCAGGACATCGGTCAAAGGTTCTTGGCCCTCGGCACGTGAGCTGCGGGTCGTTTTTGGACTATGGTCCCTATGCGAGCTTTGCACCGAGCTTTGATCAGGAAGGTGTAGAGATTGGAAGAGAGGCACTTGGGGAGGTCTTGTGGAGATGGGAGGATAGGAAGAAGAGTTGGGCTGTTGAGAAAGCGCGTGCTGCTGAGGAGGCTGCACAATATTCGTCTATGGCAGGGTTGGAGGAAGACGAGGAAGAGCAGAATAACGTCGTCGACCCATCGCTTGAGGAGAGTCTTGATGATGACGAAGAGGTTTTGGATGGCCTGCTTTCAAAAGAACAGATTGCCTCCCTGAAGTCTGTCTTCAAGAGCCTGGAGTTAGAGAATGCTGTTCAGGAACTGCTGGATCGGAATACGAAAGCTCTTAGACGGTTAGAGGAGCTTCAGAGGCAACGGCTGATGAAAGAAGGGGGATTCCATGCAGTCGAAGAAGGATCAGAAGAGTGGGATACTGGTAAGGGCGCCCTGGAGAGATTCTGTTCCCAGACTTAGATTTTCTTACAGCTCAAGGCATTCTCGAGTCACTCACCTTACTGGCATCACTACGACCCCGACAGTCGGGAAGCGCTGATGTACCACTCATTCCCTCCTCTGCCATACTCCACAAACTACATCGCACACTCCCCGTTGCGCCCTCACAAGGCTGGTATGGTACCCTGCCTACAGGTCGTACAACAGCTCTTCGCGACAACACAACACTCTACATCAAGTCCACCGCCACCGCGGTGCCCCTCTACCATCAGCCGCGCCCACGCCCATCCCTGCAACCCCCGCTGCTGCTGCTACACCAGTTGCTGCAACAGCGGCAGTTGCACAGAACTACCAGTACTCGTATAACTATGCAGCAGCAGGCTACCGCGGGAGTTATCAGTACAAGCCAGGACAGACACCCTCCTACTACCCCGCTTCATATGGCACACAAGGGCAGACCCAAGCTGCCACGCAATACTATGCTAACCAGCAATATGCAACATCAGGTCAACAACAATACGCCTACTCTTCCTGGTACCAGTATCAACCTCCAACCCAAGCTGCTGCTGCCAGTACTAGTACGACGGCTACTCCGGGGACACCTCAGACGAGTGCAGTTGCGGCTGCAACTGCACCTGCACCTGCAACCCCATCTGCAACGATCCCAACGAGTTATGCAGGGTTTTTCAGTCACACTGCACAGGCTGGACAGCGTGCAGTAGCGAATACCGTCACTGCAAAACCACCCCAGGCTGCTGCAGGCACAATTTGGGGCACAGGAGCAGCTGGTGCAAGTGGTTATATCCCTCCAATGCTCCCCCCGCATATGCGAACCGCTGCAGCAGGCGGTACCGCACAGCAAGGAGGGTATACTTACCAGCCTAATTATTATGGGGCGTATCAGCCTCAGCCTCAGGTTGCGGCTGCTGCGTCCCCTGCGCAGTGATAGCAGCGATTGGTGTTCTGATCTTTTGTTCTTATGTTTTTAGTTTCCAAATTATATTTCTTTGCGTTTGCTGAGTGCCAGCACTGCTACGTGTGGTTTAGGTGGGGATACAATGTGAGCTATGTAGTAGAACATGTGATAATGAATATTGATTATGTAATTGGAGTTTGGTTATCGAGTGACGGTATCAAGTACTATCAGAAACTCAATTGACCACTGGCAGGATATCATAACATGCTCAAACTTCGAGCTCAAGCTTCAAGATTCTGTCAAGTTTGACAACAGTCCCGAGCTGTGGCGCTTGATCAGGCAGTGGCACTGGACAAAATAAAGAATACAAAAGTTGTTTTATCAAACCAGAGGCCCGTAAACACCACGGCAGTGACGGCGCGTGATCTTAAGACTGGTAACACACGTCCTTGGTTCGCGCATCTGCAGCTCCTGTTTCACTGCCTTTACATTGCAAGACACACTGTATACTATCACGTGTTTGAGATACGATTATGATAATCGTTTACTGGGCATAATGACACATTCAAAATTTGCCGAGCAGGAACCTTTACTAGTTCTTAACGGATGCTACAGGATGCTACAGTTGATTGGAAACAAGCGCTGCGACACTGATCAACTCCTGATCAGCTCCTGACACATACAAAGAGGTTCCAATCCATGTTGGTTAGTCGTGTGGTCAAAACCAGGATACAAACTACTCATGCATTTTGGCGTTTTACAGGCGGTGCAGTCACTACTATGGCTGGCTGCACTTGAAAGGACAGCCCTCGACTGCAGCGTCACTGGCGTATACTGATGCTGTCAAAACAGCGATGACGGCGAGGACAAGGGAGAAGCGCATCGTCTGTGAGGACGTGATATGGTATCAGATAAATCTGAAGAATTTCGACTCGGATATGTAGTAGGAACTTGAAGACACCTTACTTTTATGCGTTGAATGTCGTTCTTTATGACGGTAGTAGGAAGAACCGCTCTGCAATGCCAGCAAAACTGGATTCTAAAGGGGATGTTCGATTCGGCGACTTGACCTTACCGTTGCCCTTGCGTGATTTACCTACGATAGACCATCTCTTTTGCCTAATTTTTGTCCGCAGCGCCCTTGGCCGAAACTTCGCAGACAAGACGACCTAAGCTTCGCGAGCTCGTCGCAGAGAGTGGGTATTATTTGATATCAAACGTCCATTTGGTCCACCATAGCAGTGGAGCAACCGTTTTCAGTATATCGGCACAGGTACGGGCAAGATTGCCCCGGATGACCAAAAGGACGTACGCGGAAGATGAGCTCCTTTACGTTCCTCGGTCTTCTATGTTCAATGTGTTTGCCATCCAGCGTATATTATATATATGCGAGTCATCCTTTTGAAGGTATCGGAATCCGAAGGTGGATAACGAAATCCCAAACATAATGCAGAACGCGAAACAGTAAAATGTCCAGCGGCACACCATGTCGAGCATCATTCCATCCTCAGGAGCCAGCCAGGTTGTGCACGAATTTCGAAGGGGGCTGAGCACAGTGGTTGATTATTATAATCGTTGTTGGTATGATGTCCTAGAGAATGATCAGCTGGAACTTGAGCCACAATATTCTGACAGCTAAAGGGAGGGCCCCGCCTCCAGGCTGCACATGAAAGATGGATCATTGAAGAATGAGCGCAGCTTCAAGTTCCATTTCAGGTAGGTCTGGCTTCACTGTACACCAGGTACCATCTGTTCAAGGATCTAGATGGTCTTTGGGTAAACACCTTGCATAGTAGAATGCGAAACGCTGCAGCATACCGTTTTCAGGGACACGGGCTTTCTATTCATCACTCAGATCGCGGAGAGGGAGATATAGAGGCCATCTTGACTTCGCTAATATGAGCGGTAGCATTTTGCATAAAGGATCACATACAGGGCCAAAAGAAAAGTAAAACCAATCATGCGCAGCTTCGTCGTCTCTGATGGATGCGTCCTTCTCTTATGAGCCACGACGATTGCAAATGCGGCATATCACACAACGCCTGTACAAACTTGAGCTGTCCTATGTAATGTTTGCGTCCAATAGTTCATATGCGTTGGCCTTCTGTCGGGCAATTGGTAAGTTTGCGCGGATTCGATTTCAATCACCCGAAGGGCGACATCCGTGTACCGGATCAATTCTTGGTGGTCTCAAGACCACGTTCGTTCGTCATCTGGATAATGCCGCATTTTGAACGTCTCGCCGCCTAGAATCGTAAGTGCACTCACACTGGAGATATGTTCGGGGGGGCATACATGGAAATTGGAAACTCCAAAAGGAGGTTGTCTTCTGTGGAAAGATGGCTCGGGAAAAGATTAGCTTGCCGGAATCAACCGGCATCATCATCGCGAGCTCGGATTGTGCAATAACTATACCGTATCGTCAGCCAGAATATCTTTTCCATCCCCGTCATCCTTTCATCGCACCATTTGTTTCGGATTATGAGGATGGTACCCGTAATGATAGACCAAAATATGTATGCATGTTGTCATAAAAAGAGAGCATCAAGATATGAATAAAAAAGGGTAGAATAGTAAAAATTTGTCACCGTCCCGCAAGACTCGCATGCTTAGATACTGGAATAACCCGCGGAACCTGTGCGGATACAGTTGGATGACGAAGCATCTCTGACAGAGGCGTCGGTAAAGGGTCAATATGTTGTGAATAAGTACGTGAAGAGATACTATGGGAAAAAAGATCTTCTTTGGATTGCTGGTGGGAGTTGAGACGCACGCGTATAGCCTCTGCTGGATCATCGTCCGGGGGATGTATGATGGAGGCAGAGGTGTATGGGAGGAGGGAGTCTTCCTCGAATCTAGGTGATGTAGATGAAACAGTGGCATCTGGTAGCGCATACATCAAACGCAGCTGCGAGCGGCGATTACGCTCGACTCCATCTTCGTCATCCGAAATAACCTCATCTCCATCCGCATTAAGAAGACGCGCTGGAATTGAGTTTCAGAGAAGTAAACCTAATAATTAGACCCACATACCCCATCTCCTGCGACGTCTGACAGAGCTTGAAGACGTCGAAGCCTCACCTGCACCATTTGCAGTTACTTCACTAGGCCACGACCTGGCATTCATAAAATGAGGTAGTGGTCTCTCCGACACGCTAGGGGGGCCTTGACCCCGCTCATCTATAAGTAGTGTTCGATCGGCGTGATCACTAGTCCATCGCCTACTCGCACCACTCGATGGCTGAGAAGGACGCATGGATGAGTCGGACGCAGCCGCAACATCAAGCACTAGAGTCAAGAGTGGATCATTGTTTGATTGTGGTATGGTGGGTTCCCAGTCCATCTCAGTCTCCGAGGGAGCCGGAACTACCCCTTGTCCCTGTAAACTGGATCTATCGTTCAAGCTTGGTTGCTCAAACTCCGCTTGCCGAGCAGCTTCCAGGCGACGAACGCCCTGCCTGACAAGCCGGTTAGCCAAACTCGCTAGATCCCGCGCAATGACAGAAGTCTGATCTTGGAATCGTTGTTCGAGCGGAGGGGCAGCGGTGCTCTGGCGGTTTAAGGCAGTACGTGCCGCAACTTGTCGCCCGATCATAGTGTTGGGATCATCGGGATTTATGATCCCAAGCTCAGTGCGGAAGACAGAACGCTCATCCAGACTGCTTGAAAGATGAGTTCTGTTGTTTGAAGGAAGAATCAGGTCTGGCAGCGGAGGGGAACGGGGGTGAGGCGGGAGTGCCCGAGAGGGTATATCGCTAGGTGTATCCCACCACTGGGACCTATGGTGTGACACTTCTAATGGACGCTCTGAAGTGAAGCCTCTCCTGCGTCTTGACATGCTCTCGAAATCTTCCAGGCGCTGCCTGGCCGAGGGATTGATAATAGTTCTCAAACGCTGAACGCGAGTGTTGAAGTCCACATCGGACTCTGGAGTGTCGGACCCGGTAAGGACCAAGGCAGTATGCTGGGGTGCGATACTGGACTCTGTGGTCCTGTTGCGGGCGGGCGAAGGTCCTTCTGCGAATTCCGGTGGCATCCGGTTGAGCAAATTGTTGATGTTGTGTCTGAGTTGTGTGACACGCGCATATGCAGCATCTAGCGCTACAGAAGCTTGTCTCAGGCTGTTCTGAGTCTCCTGTCGGCGGCTGATACTGACGGAGTTGTCTACTGGGATAGAATGAGCAGTGAATTGGTCAGAACCCGGCGTGAAGTTTGATTGGTTCGGGGCGGGAGACGGAGGATGTGAGATATCTCGGAGTGGGTTCATCAGGTATCAGGTTTTAAAGGCCCGCAATCGCCCAGACACTAGTATAAAGATATAGATACAGTATAAAGGAATGAATGGTGACTGTGGGCCTTGGAAAGTCAAAGGGCCAGACACGACTCTTCCGTGTCAAGTGGTGACAAGCACGTACAAGTTGCAACCACAAGTCTGAAACGAAGCTGGCTACAATTGCAATATGAAATCAAATATTTCACTGTGGTTAGAATATGTAGTGTTCCCTATCGTCCACTGGCCTATATGCTACTGTATGGTACTACTACATATGAATTTCCAAGTGAATAGGGATATCTATAATATAAAAAATGTCCGTGATGTAAAATCAATCTCTAACTCTACTGACAATATGAGTCCTGCTAGTATTATCAGTGGTACTAGATTCTTCGTCTGGGTTCTTTCGTATTGAATCGATTGGGTAATGATGACGCAGGACTTTGGCAAGTAAAGGATCAGCACCGGTATAGCAGAACGCGAGGGTGACGCAGACGACGATAAGCGCTGAGGTGATGCAACAAAGCGCAGTCCATCCATGTCTCGCACGATCATATATCTAGAAATAAACACCCAATCAGAAACATGGCTTTTGCATTTATTAGCATAGATACTGACCTGTCCTCCGATCACAGGACCCACTGGGAAAACTCAGAAATTGATGCGAAAACGAAACTATGGTTTCTCACCTGCTGTACCAATCCCGAATGCAAGATTAAATGCGCCATAGACATGGGCATCTGTGCGATGTCAGGAGATGAGAAAATATCGCATTCCGTTGGGAATCACTCACATCCAACACCTGCCATTTTTCGAGAGACAGATGCAAGTTCAGTCGTCACTGGTGCGACAACACCAGAGACGAAGAAGCCTAAGCAAAAAAGGTCAACTCGACAAATGTAGCCATGGCGCAAACATACATTGAGCGGCGAGAGCAAAGATGAACAGCGGTAGAGAAAACCGTAGGGTCATGACAATCCACCACGGCAGCGCCAGGAGCAGACATATACATGTTATATAGTCGGAACCCGCTCGATCAACGTAAAAACCTGCTAACGGTGACGCTGCAACTCTCGTCAAGACGAGACGACGCATTATCAGACTACGAGACTTACAAATCAAGGCTGGGACGACTGCTGCCAGGTAGGCAAGGCCTACCCGGTCCGAGTTAAAATTCCACACAGCTTGGAGATGAAGCGGAAGGGATGGCTCTTGCATGCTCTGTACAAGTCTGTGCCAATGGTGAATACTCGGATCGGTAATATTGAACAATACTTACCCATATACGAATGCCATGGTTAGAGCGACCAACGCGCGAGGTGACTGCGATAGTTTGATAATCACTGACAGTAATGGTGTTGACCTCCGAGCGAGTGCCGGGTCAATGATTGATCCGCGGGCTATGGACAGCTTCCGTGCATTGGGTAGTCTGGACTTGTCCGGAACTATCGGCTCTTCTATTTCATTGGTTTCGGTATCAGTGCTTCCATGCACATGAGCTACTGGGATAGAGGAGAGCTGTATATCAGGTGTAGAAGAAGCGTCCTGCGCCTCTTTCATCACTACGGCTGTGGGTTCCGATGGGTCATAGCCCCATTTCAATGCGACGTTCCTTTCGATGAGAAGAAGACGGAGGAAAAGATCGACAACTGCACATATCGATCCGAAGATGAATGGGGCGCGGAAGCCGAAGCGAGTGTACAAGGCACCGCCTGCGGGTGAACCAACCAGAAGACTTCTAGGAGTGAGACAACGCAGACATAGGGTCGAAGCATACTCACCCGACGGACAGGCCAGTCATCGCGATACCCAATTGTTCTGACACAAGTTCATTGATGGAAATCAGAACGATATTTTTAGGGTAACTCACTGCCAACGTTTTTCTCTGGCGTAGTATCACACCTACAACAGGGATTAGTTTGTGTGTAATGGTGCCCAGTAGATATTCTTACAAAAGTGCCAAGCCTACGATCCATACCATGGAGGAACTGATTCCTTGCAACACGCGAGCGACGGCCATGACTGCGTAATTAGGGGCCTCCATGAACATAACCTGGGAGCCAATGAGCGCAATGAGGCCGAGAATCAATGGTATTCGTCTCATTGAATATCGTTCCGAGTGCATAGCAATAGGGATTGTGGCTGTGGGAATGGTAAATTCATTTGAAGTGATATGGAAGGAGCCGACTTACAAAGGACTAGCCCGCCGGACTAGAGGATATGAGTGATGGAGCTAATGAAAATGACTGGTTCAGCTCACATATGCACATAATAGCCACCCTGTGAGCGACGAAACCTTATGGTATGACAAACGCTCGAGTTGAAATGGTAAGACGGGGATGATGATGGAGTAAACCAACAAATCCGTGGTAATGCCTGGAATACGCATCAATATGGATAGCATCCTGACATGTAGGCTTACTGACCGAATCCAACGACTGGCGGGCATGAAATAATTGAAGTGGATGAATTTAGGAGGATTATAAGGAAAACGTACCTGTAGTGATGAACCAAACGGATGACCGCCAGTGAAGCCCCCATGGCTTTCTGTTGGAGGAGAAGGGCATCCAAAGACCCATAATGCAACTTGTGCAAAGGGATTAAAACTAGCTGAAGAAGATGAGTTGTCGATCAGTGCGGGAAGGAGGAGTTCTTTTATTATATATATATTTGATCAAAGCTGTATACCCACTATCCGTAGGCTCAAATATTACTGCGGAATAGAATATAATAAAAAAAGACCAGTTATGTAAAAGGAAGTCGAGCCACGATGCCACTGTTCATTTGAGAAGACTATATATTTGTTGTCTCGACCCCTCTCTAAGGGCCCCCCCAATATTGCGTGGGAGGCGTTCTATACCTTGTCCCAGGGTGCCTAATCCTCGCTGTATAGCCAAGTTGGCTTTCCATACAGTACTGCTAAACTTTATCAGGAATTCCTAAACCTTTTTGCTAGATGTCCTTCCGAGGTTTAGGGTAATTTACGAGAGGAGTCCCGGCCTGTCGATTGACAACGACATAAATTTAGAATTGACCAGCACTAAAATTTACATAAACAATTTAAGCTAACAGACTCCTATCTGAATCCGCTGACTAATCTACCACTCTAGTATTTATGTAAATTATGAATTCAATGATCATGGCATGGTCCTCTCCTGAGCTACCTGGCGAAAATTTCTTACAACACATTCAAATATCAGCGCAGACTGTCGTGATCGGCCAGGGTACGAGTTATGCCGCCGCGTGCTAACCCTTGGCAATCTCTCTAGATGATGATCGTCCACTGGCAGGGTTCCGGGTCTCGATACGATCGAGTCAAACAAGCTCGACTCCAGCAACCGGTGTGACTGCTAGTCTTCTTCGTCATCAAGAAAGTTCTCCGTCGTTCACTAGAGTATACTGTAGTATTAGATCCTTACCGACAAAATCCACATTATTTTATTCCATATGCGTTACGGTTTTCTGTACGACTTGTCTTTTGCAATTTCTTTTTCAAAGTCCGTAATAATTTATGCAGTGTTTTGCCTACGGATAGTCATCCGATGGGTTGTCGCCCCCACTGCTTACCTGTTGGTGGTTAATCGGTTATTCTGGGCGTGGAGATTCGGACATGTGTAAAGTGTACCCGCAGTAGGACGTCGCGCGTGTCCCGGCGCATTCCTGCGGTTGATCCGTAGTACCAGTACTATAGTGACTGATTGAGGACTCGGAACTAAAGTAGACGGAAGCAAATTTCGTCCGTCTTTCGATTGCCGAATCAAGGCATCATCTAACCAATGGGAAAATCGGCAAAAGAACTTTCCCACTCGTCATTGCCCGTCAGTTACGCATCTCAAGGTCCTTGCGAGCTGTCACACTGTCATGCCTGAACTCCCTGGTAAGTCCTTGCCAAGCTCATTAGTAGCTTAAGTTATTCCCTGGTCACGGTCTACTCACCCGTTGCCGCATCACAGAAGTAGAGCGTGCAACAACCCTCCTCAGGTCAATTGCCAAAGGAAACAGAATTATTTGGGTCGAAACATCCGAGGATAATCTCGTCTTCCAAGGATTATTGTCTCACGAGGACTTTGTGTGTCTTTCACGTGTTAGTTCCGATGGGATGACTGAGTCTATTTCTTCTGTCGCTGATACAGGGTAGAGAAATCACTGGTCGCGTTGTGAAGGACACGTTCCGATATGGTACGTTGTGGTATTGTCTTATAATAACTGCCGTCGGACTCATGGGAATTTCGCCCCAGGAAAATATTTCTACATTGAGCTCGAAGGTGCAGGAAAGATGCCCCTGCTTCACTTTGGGATGACTGGGATGCTACATGTAAGTCTTCTGTGCGTGCTTCGATCAGGGCCTGCTATTTTTTTTCAAGGTGAGAGGCCAGCCTACCCTTCAGTACAGGACGAAAATCCGTGAGAGCCCTGACATATGGCCCCCTAAATTCATGAAGGTTTTTCACTCACGAGCCGTTCCTGTACTTGCCACCTAACTGCCAGCCTTGCCAGTTCATCTTGCACATCGAGGGTAAGACGCCGGGCACCGTAACTGAATTGGCTTTTTCCGATGCACGTCGTCTGGGGCGCGTTCGTCTTGCTATGAACCCCGGACAAGAACCGCCTATATCTGAACTCGGCTTTGATCCAATTGTATCCATGCCTCCGCTGTGGGAATTCCAGACCCTCGTCCTGAAAAGATCGTGTCCAATTAAGGCTCTGCTATTAGACCAATCCTTCAGTGCAGGCGTCGGAAACTACCTTGCTGGTGAGGGATCTTACTGGACTGTTAATGTTTTACCCAATGGGACCCGTCATCAGATGAAATATTATATCAGGCAAAGGTTCACCCCGAACAACGGTGCAATACTTTACAACAAACTCAAGTCGAAGCTTTGCACCGTGAAGTGGCTGATGTTTGTCGAATAGCTGTAGAAGCCAATGCAGACGACGACAAATACCCCAGCCATTGGATCTTCAAACATCGCTGGGTAAATTTTACCTCTGTCAAATGATCTACTAATCGCCAAGACCTTCTCAAGGGGAAAGGTAAGAAAGTGAAGCAATCTATGATGCTGGTATGTTTGTTTCCTCGATTCTGCTCCCACACATTAATTTTAGGCGTTTTGAGCCTTCGGGGGAGCCTGCGACTGTCAAGTGGATCACTGTTGGTGGTCGTACCTCTGCTTTTGTAGCTGAGGTCCAATGCCTTCCGCATAAAGGGAAGATTGAGGTACATTTCGGGTTCAGTTTTCAGTTTCGTATCTTCACTCCCCTGAACTTCCCAGACTATCACTGAGGACGAGAGTGATTTGACTCCTCTTTCTTCAGACCATGACAACAATCCCGCAGCTTCACCGCGCAAGCGTAAAGTAAGAATTTCAACCCTGCAATTTTCGGCGCTCAATTGCATTTTACAGGTCAAGTCCGAGAACACCAGAAGAAAGAGTATAGCTATTGCACATACAGGAGAGCCTCACCGCGAGAAGCGTCCTCGCCTCAAAAGGCACTGAATGATCGGATTGTATGTATACCATCAGTTACAATTTCACCCTACCTTTATGTGCGTTCGTAAGCTCAATTGCCATCTTCTATTGATTTGATTCTCTTTCTCTTGCTCTTGCTCTGCGAAATGAGCTGCTACCTCGGGTCTTATGGCACCTTGCCCGTATGGCGAAATCACTACACGGAAGTCTATTGTGCGAACATCACCAGCGTTGTAGAAGGCATGGCTCAAAAACGAAACGGTCTTAGGGCATTCCTCATGTTGTTGCTCTGCGTCCTGGCTTCGGAGCCGCTGAAATTTTGAAATTGAACCTGGTGGCACCAACGACTTGCACCGCGATGATATTAGTGATTTCGGACAAAGCATCGGTGGACCCAACCACCCTTGTGCAGCCGAGGTATGAATATCCGAATGGGTGTTGATCTGACTCGACGAAATACGTCATAGATATCTGATCCATCTACTGGCAAGAACGACTACATAAATTCATCAGTCCAGTGGCTCCAGTGTGAACACATCCACGCCATGCACATGTTGGCCGCAGGAACTGGTGAATATACATGTCACGATTCACAATTCAAAACTGTTACATCAGTTGACAAGACTGATAGGCCATCAACGAGTGGGGCAAAAGAGTTAGGGATATGGACGTGCACACTACAGTTTCTCGTTCCTGGTCGCTCGAACGCTCAAGTTTCTTTGAAAACGTATCCCTCTGCAGTACTTGCAACCAGAACAACACACCGAGAGCTTACACCGAACTTAGATTTCATCAAGAAATAGACAGCGCAATGATGGATTCGAAGACCCACTAAAATAACATTACATATGCTCAGGTAATCGAGGAGTGTTTGGAAGAAGACTACGAGAAAACAACATCGGGGAGGGATAAGCGAAGATAAAATTAAGACGTCACTGGAGGAGAAACGGGAACATAAATTCAAGGTCAAAGAAACACAACAGCTGGACACTCACTGTAAGTAGCGGGATCAATGTGATCGGGAAGCTCAGGTACAGCGACCTCAAACCGTTGTTGGATGGCAGACATGACTTGTTGGTCTGCCTCACTGGATTGGAACGTAATCGCTAGACCCTTCGTTCCGAAACGACCTGCACGACCGACGCGGTGAAGGTAACTGTCCGCATCTGGTGGACAGTCGTAGTTGATCACGATGTTGACCCGTTCAACATCAATGCCGCGACCGAAGATGTCGGTGGCAACAAGGATGCGCTTTTCAAAGGCCTTAAACGCGGTGTAACGATTTATGCTGTAGCAAGCACTTAGCGAGGGTATTCGAGAGAGCCACTGATGGCCACTCACCGCTCCTCTTGAGCCAAGCCTGAATGGATGCTGATACTAGGGAAATTACAAGAGACTAGGAGCTTGTCCAGTTCGACAGCCCTTGCGACCGATTTCACGAAGATGACCACCTGAAAATCATAAATAAAAGTCTTTCGAGCGAGACAGTATGGTACCTGATTGAACTCTAGGGTGTCTAGTAGCTCATTCAGCTTCCTGTTCTTCGCGTTCTCATCGAGCTTCACGTAGTGCTGTTGCAACCCGTGTAGCGTCAACTTCGTCTCATCATCAACAAAGATCTCTAAAGGCTACGGCAAGCATCAGCAGGAAGTCCATAAGAAAGAGTGCATCGCATACATTTGCCATGAATTTCTTGCACGTGGACCTAATTTCTTTTGCTAGCGTGGCGCTAAACATCATCACCTGCTTGTGGTGAGGTGTTGCACGGAAGATTTCTTGGACGTCTCGGCGCATGTCTGCGAATCAAACAAAAGAACAACGAGGAGATGCGGTTAGACTGTTGTCGACATTTCGAGAGGGGAAGGAACTCAAAAATCGTCAGAAGACGATACGACAAGTGTGGGGGATGGAAGGGAGAGAGACGATGACATCTTAAATATATATTCTCATCAACCCAACAAAGTTCCCAGGACCCTGCATCTACAGCGCGTTTCAGGGCGCACAAGGCGCCTGCGCCCTCGGCGGAGGGAGGGGACGTTGACGAGACAAGTGCCTCTTGCGGCGGCGGCAACCGGTACCAAGATACCGCAGAATCGTAGCCGAAATCGAATCGCAGGATGAGACTAACCAAGCTGTTCTAGCATTTTATCGCACTCATCCAAAATGAAGTGCTTGACATTCTTTGCGTCCAAAACTTTGTCTCTTGTCAGGGCATTGAGTCGTCCGGGAGTGGCCACGACGATGTGGGGACAGCGCGCCTTGTCACGAAGAATCTCCGCATCCTTTTGAACGGGGGTGCCACCGTAGAATGTGCCAACCCGCACGTCGGGCATATACTTGGCAAAACGTGTGTACTCGTTCTTTATCTGGAAAGCGAGCTCCCGGGTATGGCAGAGGACGATGACGGAAACTTCTCCATTGACTGGCTCCAGTTGCTGCAAAGTCGCAAGCACGAAGACTGCCGTCTTACCATGCCCAGACTTTGCTTGGCAGAGGACATCCATTCCCAGAACAGCCTGAGGAATGCATTCTTGTTGAACTGTTGAACGAGTTCTGTGAGTTGGAATTGCGTGTTGACCATCACCGAAGCATACCTTCTGAGGGGTGTTCAAAACCTAAATCGCTGATAGATCTCAGAAGTTCAGGTTTCAACAAGAAGTCCCTGGAAAAATTGGAGACAAATTAATGGATGGCCATGATTTATAATAACATGGACGCAAAACGAACCTGAAGCCCGTCGAATGTATTCCAGAGAAGTTCTTCTTGTCCTTGTTGACCTCACCATCCACTGCTGACGCGGCTGCCCCGTTGGCAGAAGCTGCAGAAGCTGTGCCATTGGGGATAACGTCGTGCTCATCTTCGTAGTCGATAAGTTCTTCGTTGTCGTGGGAACTCATTGTTGTGCAGAAAGAGAGTAGGTTGTCAGAGAGGTTGTCGGCAGAAAAGGAGAAAAAGTAAGCAAGAAGAGGAGAAGGTTGAGGTTGAAGAACAGCACACAAAAATGCGCAGTTCTAAACATGGCGAGCTTACTAATTTGGAATCACGTGCGCACGGACCCTCGTGCGCGTGCTTCCAACGATGTTCCATCACTTGCGAGTTGCTTGCGAGCTCATCAGTCCTACTGGTTGGCGAGCAAGTGCTGGTAGTAATCGGAGATGCCAATAGTTTGTCGCTGCTGCACATTTCTAATTTTTATGCACACTAGGGTAGGCAGCAGCGCTGCCATCATCGCAATAATGCCATAACACGCAAACCTGCAGTGGGGTATTTCTCTACAGCATTAAACATTTTGATGCTATAGGGAAACTGGGCAGTTGCTATCTGCCTGACAGAAGATCCCATCGATATCGCATGGTCTCCCTCAATAATAGATATACGGTCGCTCAACCCTCAATCCTAGGGCATGACCAAACCGGCCCTTGCCCAGTCGTATCAATTCTTGAGGATAAGGAACAAGTGTTCCACTCTCATATATGGTCTGACTGGTGTAGACCAGACGCAGACGATGCGTTGAACAAATCGAGCGGCCTCCCGTCTCCCGCGTCCCAACTCCTAAACTTTCGAATTTTTCTTTATTTGTTCGTGTATTTGATTGATATATTGGTAACTTCGTCCATATGATCGACGCCTAAATTTTCAGCATACGAAAACATACATGTCTCGGTTTTAATCGGTACAGCATTGACACAGACGGGTACGCGTTTATAAGTGGAGGCGGATGTCATGGATCTGAAGAAACGAAATAAGATGCCCAACTATCCGTTTTGGTGAGTTTCATAGCAGTTGAACAAAACCCACCAAAGATGTACTAAAGTATTGGCATGTGGCTTGATTTCAAAGGCTCGGAGGTAAGATAAGCTATTAATCGTATTATCAAGCACTACTCATCGTCATGACCAGGCGTCGCGGCATCCAGTGAGCAACTGTGTGCATCCCCAATGACTGAAACGCGCCTGACACCTTGCAGTGGCCGCATGTTTTACACATCCCCTTGACCTGGCTAAAGTGTAAGCGCAGTTCACTGAGCCCTCGTGATGGCATGCTCATGCTCACTCAACAGACGCATGCAGAGTCTTGGTCCTACTGTACCAAGTCCATCTATGCTCAAAATTCTGCGCCACTCGATATCCAACTATGGACCTCGTAGTGTTTATACCGGTCTCTCTGCCTCGCTTATGCGTCAAATGACCTACTCCCTCGTACGCCTAGGCAGCTACGAGGAGATGAAAAGCCTCATGTCTGAGAATGGTCGTCCCCCATCCACCGGGAAGCTTCTCCTGGCAGCTGGCGTGGCTGGCGGTTTGGGAGGAATCGCAGGAAATCCAGCAGGTCCGCCCATGACATGCTATGATATTACTATTATGTATAATAAACAAATTGCTTCCAGATGTTCTACTGGTTCGGATGACCAGTGACTCCATTCGTCCGCCAGAAAAGCGCTACAATTACCGCAACGCTATCACTGGACTCATCTCCTTAGTGAAAGAGGATGGCTGGAAAGGTCTTTCACGCGGCCTCGGGACAAATACGGTTTGTACATTTTACATCACACCTAGCTCTCACTGACCATGAGCACCGCAAAGACCCGTGCAGTCTTGATGAATGTAAATTGATTTGCTATCTTCCGTCAGTATAATGCTCACGCGATACACTATACAGACATCACAGGTTGGATCGTGAGTATGCCGTTATTATCTTTTTGCCGTTTCAGTTTATCAGATCTCGATAGCTATGACTTTTTCAAAACCACTCTCCTGCAATACCCCGTACCCCTGGTCAACTATCAATTCCATGATGGTTTCTTCTTGCATGTAGTTGCAAGTCTTGCAGCCGGAACATGCGGCACGAGTCAGTTGCTCGCTATGAAGTTATCAGAATCATCACTGATTGTTTCACTATTCAAGCTGTATGCTCTCCCGCTGATGTCATAAGGACAAGGATCATGGGCTCTGTGCGTATTCCTCCAAATATTAAATACTCGTAATGGAGTTTGACAGTTACTTCCAGTCTGGAAAGGCTAGTCCAATAGAAGTTCTGGTCCGTTCTTTGCGCGAGGAAGGTCCCGCGTTCATGTTCAAAGGCTGGACGCCCGCTTGGATGCGTCTTGGCCCTAACACCGTCCTGATGTTCGTCTTTTTCGAGGTAAGTCAAGAAAACTTCACCCATGGCCACACATCGATGTCTTCGTTCCCAACAGCAACTGAAACGCGGCTGGTCCTCCTTGGTCCCCTCGTAATCTATATCCAATTTTACTGCACATCGTCAGACACAGAATACCTCATATCTACAAGTTGTCGGATTGACGCTCGGACATCTGCCATTAAGACGTTAGATGATATATCCTAGACATGTAACCTTGGATTCATCTCACTTTCGCCCTCTCTGTACACTGATGTAGATTTCGACCTGCTTACTCCTTGAATAGCTAGCCTGGCAAAATGGTAGAATACCCACATACTTAGGACAAACTTAGGACCTGCAAATTTTCTCAACCAATAACTGCTTATCGTAGTACTTGGTGCCGTCGCGCACGCAGCTACGGGATCTATGTAGCATTAATTTTTTGTGACACCATTATTTCACGGTTAGCGTCTGGATTACTGTAAGTTGCAAAGTTTCGATTGAAAGTGACTCTACTGTCGTCCACGTGATCACTAACCACGTCTCGCAGCCTGGTCCTACTCAGCAGGTCCTCATTGACCGTTCGCTAGCTGTGCACGACGGATATTATGGAAGCATTTCAGCTTCTTTCTCGGGGAGGTGCGCGTTTTGACAAACAAAGATTCAAGTCTGATGTTCAAATATTCAACGTAAGAAAATGTATCCATAAGCTGTTTTGATGGCTCACGTCTTTTCAGAAGGCACCAGCCAAAGATGTCAAAGGAAAGGGAATCCTGATATCGCACGATGCGCAGTTACCTCCAGAACTAGACTTTTTTAAGTATGCCAAAGCTTCTGCTGGGAAGCGGAAAGCTGGGGACAAAGAGAGCGATGTTCATGCCAAAGGCAAGCCAGAAAAGGTGGAACGCAAGCGTCGGAAGGTAGAGGACGAATCAACGGACTCAGGCGACAATCACATTGGTACAGAGGAAGAGGTGCCGACCATGCAGAAACACCGTGTGACTGCCAAAGGATCAGATGTGCCTAAACCAATTGCGTCCTTCGAGGACCTGCGCGAACGATATCACGTCCCTCCACGTTTATTATCAAACCTTTCTGAAAACAGTTACAAATATCCTACTGGAATCCAGGCTCATGGGATTCCGATTCTGCTCGAGGTGAGCCCACCAGACTTTCTTTCTTATGGTTTGGAGGAAGCTGACGATTCTTACTGCAGCACCGTGACCTCGCTGCCATCTCGCCGACTGGTACAGGTAAAACTTTAGCATATCTGACGCCCATCATGTCTGCCCTGGGTTCCCCGGTATCTAGTATGAAGAACGATGGAGGTCGTGGAGTTCGAGCTGTGATTCTTGCACCGACTCGGGAATTGGCACACCAGATACACAATGAGTGCCTGAAACTCGCCGCTGGGCGTAAATGGCGTGCGGTCCTATTTAGCAAGGCTACGGCTAATACCCTGAGCGACAAGAATGTCAGGGACAAAGTAGGTACGCCACATCCATACGCCGCGCACTCTCTGTCTAGACTGATACTTTATAGACATCATCATCAGCACACCCCTTCGGCTAGTGGCTTCCATTCAAGAAGGAAACCTGGAATTGAACAAGTACGCCATGAGCCGCCTGTCCTACTGTGCACATGACCGACTCACATCACTAGCGTACAGCATCTTGTATTAGATGAAGCTGACCGAATGCTTGACCCTGAATTCTTGTCTCAAGTTCAAGAAGTTATCGCGGCATGTACTCATCCGAACATACAAAAGGCAGTTTTCTCCGCTACTTTACCTGCTGGCGCAGAGAAACTTGCGATGGGTATCCTCAGGAACCCTATACGAATTATTGTTGGTCTTAAGTACTGATTGATCACCGAATGTTTGTGTACAGCCGCTAAATTTCTTCTTTAGAGATACACCACTCCCTTTGATCGCACAAACTCTTACATATGTGGCCGATGACGCCTCCAAACTCCCAAGTCTGCTATCATATCTTTCTCAACCATACAATCCACCTCTCCTCGTCTTCACATCTACTCAACCAAGAACAACATCGCTTGCAGAGGAGTTGACAATGAACGGCATTTCAAATGTGGACTGTCTTCATGCCGGAATGACCAAAAAAGAGCGTGATGATGCGGTGAGCAGGATGCGCCGTGGCGAAAGCTGGGTCATGGTGACTACGGAGGTCATGGCTCGTGGCATGGACTTCAAAGGCATCCGGGAGGTGATCAATTATGATTTCCCCACCAGTGTCCAGAGTTATGTCCATCGAATAGGTACGCTCCCGTTTTGTGACCAGCTTGTCTTGGAACTCAAACTTCGCAGGCCGCACGGGTCGCGCCGGGCGGGAGGGGAAAGCCGTGACTTATTTCACAGATGAAGATGGACCCTTTTTAAAAGCGTACGTGACACTCGGCCATCTTGACCGACATCTAACTGATGACCCCTTACCTAGCATTGCCAACGTGCTGTTACAGTCCGGCTCTTCGGTCCCAGAATGGATTCTCAAACTTCCGAAACCGTCAAAAATGAAGCGAAAACAGATGGGCAAGGTGAAGCGAGCAGATACCGTGAATATGGCCCGCAAAATAGGTCGCAATGATGCGATTAAGAAGAGGTTGGTTCATTCAAAGCTTCGGGCACTATTTCCAGCTTATGTCAATGTAAAGGGACATGATTGCAGGCTCGAAGAGGCGGAAGGAGAAAGAGCTCCGTGAGACCGATAAAAGCAACGGCGTCGGGGAAGAGGATAGATCAGATAAATGATTCTTCTTTCGAAAATTCAAAAGCACGTCGTTTTTACTGTCCGTGTCAGAAGGCTTCGAGTATTGATGAACATGTCATGACGGCATTAGCAGCACTGGTATTCTGAAATTCTTTGAACTACGAGAAGCTTGAAAATGTCATGTATTTCCTTGCAAGGAACTATCCCTGGTCAAGATAACGACTCGTTCGATCGGAACGTGTACATAACGATATCGATGGAGGCTGACGATGAGCAAACCATTTAATGTGATAATGTGAAAGGTGAAGGGAGGCGAGGATGTGAAGATGTGACAAGATGTGATCTATCGTGGATTTCGGAGCCCTGAAGGTTTGCTTTCGAAGCGCATTGTGTCAAGATAAAACGCCGCGCCGCTGGGATGAAGTCTCTCCACGAGGCAATCCCTGGGAATCTTTGTGTAGGTGAGTCCGCCAGGAGCTACACAAATCAGGTTACAAAGTGAGTTCAAGGTCACTATTCTAGGCTGACTTTGGACCAGGCATTCCAGTGCCGCACGTTTTGCGGCACGTTTCACTGGCAGGTCGTAGACTTCGATATCACCCTGTTTTGAAGCCTATTGATTGTTGAAGCTTATTCGTATCTTGATTCTGCTCCTTTCACAGAACAACGGTCGCAAGGCGGAAATCCAGACGACTCGACGGATATGGAAGGGCTTAAGGGCCTTGTAACCTCAAGGCAGCCTCGAGGTGACGGGGCAAAGTGGTTGTACTAGCTCTCCCCCATACAAGGCTTTTTGGCCTTGAAGTTCTTAAGCGCTCCATTATGTGGGTGAAATGAACTCCTTAATCAACTGTGATCCCCCTCTACGCCTCTCCCTCAGCTTTATCTCTGATACTACACATATCTTCAAAAAGCCTTGTTATCATGCCCAACGTTCGCAACATCGTTCGTCGATCTCGCCGATTGTCACATCAGTCACCGATTGCAGGTACGACGATCATTTCCTTGTTTGACCTTGTGGGTCCACACGTTTTCGAATGATCGCTAATCTTTTCCGCAGCTGAAGATTATGTTTATGAAGATTCCTACTTCGCTCAGTCGGGCTATTCAAGCGTTAGGACCGTTGGCATTCCTTCAATTCATGCCACCCCCCCATCTCCTGTTGGAACTATAATCTCTGCCTCCCATATTTCTTCGTCATTATCCCCTGTTCTGTCCCACTTGCTATCCTTCCCCAATCGTTCATCGCACTCCCGTAAAAAAGAGGAAGGTCACATACCCCGTCCTCCCAACGCCTTCATCGTCTTTCGCTCTTGCCTTTGGAGTAATGAGGATTTCAGAAGCCTAGAATCTGACCATCGCAACGTTTCGCGCATAGCTGGCGAGAGATGGCGTAACTTGTCTGACGACGAGAAGGAACCTTTCGTGCAGATGGCGAAAGAGGCTAAAGCACTGCATGCGAAGATGTATCCCAACTACAAATACTCTCCCTCTCATCGTACTGTCGCGGGACCGAAACGGAAGGGGAGACGCAACAGTGATGAGGAAAGGACAAAGTGTGACATGATCGCTACCCTCCTGCAGAAAGGAGTTGAGGGCTCTGCATTGGCGCACGCGATGGCACACGTGAAATCTGAAGATGAAGATGAGATCGTACCGACACCCATCATCCCTCCACAAGCTCCCTTAGTCGCCCCTAGGGCTTTGCCTCCTGTCCAACCGCGTGAACATCGCAAAAAGAAGGTCACTGCTCGTCCTCGAGTCACCCGCCAAACCACCACACAACGTCGCACCGCAGGCCCTGACCTTGCCGCCCCGAGTCCTTGTTCGTTCCCACTTACCTCTGCTTCCCGGGAGGTCGCACCTACTCCAGAACAAATCAACTGTACCCCTGAACTACTGTATCCAGCCGATATGTTGGATGAGTTCGTTCCTACTGATGAAATCCCACCTCTAAATCTCGATGCTGCATATGATATGAAGGTATGACGCTCCCCAGACACCGTCGACTTAATGTCACTTATCATTGGATGGGAAGGTTTCAGAACAGGAGACGCCTGACATATTCTACCCAGGCATCAAGCCAGCTGCAGGGCTTTCCTACTTCGGTGCTGAGCTCGATGTCATGCCGTTCAATGACTCCTACTTCCTCGACCCCAGCCTGCAGTTGCCCCCGACTCCTCCCTTTATCGAAAATAACGACTCTCCCCTGTCGAGTGACTATGCGTCTCCTCTTTTGACACCTCCCCGGTCTCCAATTGTCTTCACCAACCCTTGGACTACTTTCTTCACGCCTTGTTCACCGGACAATGAACTCGATGAGTTCTTCGTACCGTCTATGGACTCCGTGCCGTCTTCGTTTCCGTCCCTATACAGCCCTTTCGAGGACGATGACATAGCCAGGTTCGCGCTCGGGGAATTGATCCCATTACTAAAGACGTGCAACCCGACGTCAACCTCGATGACTGGATCCACTTCAACTAAAATCCTCAGACACACTCTCGCTCTATACTCATACACTTACATCATTCAAGGAATATACCATTCACACTCACGACATTGACGATCTCTTTTTCACTTTACCCCCATCTCGCACTTCTGCATACCCAGCAAGCACGGTTTTCCAACGCAACTCTTGTCACATATCATGTAAATTCCTCTGTATTCTTAGAAAACCCTGTTGTTACAGCTAGCACATACATGCCATCACATGCCCAAATTTGTATATATACCATCTGATTAGTACATATTTGAATGACTCATCGCTTGACTTTCTTGGAAGACGCCGCTTCGTCTGGATTCACTCTCTTATTGCCGAGAGTTGCAGCCTTCAGCTCCTCCAGGTCGATGCGTCCTGCACTCTTCTCTTCCTGCAACCAGGCAAGGCAGTCATCTTGAGTACCGTTAGGATGCTCGAGCTGCCATTCAAGCACCCTGTTAAGCATTGCTTTCATCCATGGACCAGGCCTTTCGTCCATGGCGCGGGCGATTGTTTTGCCCTGTAATAGCTCAAACCCAAGCCAGCGCAGTGAAATCAAAAGATTCTCACATTTAGTATCAGCTTAGCATCCGCTGCTTTGTCTAACCCAAGCTCTTCGACCCGGCGCGTCAATGCGTTGTAACGTTGAACGCACTCTGTTGCTTCCTCGTGGCTAGACACTGAGACAAGCTCGCACACGAGAGAGAACACAAGGGAGCTAGCCCAATGAGAACCTGTGATTATGTTATGGACACTTTCTTGCCGTAGCAAGAGTGCTAGACGACAAACAGACACCCATCGTCAATCGAACCGAGCTGCACGATTGTCCACCATACCTATAGCAACCCTTTCTGAAGGCATTTTTAGCCTGTCCTGTCCTAACGAAACACCATTCAAGAGCTCGGAAGCAGAATATAGGGCAGGTATGCCATCCAGATAATGATTTTGTCTACCCAGCTTTAGCCCATCCTGGATTGCGCACTTGACGAGAGTTTGTTCCTTGCCTTTTGGATCCAGGTACGTGATTCCATGATACGAATAGAGACTGGCTGCAAGGAACAAGCGTGCCTTGCACCCAGGCTCTTGCAGGACATAGGACCGGAGAGTAGGATGCAAAGACATCGAATCTTCGCTGGTGGGTGAAAGGAGGTCATGCAAAATGGTAGCGGCGCGCAAAGAAAGTTCATGTGGTTTCGGAGTAGACGAGGCGATACTGGTGATTTGTGGTGGGATGTGGTATATACATTTGTAGAGTTTGAGATCGTGAATAATGCGTATCGAGCGGAAAGGATCCTGCCCTGCACATTATGAGAAACCGGTCAGAAATTTCTTTCTCGCAGGATGGTTAACACGGACCTTTCATCATTTTATCAATTTCCTCCCCGACTCGTTCTCGACTGATTTTTTGTGCGAGGCTATCTTGAATTATCTCAAGTTGAGCAGCTTGCTGCAGACCAGGTTCTATTTCAAAACCGAAGCGGCTTGCGAAGCGAATGCATCGTATCACACGCAGGGGATCGTCCAGAAAGGTTTCACGTGGCGGCAATGGTGTCCGAATGATACCATTCTGTAGATCATCGAGACCCTATCCATGTCGTGTCAGTGTTATCAATGTCAGCGATATCAGTGGCGTGAGTTCACCTTTTCAGTGAAATCTTCAACTGAACGAGTATGAATGTTGTAGAACAGCGCGTTAATAGTGAGGTCCCTCCGTAGAGCATCCTCTAGTGGTGTACCAAATTTCTGTATGCAATCTGGTCAAGTTCTGTGTGTTCTTTCAAGAGACCTTGAACACACAACTTCAGTCGGTATGCGACTGTCTTCTGCATACTCCTCGCTTCTCAGATTCACAAAATCGAGGTCCATGCCAAGGAGAGTAGTCCGTGCAGTTTCCAAGTGTTTGGATTGATCAGGATTGCTCTCAATTTTCGCGACTCTGTGCACATGAAGATTTTTCTGCTCAGTCAGAAATGCTACGAAACCTTCAGCGAAGGTTACGCCCATCATATCGGCGAGACAGATGTCAATATCATTGCTGTCCATGTCCAGTAACTGTAACACATGAATGAAACGACATAAGAGCTTGCCCGAACTATGACAGAGGTCCGGATTGACCTTGTCCCTGACCCATCCCCCGTTGATCCTGCACGCTGTTGTGATATTTTTGTTCTCCTGAAGATGGCGCGTGAATTCGTCGAGTAAAGTGCATAGATGATCCTCAGCGTCAGTCAGTTGGATCACTTTCCTGACAGCAGGCGCAATACGAGTCGTCATGTTTCTGTAGTGAATATGGCCCAATAAACGTCGCGAACGTGGATATTTGGGGAAAGAAGCAAGTTCTAGGATACTACAAGTGACTCGATGGAGCATGCAGAGTCATACCGATTGACCGCTCCAGTTGGAACAAGACGCAGTTGAAGCGGAGATGAAACACCTTCCGTATGGGGCGGCGCTGGCATCCGGTGCCGGCGCCCCACCGACCATCCGTTCATTTTGAGCCTGTGCAGCACGACGACCTACTCCCCCTACAACCTATTCCTCGCACATAACTTTCTTGTTAACTTTCACAAATGGGTCGTGTATTACTCAAGGTCCGTTTGCTATCCTTTTGCAAATTTGTCTTATTACTGACTCGTCCGGTCAGGTTATTATCTTAGGCGACAGTGGGTGCGTGTTGCAAAGTATTTAGCCTTGACCTATGAATTTGATACTTATCATTCTGCTCTCATTTGTGTAGTGTCGGCAAGACATCACTCATGAACCAATATGTGAACAAGCGGTTCAGCAACCAGTACAAGGCTACCATTGGAGCCGACTTGTAAGTGCCCTTTCACGTTGGTGGCGCCGTTCACGGCTCTTACTCGTTCTCAGCCTTACAAAGGAAGTTATGGTGGATGACCGTCTTGTCACAATGCAGGTACGTATCTTAGGAGGGTAAGTGCGTCATCCCCACTAATGAGGATGCTCAGCTCTGGGACACCGCCGGACAGGAGCGCTTCCAATCCCTAGGTGTGGCTTACTACCGCGGTGCGGACTGCTGTGTGCTTGTGTATGACGTGAATAGTGCCAAGTCGTTTGAGACGCTCGACAGCTGGCGTGATGAGTTCCTTATCCAGGCGAGCCCACACGATCCGGAGAACTTTCCCTTTGTCGTGTTGGGGAATAAGATCGATGTGGAGGAGAACAAACGACAGGTCCGTCGAAGGCAGCATCATAACATATATTTCCTTCGCTCACGTGCTTTGTAGGTGACACAGAAGCGGGCTATGACGTGGTGTCAATCAAAGGGCAACATCCCTTACTTTGAGACTTCTGCCAAGGAGGCTATCAATGTGGAGCAGGCATTCCAGACCGTCTCGAAGAACTGCACTGCAACAAGAAGCAGAAGAACAACTGTACGTTTATTCGATCATGCCTGACCATCTTGCTCATGAGAAGTAATAGGTATGTTGATTACCCGGACCCAATCCAGATTGACCGGGAGAGCACACAAAACTATGGGTGCAACTGTTAATGGATAATCTATGGACTGGGATTTTCTTCTGTTGGTCATGCTCTCTACGACATCTTTGTCGTTTGTTACCCCTTGCAATTACTCCAAGTAATATTTTACATTGTGCTCTATCGCGTACATCACGAACGCTGTTGATCTCATCTATTCACGACGCAAGCTACGGCGGATCGTGATAGGCGTATGTGAGATAGAACATAAGTGAAGATGCGGTATCGAAGGTTGGTACAAGTACAAGACACATTCCTTCCGCATTTCCTTCCTTCCAATAACTCATAGCTTGAACTCCGACCTCTGGTACTTGACCTTGGCTGAGGCAGCATTGTCGACATACCAGTACACCTGGCCTGGGTGCGATGGTCTGACGCGAGAAGCAGGCAAGCCTACTTCTGGGTTATCGATTATAGTACTGAGAATATCAGCTTTTCCCTCGCCCGCCGCGACGAACGCGATGCGCAGAGCATGGTTAAGAACTGGGAATGTCAAAGTGATGCGTTTTGGTGGAGGTTTCGGCGAGTCCTCGATGTACTCAACCCACCTGTCCTCTTCCGTCAACAGAGGATGTTCCGGGAAGAGGGAGCAGGTATGTCCGTCTGGACCGATGCCGAGGAGGATGAGGTCGAAGACGGGAAAACGAGCAGAGTCTTTTTGAGCAAACTCGCTGATAAGCGCTTTCTCGTACGCGTCTGTGAGCTCTTCGAGGTCGTCCAAGAGGGAGACATCGATGGAGTGAATGTTTTGTTTTGGTATGGGAACTTTGCTGAATAACTCTTTCCGGCAAAGATTGTAGTTGGAGTCTTCGTGATCCAGCGGAACGCAACGCTCATCGGCGAAAAAGACCTGCCTGTTGTATTCGTGAGATGGATGTTTGTTGTGATCTTTGAATCGATCCTTACCATTTGTCCCATTTCACAGCTGGGTTATCAATGAGCTTATTCAACTGTTTGGGAAGGGAGCCGCCCGAGAGAGCAACCGTGAACCTGCCCTTCTTATCGACAGCTTCTTTCTGTGCTTTGACGATGAAGGCGGCGAGCTTCTCGCTCAACTCGTTCGGGGACTCAAACGAATAGAGAATGGGAGGGCTGGGAGGTTGGTGAATAGAGGACATGATTAGGGGGACAATCGCTGGGAATATGCGCTTCGATTTCTTGCTGGACGATATATACCGTACCGTGTGACGTCAATATAAATACAGACAAATACGCGATATCTTTGATCACGAAAACTGCACAGAATAATCGTGACATTGCTATGGAGTCATCGTCGAAGTACTTCGACTTATCCCTGGCGTCCAGTCCTTTCCATCGTCGTATAACCTTTCTGCTACATCCACGTCGGCATTCCCAGCACTCCCTTCGACTCCCATCTCTGGGAAAATGGACAATAATAACGCGTCTATGATAAAGACTGCAAGGTGTGCATTACACGCAGCGTTGCCGAGTGGGCTGATTATTTCCTCGACAGTGCGTTCTGGCGATGATCCCAGAAGGGCGGGGGCCAGAAACGCTGGCACCTGTTCACGCAGTCGCCTAAGTAACTGCTGGTGAATAATAATTTGTTCTTCTGGAGTGGGATCGATTGGAGGCGGGCCTGGGTATCCATTTGGAAATAAAGTATGCTTGGACAGTCGTAGTACAAATAATATAGAGGACGCGCACAGAATTCGAGTATACAGTAAGTGGGTCAAGAGTCTTGAGGAGCAAGAATTAGAAAGTGCACGATTAGAGATAGTGATTGCCTTACCGGTCCATGAACGGAGTCGTGGCCGCACAGATCATACACAACGTATGCATTACTGCGCTTGTAGCAAAGCGCTCGTGCATTGTAAACAACTCCGATATCATTGCGAGAGGCTCTCGAGCATAATGACTGGATGAGCGCTGAGGGTTGGGTGGAGAAATATCTGCATGCAGGGACAGAGTAGACGACGCAGCTGAAGCATATGATGACGAAGGTGGTGAGATTGATCTTGCACTCCTCGTGGGCGACATAGGAGCTGGACGAGCTTTCCTCCATGGTTCACTTGCTCGCCGTTGGTTAACTGTTGGGCGCGCGGTATGATTAACGAGTTTGATGGTACTAAGCGTCTGCTTATATGTTTGAACAAGAGCTAGGCCCATCCCAGAGATGGACTGCATAGCAGAAAGAAAGAATACGAGGAGGGAATGAAAAGAAAAATGAGTGTGATGAGTATGTGACGGTGGCGATACATTTGGAGGCTACAATGCCATTTGTTCAGAGTTCGATACATCAACATATATGAGGTGGCAAACCTTGTCAGGCTCTGCATCAAGTGATGGACCGAGCAAGTCCAAGATTGTTCTCTGAATAAACCATGGTTGGGTGACTCGCGGAATAACATCCTTCACTAGTACCTTGAGGATGATTTCACGTATGATGTATCGCTCAGCCTCTGGAGCATAATCCTGAGGAGGTAGACATGATTTAAGTACATGGTCCAATGCCTGGCGAAAGTATTCTTCGTCAATTTTACCCTCGGGAGAGATTGCCACGTGAGGCTGCAGTTGGTGAAAGAGGTGTGGAAGGAGTACAGCACCACCCATTGCATACGAGGTAGACACCTTGGACGCAGCATGACGGTAGTCGCGATAATGTTGCGTTATTAGAGCGGGGGCGATTGAAAATATGAATAATGAAAAGTCAGTGGTTAGCAGGCGTGTTTCGAATGTCCGAAGGACGGTCGTGAGGACAATCGTAATTTCAGGAAGTAATTCCTTGTCATAGCGAGTAATCTTGGTCCACCACGTATTGACGAAGGCGCGTAAAGCAAGCGCAAGAAGATCATAGGCCTCCGCGTTAAGTTCGGGTGAGCATGTTGGTGAAGCAAACAACGGCGGCAAGTCTGAGCCTGGTGGCAAGTGCGGAAAGAGCAGACGCTTTGCGAGTGTTGCTGGCTGCTGCTGTTGCTTTGTGGTGTTGGATGTGATACTGTTAGAATGCGTTGAGCGAGGGCGGAGGTTGCCCGCCATAAGTTACACGTGCATCCGAGTGCGCAACCGAAATTCTTGCTGGTCATCCGGATCTATCAAAATTACGTAACTGTCGTTGAGAGTTAGTAGTCAGCCAATGAAAATCATTCATTGTTACCGTAACATGTCACTTGGACTCCGGGATGCACGTTCACAAGCTTGTATCTCTTTCACTATCACCAACATTAAACAGGCAGACGGTTCAGTCCTCCGTCTGACCTAGCATCGATCCGTACGTTATAGATGAAACTTCTGCGGTTCCGTGAAGCTAACATGCATATACGACAGTTGCGGTAGTGCCATCTACCCATTCACTGTCATTCGTTTATAATCCGACGCTCTTTACTGCCTTTCAATATGGAACAGATATCTGACTATAACTCAGCACCTAGCTCCTTCGCCACACAAATATTTAGCAGCAGTGATGTCAACCACACAACTACCGTTATCATCGTAGGTTCTTTGTGTCGTTGTGGGCATGTCGATCCTGTTCAGTCTTTTTCGATTCCTACGTCATCGATTGGTCCGACGTTCCACTCCCCTACCACCTGTGCAACCTATCGCTCATTATCGCAAGCAGCGGCTGACAGAATTCGCTGAACGGCCCACCATGTCATCAACATACTCCCTGTCCTCACACCATTCTCCGTCAATTGGATTATCGCCTGCCGCGAGCGATTCTTCCTTCCTCACTGTAAAGTACAACCAGACTTTTCCTTCGCAGTCAAGTCTGTATCTTGCAGATAAAGGCGATGACCAAGGCGTGCCGCCGTCTCCAGGGAACGACGACAAAGTACTGCCAACGCCAAATCTCGCATTTAATCATGCCAGGCGTTTCAGTAGCAGCTCTTCGGGTTCTGCTTCCTCTACTCCCCCCTCAGTTTCTGTTGCATCACGTTCGCCATCACAGGCTACGCTTACTCATTCGTATTCTCGTCGTACTGGTCCTGCGTCAGCAGTATCCAGCACCTCCATCCGAAGCAGGAGTTCTGGAAGGAGCACTATTGTAGGTGCTCCGCATGGACCCCTAAGTCAGGTCAGAGTCGTACTACCTGCCCCTCTCGCTCCTTCTCTGCGTCCATATCTTTCTGGTCCAGAAGCAGGCAGATTAGGCGTGGATGCCGAGACGTCAGTGCGTACAACCATGGTCGATATGTGGGCACTCCCGCTTCACAGGTCGGCGAGCTCTGATCATATCCGTAAGTTACCGCCAGTTCATGTTCTCGGTGAATTTTCGAGCTTATTGTGTGGTAAGGACCAAATTCGCCCGCAATTTCTGCTACGTACCGGCACGGCTCTTCACTCTCTAGACCTCGACAGAGGACCAACTCTTGCCATACACCGTCATCGTCACTTTATTCCTCTGTGATTGATTCCCCTCCTGTCCCCCCGATTCCTACCCAGTACAAGCAACTAAATGGGATACCTTGCGCCACACAACATCAGCAAGACAATCCTACGAGAGACCCTCTCATGCTTCCACAGTCCTCTTCCGGAGGGCCATACACCACACAGCACAAGGACCGCATCAGGGAAACGTAATTCACTACAGAGTGCTACAGAGCGCTCTGTAGCACTCTGTAACACAATCCAACCCGCTGATGCGAGAAGAGAATCCTCGCGAGTCATCGACTGTACCTTGACCAAGTAAGACGGGTTAGTGTAGTATTTTGACGCTAATGATCCTTGATGAGTTGATCGAGCCATCTATATCATTATCATTCTTTATGTGTACGTGTTTCCGCACGCCAACGAGTCCTTGCACTATTAGATTCCCTTTCCGTGTACTTACAGGTCACACCAGGAACTTGGGGATTTTTTGATCCGCCCGTTATCAAATTGAGTGCCTTGATGGTTGGCCGGACCTGAAGGCACTGGACCCATTCCTTCTCCCGCATTTTGATCAGAATTAACACGCATGAGTTATGATAGACCACAGCAACTCGAGTCGCTACATGAGATTGTGCATGGTTTGATGTCATCCGCTCTTGCCGGACAAAAACTATCCATAATTCATTTGGCTCACACAATGCACCGATGGTCCAATCATGGCGACAACTCGTTTTGTGTTATGTGCAGGTCGTATTGATATATCAGGCATATCATGTACTGACTAGATGGTGGGCTCTGCAGTACCAAGTGCTAGGGGGCGCTCATGATCAGTGGCAGTGCGGTGTTCAGTCATCTAATGTTTTCTCATCCCACATCAGGGAAACGTAATTCGCTACAGAGTGCTACAGAGCGCTTAACACAATCCAACCCGCTGATGGCACATCTACGTTACGTGTTCGTTTTCACGATGCAGTGATTCGTTGCACTTTTCTGGGGGTGTGTCAAAGAAGGTCGAAGATGACATTCACATCGTGAATGCGAAAACTCCGATCACTTTCCTGTTGACGAAGAAATCGTGCCAAGGTCAAGTCAGGGTCATCCGCTAATGCATTCAGGTTCGATTCACGTCATCTTCTTTAGCGGACACAGGAGTTCATCGCAGATAGCCATCCTGAGCCAGGCCTTAACTCAGGTCGACGCTTTATAGACATATATATTGCTCCCAGATGCCTTGACAGTGTCCGTTCCTTTTTACAGCAATCTGGCGAGAGGTTTCCTATATAATACTGGCACTACTAATGGCCGTGGTGCTGGTTTCTAGTACACCGAAGACATTCGTACGCAACACATCTACCTTGTGTAGCTGATCAAGAATGCGTTTGTCCACAAGTAAGTGCAATGAGTTGCCGATGGCTCTCTGGTTTCTCACCCTTCCCTCCGCCTACTAGTATCTCTCCTACTATTGGTGCATTCTGTCGAAAAAGTCGCTGGAATTCACTGGATGCAGTGTTTGACCGACATCCAGGCAAATGCAAATGCAACCCAGAATTTAGTCGGTCTCCTCAATAGCAACGGCGATCCTGTGTCGAATGTTGCTGATGCGACAGCGATAAGCTACTCTCTGTGTACCTCCTTCTGCGGGAAGGGACAGGATTTTGATGTGGCTGTGTTTGCGCAAGATTTCAGTTCATGGCTACTGCCATACCTTGCACTGATTTCGCAACTCCCCTTTGGGGCACAGTACAGACTTGATAATCTCATGTCTGCTATGTTAACCGTGGGGTCACCAGCACTAGCTGGTTACTCTCTGTTCATCACGCTCCTCAATTCTCGTTGGATCAATCGCCGGTTCAGTCAATCAGTGGACTATCCCAATTCACGATTCGCAGTCTCTATTATCAGCAGCCTTCAACAATCTCCGCTAAATCTGCATTCCGATCGTACACGCCTCGCATCCCTTGTTATCCTTCCGGAAAATGACTCATGGTGGCAATATTTCTCTGAATTGGTAGACTATACTCACACGTGGTCAATTGCGTCCGCGACCTCCATTGCCTGGGTCGTCGTTGCCTACATCCTATCTGTCGTCAACTCACCATCAGATTCTTTTGTAAATGCTCAAGCCGGCGGCGAATCTACTAGTTCAATGTGGCTGTGGTTGATTCCAATAGTCATGGGATGGCTGCAACTCTCCCCGAAATGCGATTCCAATCGCCTACAAGCAGCTTATGATCGTGCCGACCGACATGCGCGCGCAGGAATAGCAGATAGACCTATTGCAACACCACCTGCGTCCGCCCAAAGAGCTTTAACAATAACTGCGCAGGAGGAGGATGTCATGTCTCCAGACGAACTCCTTACCCCTCCGGTGTTTAATTACTCACGTTCGCTGCAATGGGCATACACAGCAGAGAATATTTTCCTGATGTACAAAGCGGCATCAGAGAAGGCTCGAAACCGTGTTCCCGTTAACATCGAGAGTGAGTGGGTTGAATCCGACGATTTTAAATCCATCCACCCTCGCAATCGATATGGGACTTCTCAGGAAATTGCTGCATACTGCACGCAACCTGGCTGTGCTCGGCGCAGCCATTGGGCGCCTGGCGTGTTCACAAGAATGGTTATCGCGTCATGTGCTTCGCTTGCATTACAGTGGGGAACAGTCGGAGGAGCCTTTATAGTCGAGTGGTTTACTCCAACAACTGTGTGTTTCTTCTGGTATATATGACACGTCGGCTGACTTCTGACAGGGTGTTGGGTGTCGATCTCTAGGTCACCTTCTTTACGGAGTTGTATCGACTACCATTTGGATGATGCTCCTGATATCCAGTATTCTCGCCCACTATTCCGCAGCTTACTCTTATCGAGCATCACTGTCTGCACGTGTTGCTCTGACGTTCTCACACTTGCTGCGAAGGATGGGAAAACTGTTGGCCATTGCAAACTCCCTCTGGGTGGTCTTGACGTGTATTCTTCAATATTCCGGCTTCTATAATACATGCTTCTGCAATTCCAGTGTCATCAGTAGGGGAAATGCTGCTGCATACATTACTATCATCGAAACCACAGACCAGGCTGCACTGGCCAAGGTGGCCTGGATCGGTGCCCTTTTCCTAGTGTGTACCTCGGTATCGGCTTTCGTCGCCTTCGTGGGTCTTTTATTGGATACTCTCTCTCGATAACTATTGTTGCAAGTAAACATATTATGTAGTTATTGACTACTAGAAGATATTCAAGTTGCTTTGCAACTCAGTATTCAAATGTTGACTCGGAGATTTGGAAACATCGCTGGCAGCGTGCCATACATTTATGTTAACCCTTGTTCAAACTCGCAACTGCATGCGATTTATTTGGTGTCACTATTCGAGCAACAGTACGCTCAACAAGGTCTATGATTACAAGGCCTACAGGATGAACAACATGTACAACAGCGAGTACGGGGGATGCAAGTCGGTTATTATTATCAAGCCCAGATGGATGTCATCTTTTCGACGCCGCAGAATTCCAAGACTAGAGTCATGGGACGTATAGAATCCTATAAATGACATACATAAAGAAGAATCACCGTATAACTCGAATCTGGCCTATCAGCGTATCTAATCAGGACTCGATTCTGTTGATTCAATCGATTTCGGTAAAGTTCACCTGAAGCGTCCGAGCTCTCCACCAAAGTCATAAGCGTTCGTAAGTGTCCGACGTAAACACGCTCAAGCTCAGCATTAATTTCAGTGGTTTTACTGATGGCCTTGTCTTCCACATCAAAGGAAGATACTCGTCGAGATGCGGTCCCCAATTATTTACATGATAGGCTGAGTCAATTATAGCGTTTGTTCCGAGTATCGTTTGAGCCTCGGCTCACGTGCCACGCTTGTCTGCGGCCCTCGTGACTGTATCAAACGCCGCGCCGGGTTGTATAAAAGTGACCTCGTCAGATATAACTCAGCATACCCTTCCGCTGCATTATTCATACCCACGGGCTTAGCAATGTCGTTTGTGCGGTTACGTTTGACACCATTCCGGTTTGCTAGGCTTACGCAGTCTGCAACTCGCTCATCATGGCGGCCTACTGCCATTGGGAGCCGGCACATGTCCCAAAATATCGATCGGGATTCTACGACGGGGAAAGCTGCTGTTCCGCTCGATATTGAGGTATAGACAATGTTTTTGAACTTTTTTTTATCGTTTTAACAATCTACGAAGTCCTCCCGGCTCACTGTCACCAAAACAACGAGCCCAAAAGAACTCCCTCCCTCCAAGAGCCTTCTCTTCGGGCGGACATTCGTGAGTCATTTTCTCAGGTTCCTCATGTGTTGTGCCTCATTGTGATTCCAGTCAGATCATATGCTGAAAATCCGCTGGACTGAAGCTACTGGCTGGGAAGCACCCAGCATTGAACCTTGTGAGTCCAACCGCTTTTGTCATAGCTTTTATCGATGTATTTGCTCTTATGTTCTAGTCAGTACCATCAATCTGTCCCCTAGTGCTACCGTGCTTCATTATGCCCAATCACTATTTGAGGGCATGAAAGCCTACAGACATGAGAATGGCACTGTGACGATGTTCCGACCTGACATGAATATGAAGCGTATGAACATCAGTGCACAGCGGCTAGCGCTTCCCGTACGCTCTATTCTTCTATTCTGAATAGATGATCATACCTGTCTCCCAACAGGCATTCGACGGAAACGCACTTCTTGAATGCATAAAGGAGTTAATCTCCCTCGACCGTCAATGGATACCTAAGGAGCCCGGACACAGTCTTTACATCCGACCTACATTTAGTGGGTAGTGTAACCCTCGTTGCAGAGACAAATACTAAAAGTCACTGCAGTCGGCACTAATGGTACGTTAGGTGTTGCGCCCCCCAGCGAAGCACTACTCTTCGTGATCACCAGCCCTGTGGGACCATACTACCCTCACGGGTTCAAGCCTGTACCTTTACATGGCACAACAGATTACATTCGTGCCGCGCCTGGAGGTACGTCAAACTATTGGCTCACCAATCGGATATTGTAATCATTACACCTAAAGGTACCGGTGCGTATAAGCTTGCTGCGAACTACGCACCAGGCGTTGTAGCACAAAAAAGTGCAGCGAAACAGGGCTACGCACAGAACCTGTGGTTACATGGTCCCGAACACTGGCTCACAGAGGTGGGCACCATGAACTTATTTGTCGTTATTAAGGACAAGGACGGCAGTAAGCATTCACTTCATCGGTGTCTCAATCGCGTGTTGAATTCATTGCATTTGCAGTAACCGAACTCATTACTCCCCCTCTCGACGGAATGATTCTTCCAGGTGTTACACGCGACTCTGTGTTAGCCCTTGCGCGTAACCACGTGTCGGGAGTTAAGCGTCTCGAAGGTCTTCCTGATACCATCAAGGTCTCGGAACGCCCAATTAACATGGGCGAGATTATCCAATCCTCAAAGGAAGGTCGACTTATCGAATTGTTTGGTACTGGAACGGCTGCTGTTGTCACCCCTGTGGACAGAATTGGGTACAACGGAGGTGATGTCGTGATTCCTACTGGTAAGGACGGTATGGGTCCCGTCTCGAAGCCTCTTTGGACAGAGCTGGTGGGTATCCAGACGGGGGCTATTAAGAGCGATTGGAACTATGTGGTGGCGCAGTAGGGCGGCGCCGTTCATCTACAAACAGGAGATCTATTTGTGCATTTTACTAGAATCTAGAGTTCTCTCATGGCGATCATAAGATGGCAGAATCAGCTAGTTGTAACACTGAAAGTTACCATGACATCTTTGTGTGCCAGCATCTGACTTTCCTTGTCTAGGTCCCTCTGTCATTAGGTATTATCAGGAACAGACCGCTAGAAGAATATTCAATTGCCGGAGTTACATATTGGTTGTACCAATGCATTCGAGGGCACTGGGCGGGTTGGCAGGCCTTATTCGGATCCAAACCGCTAGCAGTGGAAGCCCACCGACGCACCATCTGTATCGGAACCATGGCTCCCTGTTCTTCAGCCTTTACGCTCCACCAGTTTCGATGACTTGATTGACGGCGCATCACGCACATATCAGCATGCTCGCGGTGCCACGTAATCGACTGACTTAATCAGACAACGCGGAGAACGTGCTGGTTACGTTCTTGATGCGTACCTCGGATGTTAATGTAATATGTATGGGGCTAACGGCCAACCAGGAGTATAGCTTGTGACGAAAGGTTGCTCCTGGTCATGCACGCCGTAACAGTCGGGGGGACTAGCCCTGAGCCATCACCCTCCCTATGCAGTGGATTTGCTGCTGACGACAATGGTGGGACAGGAAGCGAGACTATTATTGTGACTGCACATGCTGTACGGGAGGCCTTGCCATTGGCACTGTCTCCCACAAGCAATCCTCATAAATCACATTAGCCTCAGGCGGTTCAAATCATAACAAGAACGTGTTATCGGGGCCATCTGTAGCAGCAGCAGGAAACATGTCTGCAGCCTGTATCATCTGTACTGAGCGGATCTCTTTCTGCTGTCAACGGGATAACCTGAATGAGTACGGCAGGTGGCCTCTGGATTGGGGAGCTCCTACACGAGGTACTGATATTCCAGCTGGCCAGGCTTTGACTACGTACGTAATTTGGTTTTGAAGACATCACCGTGGGTATATCTTGCAGGGCTGTCTTTTTGATGTCAATGCATATCCGTTCATCCAAGCCCATTGGACCTTGAATGACATCTGGGTGCTTAGACTGAGAAGCAATAGTTGCACACCATGTACTGATTTGTTAAATGCCTTGATGAAGATCGTACGAAGCGTGGCTACTGAGTTTTAGCGCTCGCAGCGATCCATAATCTGTGAACGCTGGTGGCAAGCAAGAGGGACTGACTAAGAAGACGTGACCTTATAGCTTAGTCATAAGTCAAGGGCAAACTAATCATCATCCTTGGCAGTTGCCTCAAGCAGAGCATCCACCTGAGCATTTACTTGCATCGGTCTGGTAGTCCATTATACTTCTTTCATCCATAATTTTTTTTTTTGCATCTCGATAACCCAAGATACAGAGGCTGGTCGTCTCACTCTTATTTTCTCCCTTTTTCTCCGGTAAAAATGCTTTACGACCCGACCACCGTAACTCACCTAAAGCCCTGGTTGGTCCGAACTCTGGAGCCCATGTGCGTATTACCAGATACTCGGTCTCCATCGTCTCTGACAATCATTGGCATATCCAGATGTGATGCTGAGCCTGGGGCACTTGCTGAATACATTCTCGCTTTGCTGAAGCACAATGTCCCGGAAAATGAGATGAGAAAGGAGCTCAGCTCCCAGCTGGAAGAGTTTTTAGAGAAAGGTGCGCATTATTTCGGTGTAATCTATGCATCTCGTTCTTAATTCGATATCCAGAGGGACCCTCATTTATAGATACATTATTCACTGTTCTCAGAACCAAGACGTATCTCCCGTACACGGCCAGCGACCCAACAAGTTCCTTTTCGTTGCCCTCACATTCACAGTCCGCAGATACTGGGATTCCTATACCTCTGGATGGTCTCATATCTAATCATTCGCCGACAGAAAGAGGGCAGAAGCGATCGCTAGAACATGATGAACGTGACGGGCGCCCGCCTACGAAAGGTGCTCGGTTAAGTGCAGAAGGCCAATTTTCACGGTATCCCAACGGTCGTGAGTCTCGCTCTACCGGTGCATGGAGTGGTGGCCAAAATAGGGCTGGTGGTCAAGGGATGATGGTGAATGGTACAATGGGTAGTGGCATGAATGGGAACAGTCAAAATGCGAACACCCGACGACCGCAAAATTATCAGCCCCCAGACCAAAGAAAAGGAATATGTCGTGATTATCATAGTGCGCTTGCTCTTTCGTAACGATTTAAAGACACTACTCACATATACCTACAGATAATGGATATTGTGCTCGTGGTGCATTATGCAAGTATAGCCACGGCGAAGATGCTTTCGTCCCATCGCAAATGTTTTCTGCTGTACCATTCTTACCAATGTTTGGTGGAATGCCTTTCGGTATGGCTCAAGGTGCACCCTATGATCCTCACGAGGCACGCATGGATATGCGTCCGAATGGCGCCGGCATCGGCCTGGGTCGTGGAACGCAACGCGCTCCTCTACTCTCCAGGGCTCAGCAAGAGGACGGTAGTCAAGTTTCTCACGCGGTGGATAGGTCTGGCGAACTTCCGGTCATACAAGACCTAACTCCTCAGCCACCTCCAGAACTTGCACCGTCGGCCTTACCAGCAGGAGACTCCATCCCACAGAGTTCCACACTTATGCAGCAGCAACCAGTTCAACACATGGACGTGGAGATGGGTGTTCCAAGTGTGCCAGGGCCATCGACGTACAACACGCGTGGTGGGTTCGGAGGGGGAGTGAGGGGTGCACCTCGTGGGCGAGGTATATTTGGTGGTGACGCGCAGACCTTCCGTCCAGAACGACGGCAAGATAAAACACTTGTGGTGGAAAAGATTCCAGAGGACAAGCTTAGCCTCGATGCTGTCAATGGTTGGTTCAAGCGCTTCGGGACAGTCACCAACGTTGCGATCGATGTTCGCAGCGCCAAGGCGCTCGTGAGTTTTGCTGAACACACCGAGGCTCATGCTGCATGGAAATCGGAAGATGCCGTGTTTGGGAATCGGTTTGTGAAGGTCTTTTGGCATCGGCCCATGGAAGGACATGGGCAAACGGGATCGCGAATGTTAGCGGCTTCCGCACCACTACTGGCCAACCTGGCTGCGCGTGAGACCCCCATGCCTTCTGCACCATCCCAGCCTCCTGCACCGCCCACCACGACTCCCGCCCGTAAACCGTCCCTTCAATCTTCTGCCGTGTCAGAGCTCGCGGCAAAGCAGAAGCTGCTGGAGCAACAGATAGCGGAGCAGAAGTCTTTAATGACCTCATTAGAGACCTCTTCTCCTGAAGAGAAGAAAGTGATTCTAGCAAGATTACGGAAATTGGGAGAAGAGATGACGATTTCATCAGTACCGTCACCACCGTCGGCTACTCCTGCTAAGGTCCATTCGCCTGCACCTATCTTGACTACTCAGAATGATCACGAGAAAAAGGAGAGAGAAAGGTTGGATAAGGAGCTTGAGTTGCATGCCGTTGGGGAGTCTACGGAGGAACTCAAGGCTAAACTCGCAAAATTGAGGGAGGAGGCAGCAAGTCTTGGATTACCGGAGACCAGTCCCGATGTCTCGTATGGTGCACCGTATCGTGGATACAGAGGTCGCGGTCGCGGGGCACGTGGCACCTTCTACCGCGGAGCACCGCGAGGTGGTCCTCCTAGGGCGAGCATGAAACTCGACAACCGCCCGAGGAAGTTATTGGTGAAGGGTGTTCGCGAAGACAGCTTGCAAGCATTGCGGGATTGGTATGAAGTACGTCGAGATCCCTCCATTTCTGGATGCGTGGCTCATGACAATTATAGACCACTGGTCAGCTCGACTCAACAGAGAGCATTGGCGATGATGAAGTTCTCGTCAGCTTCAAGACGAGAGCAGCTGCTGAGCAGGTTGGTCAAAAAATGACCTATCGTATTTATTTGTGCTCACTATTTGGCCAGGGTTTTGCCAAAGGGTCAACTGTTGCTGCAGTAGGTCCAGTGAAGATTTCATGGTACAGTACCCAGCAATCGCAAGCAAAACCACAAGGGGTCACTGCGCCACCATCGCAACCTGCCACCACAAAAGGCGTTCATCCAGACGATACGCGGAATACTTCACCGTCTCCAGGACGCCGTCCCTCCCCCCGTCCACAAGAAGAAGAAGTCATCGCCAGTGGATGGGGCGATGGTGATGAAGATGGTATGGGCATGTTTTGATCGTACAGATTTTGCGATCCTTGGAATTGTCTTTGTATTGTACTCGGTGCCGGTGTATTTTAATCCTGCCAGCGGCCCGAAAAATTATCCAGGAATTTCAACGTCTAATCCCCATGTTACACCCTGATCGTCACTCGATTTTGTCTGTCAATCAGCGTGCATTCATAGTCTAAGTCTATCGTGTAGCGTACAAGTGCGTATGAGGTCAAGTTCGTTAGAAGTCGAGACTTTTGTGGTTCATAACGTTTCGAACTTAACATGAGCATGAATGTCTCGGTGTGACGTCCGTACCGCGTGCACTGTATAGGTTCGTATAGATTCGTATATCATATCTTCGTCATTTCTCTTCACCTGTGATGGAGGTAATTGTTATGTAAGGGGTCGGGGTATGATCCGTTGGCATCGAAGGCATCAGCAGTCCTGCGTCGGCGAAACGTAGGAGCAGCCAAGTTCACAGCATCTCCTATGTATATTTCGACTTCATCACTCTGGAACCGCGTGACTGCGCCAAGACCTGCAGTCCTACGAACAGGTGGTGATCTGCTTTGGCTCATGGGAGGCTCGTTGGTTTTTGGGGGAGATAAAGAAAGATGGGGTACTTCGCCCTGAAGGGACACGTCATCCCCTCGCAATGCCGTTGGAGAATCGCACAGCGTGAGCTTCGTCCATGTTTGAGCAATGTGGTCAATATCCTTCGTAATGTCAAATGATGTGCGTGGTTGAGATCGGGATGTGTGTGTAGTTCTTGGTGGGTTGTAATGCTCTACAAATCGCAGGTAGTCGGGAACTCCTAAGAAAGGCTCTGAGTTGATATTCGTGCGTGCGACTTTACGCTTTCGATGGTCCTTATGATAAGGCACAATTACCTCCCTGATTTCGTCGACAGCCCCACCAATGATAGCTTTAAATTCCCTGAACCTGGCTTTCAGCTGTGACTTGCGGGCCATTTCCAACTGCTTCTCCATAGGTGGGAGCCAAGTCTCATTGATAGGGGAGAGCGACTGAGGTGACTGGGGAGACGTGCCACATGCCGAACGAGAATCAATGGAGAGAAGAGCAACAGGTTGGCTATCTTGTCGGACACAATGACGCTTGTAATTGGCATCGTCCCCCGAGGATGACCCTCGCGCACGAACACGACTCCTACTGGTAGGGGATAGACGATGAGTAACATCTGGATTCGTGGGGAGCGATCCATTCCCCTGCCTTGAAGCTGGAGTCTCATGTTTTGGGGAGAGTGTTGCGGGAGGTGCAGCTGGTGAGAATTCTGAGCGACCCGGAGGGTGTGCAAGGGAGCTGGGGATCAGGCTAGGAGACGGTTGTGATGTGCATGGGCGGGAAGGGGATGTTGTTTGGGAGAGGACTTGATTTTCCTTGTCGCGCCCATGTTGTAGAGAGAGTGATCGTGACGAAAGTATTGACGCCGAATTAGCTTCTCCACGAGGCGAACCTCTATCATGCAATGGAGAGATATGTTGTAATGTGGGAGGCAAAGCGCTTGACGCGAGCGTACGTTCTCGTTGGAAATGTACCGAAGTATTGCGAGTACATGTCATGGTCGGCGAGACAGTCGGGCGAGTAGTAAATGAAGGGCCACAGTGACTGTACACCTGCTGTGGGAGGTTCTGTGTAGGATAGTGGTGCTGGATCTCGTCAATCAGCATCCGGTCTGATGACCTTCGGCTCCGACGGGTAGAAGAAACGTCAACCGACATGCGGGATGAAGCCTTACGCCGAGCGCCTTGATCAAGATTCGGAGAAGATGGATCAACCGACATCTGAGACGAAGCCTTGCAACAGGTGCCTGTCAATGGGGAGGGATCGACAGACATTCTGGAACTCCTTTTCCTAAACTGTCTAGAGTCCAGCGGCCCATCGTCAACGGACATGGACTTTGTATCAGACCCAGCGGGAGATCCGGAGATGGACACAGTCGCTAAGATACCATATGCATGGTTGTTCCACTCTTGGATGACTGCGCCCGGTGAAAAAGCCGTCGGCTGGCGAATAGCAGGTACACGATCGACGAAGGAAGAGTCTGGTACATGCTACACCAAAGATTAAATGAGATCGATTTTTACCTAAAATCAAAGTTCCATTACCTGCTTGGTGTGGGAGTGACGACCAGCGTGACCTGTTGTTAACCCCGATGTTTGTTTCCCGTCACTATTATTTCCAAAAAGTCTGAGACGAGTCTCGTCTCTTTGTTTTGAATTGTATGAATGAAAATTCCTTTGACTCAACCCCACATGATGCGGAGGATCATCGACACGAGCCCCTATCCGGGAGAGGAGGGAAGGTTTTTGCAGGAGCTGTGAGTTTGGCATTGACAGAATTAGCTGGAGGGATATAATGCTATCAGAGTCTGCTCCCAACTCTAAGTCTTATACCTTGCGCAATCCTTGTGCTCCGACTAGGAATCAAAGCGGTCACCATACTGGCACGTTCTCGTGAAAATACAAAAATCCACGTCTCTTTGATACAGTGTGGGTCCAGAGAGGCGCTCGTGGATAAAGGAACAACCCGCACCTTTTAAGTCGAAGCGTGACCGTAAAGGGTCCCGCCCGGGAACGAATACAATAACTGAATATCTGACAAGGAAACCTCATCTGAGCAACTGTTATCGGACCTATAGTACTTGTTATCATACAATTGCCGACAGAGGACAAAAGTCGGTTCCCATGGGTATTGGAGTCATTGAAACGATCAATGTTCTCAGCACCGCGTCTTGAATTTGGAATATGAGATGAGGATTCATTGAGTTTATCCAGGACCTTGAAACTACCAAAGTCTGGTCCGAGTCGAACTTGTACTGAGATTCTCAGACTCCTACCCATCGGCGGGTGTGTAAGAGAGCCCGACATCCGACAGCCACAGACCAAATACAACCAAATGCTATTTCTCCGACGATTTACCGAAACTTTTGGGGCTACTTACACACCCAGCCGACTGGCAAAACTTGCAGGTGGCGCGATGTTTGCCTCTGTTGATTTCGCCTGTTATCACTCAATTCGGACTGACTTGTGCGAGTGACACGCTCAGTGTGACGATACCGAGTTTATGTAGGGTTATTTAATTTTTGTCAATGCTCGTGAGAATTCACTGTTGACATTCGACATGCTCGAACGGCGTGTTAATTGACAAGTACTCGTCTACATACTCATGCTGTGGAATATAATACTACATACTAGCATCTAAATCCTCAACTGATGGACGCTCAAATATCCAAAAAGCTCAACAATGTACTACAGTGCCTGGAGGACAACAGGGTGACCATTTCAGACTTCATCAAACATCTTCAAAGCACAGATGAGATTCGCAAGTCAGCAAAGAATAATTGAGTGCAACAAGGCTTGGAGATTTGCACTCACCTTTATCAGTATCCTGACACTTGCACATCAATATCTTTGTGGGCATATGGAGTCATGAGGGAAGTGCTTGGTGCTGAGATCAAAGACCTGGTGCAGAAGGAGAATGGATTGCATTTTCATGCCAAATCTGCAACAATGGAGCAGTTAGAAAATTTGTTTATGCCTCAAGTTGCGGAAAAGATCAGAAGGCATGCACCAACTATTTGGAGGTTAATCTACTCACTTCTTGAGGCATCTGATGAATGATGGACCATGGGAAAAGCCATGGTTGATGAGATGGTGATGGCTGAAGTGTTCGCAGATGTGGAGTGTAACCTTGGAGAGATTGGGGGTGACAATGGTGTAGATGAATCTATGTCAGATACAAGCGATGAACAAAGGAACAACTCATGTGAGCATTGGACCCATGTACAAGTAGAGGCCAGAAATACAACACTGCAGATAATTGTCAGTTCTATCATGTTGCACTCAAGCTTGTGGACTCACACCTGTACAGAAAACTGTTGTGTGCATCAGTATCATTTTGCAGAGCTCAAATGAAAGATGCAATTACTTACAGGGTCTCCTCGGCATATTCTTCCACTCAATGGGTGTTCCACAGAAAGTGATTGATGTCCTGGCACATGTGGGATTATCTATCAGCATCACATCAATACACAATGCAGTACACTTGATGTCCAAAGAAATTGCAGCTAACATCAAGCAAGGTATTCAATCACTCAAAGTGTCCTTTGCATATGACAACTTTGACATCAACTTCAAAACTTCGGAACCTACCATTGGGCATCATTTGACCTTTGTTAGTGCAATATCCACTACCTCATTGCCACTTGTAGGTGTCAACAATCCCGAGGCACTATGCTGCTCAGCAGCATTATGGGCTGCTGATTCTCATAACCCTGCACCGTCAACAACAGCTGTTGAAATCGATGAGTTCGACATGCTACAACATCACATCAATGACACTTACAGTAGGCCCAAACAAGGTGAGCATCTCAGCCCACGACTCACTGCCTTTGCATGGCATGTATGAGACATTCTTGTCCAACATGGCTGGTATTTTGGATCATTTGTGGACAAACTTGGAGAGCCAGAATCAGTCCTACAGATACCTGTCACAAAGATGGATCAAATACCTTTCCATTCCATGAGGATCAAGCAATCAACTGCTGATAGGAATATGGAGGTGATGGAGAACTTGCTGCGACAAGGAGGAATCAGAGATCCTACTGATAAAGAGTTTGAATCTGCAGGAGACGTTGACATGTCAGAACATGTCTTGCTTATTCACGGTGACTTACTCACCAAGGAATGGTGAAGGTTCAACTACTCTGCTAGGCTGCAGAGCTAAAGAAAGAAAGAGTGCCTCTACCTCTGGGGTGAGAGGAAGGCTACTGACTCTCTAGATGTTGGTTGAAGTGTGCCAAGCAATATGTTCGACCCTTAAGGGAAGCAAAGAGAGCAAGTATCCATGAAGTGATGCTGGATCAACTCTGGTGAAGCGCACTGGGAGCGTGCACATGGGAATGTTGTGTGTGTAAGGGCGTGAAGCGTGGGAATAGAGCGCGTGTGGTGTGCAAATGTGTAAAGACTGGTGGATGATGACTGGTGAATGATGACTGGTGATAATGGACTGTTGCTGGTGACTAGGGCGATGACTGAAGCATGTTGACTGAAGATAATGATTCTAACTCTAGGTGACTACTGACATGATGGTGGTTGCTGTATCTGGTGGTGGTGGTAGGTGTATGAAAACTTCCTAGGCAACAGGTAAGCTGTGCCTAGGCATGCTCCCAGGGCTCGGAAGTGAATAGGGAGCTCTCTAAGTATGTAAATGATGTAAGGACAGGGTCCATGATGAAATAAAATATTGTATGATGCTAAATATGGTCTGATATGAGAATAAACAGGAAAGGACTCACTAGGGGACTGGTTGGACAATGGATGGATGCTCCCAGATGCTGCACGACATAAGGTGACTGAGTGTGGGAGGGGCGCACTAAGCGCATGCACGGGAATACATCGCATAGTGTGGGAAAGCATCGTGCCTCTGGCGCATTTTGCAGGAAAGTCATAGAGGGTAAGTTGTGCACTGTACCAATCATCATGAGTCGTAATATGGGCAATCTATGCCTGGAGGAATCTCATTCCCTACAATGGCTCAACACAGTTTGTGATACACAGAGAATCGAGAGCACACCAAAAAACTGATTCCAGTACATCACCTTCCTGCCAGGGTTGTTTCACTACAAAATGACATGTGCCAATGCAATATGGAGGACATACCTTCAAGCTAAAGAAGGCCAAGATGACCCAAACAGCATGTTCCAACATGTAGGCATCTTGCAACCACAAGAAACAGGGCACATATCCACGAAACCTGGTTTTAGACGCATGCATGACATCATACACTATGACCTGCATGCTTCGATTCTCGAGTGCTGGCACCTTGAAGCACAGTCGAGAGAGCCAGTTGAATGGCAAACATTAGAGAAGTCAATTAACATGCTGTTTGAGCATGTTGAATGTCAACAATGAATTCTCATGAGCATTGACAAAAATTAAATAACCCTACATAAACTCAGTATCATCACACTGAGTGTGTCACTCACACAAGTCAGTCCGAATTGAGTGATAACAGGTGAAATCAACAGAGGCAAACATTGCACCACCTGCAAGTTTTGCCAGGAGTGTGTAGTGACCTGTTAGCATTCTGAAATAGATTGGCTCTCTATGTTTCAGCAACCATGTTACCATTCAACTGACATTATTTAGTAAAGGTAGGACCTGGTGAACTCTCTCACAAAGGTACGAGCTGAGTATTTTCCTTGTATTGTCCCAAATACTTGTACCTGACGCATCAATGTATCACTCGCACCCAGGACGTTCTCCTTCCCTTCCCGACCATCTCCCACAATGACATTTCTCTCCTTCCTCAACTATGTAAGGAAGCCTATGGCTTTGGTGCTGGATGCTTGCTCAGACCTACACTTCAACCATTGCAACACAGTAACTTTATTCCTTCATATCTCACTTCCCTCCACCTGTGTCCATGCCTCAGAACATTCACTCCGAGACCTACTCACTTCTCATTGACACTTATCTCAAGGATTCTGCCCAGTGCGAATATCTCTTTGACACCATGCACACTTCTTCACATCTCACTTCCCTCTACCTGTGTCCATGCCTCAGAACATTCACTCCGAGACCTAATCACTTCTCATTGACACTTATATCAAGGTCAGTAGCCTCTTCTGCAATATAAATTGCTTATCACCTGTAATGTTGTAGCTGTTGAGTCATGTCAGATCTTATTGTGTAGCACTAATTTTTACATCATATGAGAGTGTGTATGCAAACGAGCAACTGTGTGTTCTGTGTGTGTGTGTGTGTGTCATCTCTGTGTGTGTGTGTGTGTGTGTCATCTCTGTGTGTGTGTGAGTTTTGTGTGAATAGAATTTTTGAACAGATCCAGTGCCATATGCAACAGATCCACTGAGTGTCATACATCTCTGCCACTCCTTTCACCTTTCAACCACCTGTCGATCAATCTGCAATGTGGGGGGCTACTGTGATTCTGTTTGTCTTCTCCTACCACTCATTCTGTTCACCATCCAGCTCATCCTCAAACCTTATCATTTTCCTTCATTGCACCATCATACCCGGCTGGTAGCTAGGCTGACTATAATGAGAGCATTACTTGGTATGTCCCTCCCTCCCTCTGTTCCATCCCATTGTCTGATTATTCTTAGCCTTTTTCACTGTCTGCAATGACATGAGCACGCTTTCCATCACACATATGTGCATCCTGCTCACTTGTGTTGTCCAACAGAACATTCCCTTACTTCCTCAACACCCAGCTCATCCATGCTTAATGTCTCTCAGAGCACGCCACTGCATCCTCGAATTCTAATTCTACCTTTGGTGCTCCTGTTTCTGCATTGGCGCCTCTGTCTGTCCTTCCTGCATACATTGTTCATGCTCATTTTCATGTTCTACATACACGCCTTATTTCTGCATCTACTCAACTGGCATTCCCCTTCGAACTCACTAGCAGCCTTACAACATTGACCCTTGGAAACATGGGTCAGGGTGAAGTGCTTTTTCACTGCCTAAAGCCTCCTCCAACTCATCACATAACAACAATGAATTTTCAGCAGTGAGTGTAAAGACTGCTGCAACAACTGACTCGCTCTCTACACCTGCCTTGCCTGTGTCTGCTGTGATATCCCTCACATCCCCCATGACTGCATCCCCAAGTACATCTACTATGCCTCTGCTCACTACCCAAATATGTCTACACATGCTTCGCTGTGCTGCGCATAGGATCTTGTTTGGGAGTTTGAGGGTCATGAGTCCTGTTTTATCTGGCTTTTATTGACTTGACCTATGCATCTACAGCGTATCTCCTGTATGTAAAGCCCTCGTACTTTTGTTGATCCTGATTGAATTTACTACCCTTTTATTGATCAATGCCTACAAAACCTGAATGTCCCTACTCGACAAAGCCTATTGAAAGTCTTCCATCTTTCTCTTCAAGCTCTTCATCAATGCATTCCTGGATAAACTCAGACATGGCCCTACAACTATCTCCCACAACAACCATTTTTCTCCCATCTCCCAGTGCACCAGCAAGTGTGCTGAATGATGATATTATAATTGGGCATTTGGAACTTGCACCATCAGCTATTGAAGGTGGTGCTGCCTTTGGTGGCCAATAGTCTTTGATGCTCACACCAAAAACAAATGCTGTGGTCAACAAATTATATGTGCTGAGCTGCACTACAGTAGGTGGCCTATGTAAGGTCGAAAAGTGGGCAGCATTGTTTGAACTGATGATATTTGTAGCCTTGTGGTGATCATATTTGATGTTGGGTGCTACTGGAGCTACTGGAGTTGTGTTTGACTGGGGTACAGCTGGTCAATGAGGGCGAGAGGGTACTATAGCATTGCTTGGTGGATTTGAAGTATTTTCTGTTTTAATGCAGTGGCGCTGCACTGTGACTGATAAATTTTGTTTGACTTAGGTCATTGTCAATTTAATAGCACAAACCTTGATGACTAATGCATCTTGTTGCACAGTGAATGTGTGTGGCCTTGTGGTTGCATGTTGCAATACCAAAGCTTGTGTGCTTGTCAATGCTCATCATTGTGCCTTGGTCAAACCTCATTCCTTTCATGAGACTGGCAAGCAGTGTTAGATGAACACCTTCATGATAGGCATTGCAGTGTGCTTGCTCGTTTCCATTTGTCATCGCTGGGGAAGCCCTCCACAAATGCAGTGGAATGAGGCTGGATGGCTGGTAGATTGCAGGGAGTGCAAACTTCATGCTGTCAAGCTTATCTCTGAGCCAGGCTGTTGATGAACAAGTTAGCAATGTTGGCAAAAATGTACAGCATGATTTCTACCTGAGGCTTTTGATCCTCCATTCCAAATGATATTCAATGTTGCATTAAGGTCTAGGTGGTGTTCCGATGTGGTTAAACTTAACATTGCAGAAAAAACATCCTGTGACACATGTGTGCGCAGTGAGAGAATATTTCTCTTGTAGTGTGCCACACAAATATGAAAAAAACACCATAAATGATCATATGGATTGAGATCACAGATGCGGCAGTGTGGTTCATAGATACATTGTGCAGTGACTGAATGACATAGTTGCACACAGTACATCCCAAGGCCTGCATCATGAATAACTGTTATTCATATAGATAGTATGAAGATGTCAGTTGTACATACCAAGACCTTGCCCTTTATAGCTGTCAGCAATGACAGTCTTGAAGCCAGTGCCATGAATATGGTGGAACATAATAGGCAAGCCTGTATCAGCACTCGCAATCTTGAAGATGCACTGGAAAAGGATAACATGGGCTTTTGCAGTCTGTGATGTTGTGAAAGCTTGAGCACCAACAACAGCTAAGTAGTGAGATGAACATGTATTGCCACAATAGAGACAACTTCAATAACTTACATCACATATGGTCAACATCCCATGATTCAATTTCAAATTCCTGCCAGCCTTGTGCATGTTTGAAGGATGTGTCTATGGATAGACATTTTGCTTGTAAGAGGTGTTGCAACATCTTCGTTGTCATACATATGACCAGTTTGAGCTCTTTCCCACGCTCGATGGGATGCACCTCAGCACAACAAACATAATGTTGTTCAGGAGGGAGGCTTGCATGTTCATTTGCAAGCAAACAAGCACCTATGATCGAAATGCTTCAGAATATGGACTGTAAGCAAATAAGAAGAATCAGATGACATACCTTCAAAGCCAGTACCACTTGGGTACTTTTTGTTCCAAAGTGTGGTGATGAGATGCTGAACATGGTCTAAGTTGGCCAAGGATGGATGAAGGTCCTGGAGTATTGCATCTCAACCACACAATGTCAGGTCCCATGCAAGTGCATGATGAAGCCCTTCTACAAATGCGGTGTCCAGGAAAATCTGTCTTGGTGTTGCATCAGCAAGTTTCCATTTCATCAGTGCTAACAATCCATGGACCACATTGACAAGTCCTGGTGGAGTTTTGACAGGTGCAGGTGGTGGGTGCAAATGAGGGTTTCGACAGACAATAAGAATGTGTGGGCATGCATGTAGGTCATGCAGAGTGAAAATGTCATACTTTGCACTACAGTTATGCCCCCATTTTTGGAGTGTACCCTGCTTGAGTTTCCCATCTGGCTGACAATGCCAGTGAGCTAAAAATTAAGTGACAACCATCAATATCTTACAGTTGATCATCCACCAAAGAAAAATGACTTACGACAAAGCTGCCTTTGTGATGAAGGACTTGTGACATAGTTGCATGGAATGAGGGGTCCATATCCTCAAGATTTGGTGAGATCTTCATGTTCCATAATGATATGCCTGTCATCTTTGAGTAAGGTTTGGAAATACTGAGTGTCGCACTCTTGAATGTTTCAGATAAGTAAATGACCACAGCTGTGTTGTGAGCATGCATTGCAACTACAAAAAAAGTCAGTCATTGATATTAGTATTGTCTGAGTCTTTGAGCCGAGTGCTAGAAACAACTTGCCGGATGTAAGGTTGATTAAATTTGTCAAACTCCATGACAAGCTTCTGTTGACACTGAGATATTTACTGGTTGTCAACTCAAAGGTGAGCACTCATAATCAAGGTCAGAGTTGAGTGTAGCTTTGTCAAGATACTGATCAGGTGTGAGGCCATCCTCAGTATCATCAGCAGTATCATTGGTGATATCTGTCACATCATGATTCTCAGAAGTGTCAGAGTTGAGCTCAGCATCAAATGTGCACCCATGTTGGTTAAGAGCAACAAAAAAAGCGAAAGTCTTCTGAAAAACCTCCTTCTCAGCATTGTTTACAGATTTCGCTGCAGTAGTGGTAGCAATAATCAAAGAAGAGACCTCTAAAATATTGGTGAAATGATGAGTTGTTGTGTCGTGTGGTCGTGCAGAGCAAATTTTGAGCCCTTTGCCTGGGCATGCATTAGATATAGTGCAGTAGAGTGAGAATGATGCTTACAATATGTCTTGAGGTTAGAACAGGATACTGGTTGTCCTTGACCATCTCGCAGCATGAGACATTTAGACACATCACAACCTCCATGTACATCACCCAACGAGTATTGAAAATTGGCCTTGGGGTGCTGAGAACTGTGAAAGGTAGAGGGATTGATGTTGAAGATATGTGCAATTGACTGATCAGGAGCATCACCGGTTTGAGGATATTCCACAATAGCACCAAGAGGATGCTCGATAGATGCATGTGCAGTACTTTTTCGAGTGAAATGGTGACATTTGTGCAGCCAATCATCTGGAATGAAAGGTTGGGCTGCAGGCGGGTTGTAGCAAGCACCAAGAACAGTCAAGCAAGGGCTGGTGGAAGATGAGGGAGGTGAGCTAAGGCTGGAAGAACTTTGAGTGGATTGTTCCAAGATACTGGGTGTTGGAGAGTGACTCAGAGATGGTAGTGGCAACGTGGAATCAAGGTCATGTGGAGAAAGACCAACATTATCTAGAAGTATTTGAGCACTCTGAAGAGCAGAGCATTGCAAGTCAGTGAGATGTGCCATGAAAGTGAACTTGAAACATACCTGCTGGCACAGATGTTAATATATACCCATGACAGTAAACTGTAGATGATGCTGCAAGTGTCCACCAATGTGATTAACTTTGAGTATGTTAGACTTTACCATTCAGTGAGCTGTTGTGCACCACTGAAGGTTCAACAGCTCTGCTAGGCTGCAGAGCAAAAGAAAGAAAGAGGGGCTCTTACTCTGGTGGTGAGAGGAAGGCCTACAGACTCTCTAGATGTTGGTTGAAGTGTGCTGAGCGATATGTTCAACCCTTAGGGGAAGCAAAGAAAGCAAGGATCCACTGGGTGACTCCAGGTCAACTCTGGTGATGTGCTGAAAGTGTGCGGGCATGGGAATATGGAGCACATAGGAGCGCGAAGCATGGGAATAAGGTGTGTGCTGTGTGTGGACATATAATAGACTGGTAGAAGGCATGAAGGTGTGAACTAAGACTACTGAGTGATGACTGGTGATGATGATGGACTGCTGATGGGGACTAGGGCGATGACTAAAGCATGCTAACTCATGATGATAAATTCTGACTACTAGATGCTAAGTGACATGATGGTGGTTCATGTATCTCTGGTGGTGGTTGGTGTATGAAAACTTCCCAGGCAACAGGTAAGCTGTGCCTAGGTGTGCTCCCAGGGCTTGGAAGCAAATAGGGAGTGCTCTATGTATGTAAGTGAGGTAAATAAGGGTCCATGACAAAATATAGTGCCATATAATGCTAAATATGGTCTAATAATGAAAATAGATGAAAGGGACTCACTAGGGAACTGGTTGGACGATGAATGGATGCTCCAGGATGCTGCGCAACAAAGTGTGACTGAGTGTGGGAAGAGCGCGCTAAGCGCGTGTGTGGGAATGCGTCGTGTAGTGTGGGAAAGTGTCGCGCCTCTGGTGTGTTTTGTGGGACAGTTATAGACAGTGAGTGATGTGCTGTACCAATTGTTGTGAGTTGAAATATGCACAATATATGCCTGGGGGAATCTCATTCCTTACACCACAATGCTTTGATAATTACCATAAGCAGTAACTTGAATGTGCTGTGCTTCTTTACTCACCTCCACCACTGCAACACATATGGTTGTCAGTGAGATAACACTCAGTGTCTCAGACTGGTTTATTTTCTTGGTTTCTAGCTGGTGTCACTACTCATCTCACAGCATGCTCTAATCAATCATGGACACCAACAAATTCAATCACAGACACCAACAAATTCAATCACAGACACCAACAAATTCAATCAAGGGTCTTTTCTAGGGCCTTTCGTTTTATCAGAGCCATTCGGATTGTGAGAGGGAACAGTAATGTCAGGGATCATGCTGTCACTGGTACACTGCTAGCCCTAGATTGTTTTCTTTCCAAGTCACAACCAGGAGAACTCATTCAATTTACAATCATTCAGCCATCAAGTTTTTGTCATGTCTACATCCTGAGTCAGGGTTCCTGTCTTTGCAAAGGATGGAATCGCACTGTCACTATAGAGATTTTGGATGGTGCAAATTTTCAGGTGTGTCACATTCTCTTGTCCACTAGTCTTTGAGTTCTCCGTCCTAATATTCATCCTTATCAACCCTTGCAGAAGGATTGAGGTTTCAAATGTCACCGATTTATGAGTTCTCTGTCCCAATAATCAAGTTCTCCATCCCAATCATTGAGTTCTCTGTCCCAATATTCATCCCTACCAACCCTTGAAGGACTCAGAGGATCAAAGCTTCGAATGTCACTGTTTTATGAGTTCTCCGTCCCAAAATTCATCCTTACTAACCCTTGCAGGAGGATCAAAGTTTCAAACACCACCCAGAACCAAGATAAAAGCTGGACACATTCATTCACCCTCCTTGCCTCATCTGCACTACCCAACTTGAACCAATCATGCCTGTCTATCCCAAGATTTTTGAGGTGTCCATTGGACTTCAATGTGCCAGCACAGAACTCTCAATTTTCTGTCATGAAGCTGGAAGCACTGTCAAGATTGCCTAGTAAGTCATACTGTATGCTGAATGTTAATTTTACTGACTCAATATAGTCCTATCTGTAGGTATACAGTGGTGCGTGTTGTCCCTAATGGGCTTCAAGCATGGTGTGTGTGCTGCAATGTCATCTGGGAGTGTTTTTGCACTCTTGTGACAGATGAGCATGTTCCCATTGTAAGGAATGAGATTCCTCCAGGCTTATATCGCGCATATTACAACTCATGATGATTGGTATAGTGTGCAACTCACTATCTATGACTTTCCCACAAAATGCGCCAGAGGCGCGACGCTTTCCCACACTATGTGATGCATTCCCACGCACGCGCTTAGCGCGCTCTTCCTGCACTCAGTCGCACTTTGTCATGCAGCATCCTGGAGCATCTATCCATTGTCCAACCAGTTCCCTAGTGAGTCCCTTCTCATTTATTCTTGCTATCAGACCATATTTAGTATCTGTATGACATTATTTCATTATGGACCCTTCCTTACATCACTTACATACACAGAGCACTCCCTATTCACTTCTGAGCCCTGGGAGTGTGCCTAGGCACAGCTTACCTGTGGCCTAGGAAGTTTTCATACACCAACCACCACAAAAGACACCTACTGTTACAGTATGTACACCCCTATTTCATTTTCCTCTTCTTACTATGTATTATATCATGAGCTGCATGATGCCACCGCTAGACTTATCTCTGACTCATATGTTGTATTACATCACAACTGCAGTCACCATTGCTAGATGACCTATTCTTGCTATCACTTACACGTTTCTTATCTCTGACTCGCTTTGTTCTCACACTTGCCCTAAAGCACAGTAGCCCACTATAAATAGTCCTCCTGTATGCTTTAGTTACTTCACTTTAATCTTACTAGGTTTTACCCAAATAACTCTTTCACTTAGGACCTCCAATCCTAAGTCATCTAAGATAGATATTCAATGCAGAGACACTCTCTTTGCTTTGTCTTATGACCTTTACATTTGTAAAGTCTTGATTCAACTTCAGTTGTCACTTTTATCGAGCTACTGTCGTTGCGACTATCCTAGTTCATAACAAAAGATTAAAGTGCAACACCGACCCTCTCCATCCAGGAGGTCCCAGAAACCAGAACCAGGCAGAGAGAGACACAACATCCCCTGCAAACAGAAACATCACTAGACCAGAAGATCAGGATGTCAGCACCTACCAACACCTCAGAACTTAAAGCCGGAGCACCAACATCTTACGACAGAACTCCCCAGCAGGCTTTACAATGGTTGTACTCAATTAAGGCATACTTTGCCCTTAATGCTACAATCTATAACACCAACAAAAAGAAAGTCATCACTGCACTTGCGTATATGACAGAAGATAGTGCCATGGGTTGGGCGCTCACCTTTTACACTGAGGTAGACAACTCCGTCTCCAAATCTTACAGAACTTTCGCAAATTTCAAGACAAAGTTCAAAGAAGCCTTCATACCAGCCAATGCCATTGGCACAGCTATGAATAAGCTCCATACTCTGAAGCAGACTGGCGATCTCACTTCCTACATCGCTAGTTTCAAGACCCTTGCTGCACAAGCCTCTGTAAAGCAAGACACCATCTTGATTACATTCTTCAACGATGGGCTCAAGAAGGGGATCAGTAATGCCATCTACCAGATGGAAACTGTCCCCATAGATTTTGATAAGTATGTCGCTGCAGCCATTAGGCTCAACAGCAACTGGCAAAGAGGTGCCATGTTCTGTCAGAACAATTGCACCACTACCAAGCCAACCAGACAGCGATATGTACCCAGACCCTCCATCAATCAGCATGATCCAAATGCCATGGAAGTGGATCGGCTTACTGAAGCTGAAAGAAGTGATCACATGAAGAAAGGGTTGTGCTTCACATGCCACCAGAAGGGACACATGACTAGAGCCTGTCCTCAGAAGAAGAATGGAGGAACCCCGGTCCATCACGAAGAAATTGAAGATAGCGACAAAGAGGATGAAGATACAACAATCCATCACCTTGCCGAGGATTTTTGATGTGGAAGACTGGATCGACATCAGTATCTTCTGATGTACCCATTAGACTTGTATGAAGTATTGGAATAAGAAAGGAACTGCGCATTCCCATTTCCCTTATCTCTAAAACTCGTCTAAAAACCATCAAAACAACAGCCATTGTTGACTCCAGTGCCGCCAGAACATTTATCTCTGAGGACTTTGTCAAACTTCATGGTATCAGAATGCATAAACTCACAAAACCATTCCAAGTCACTACTGTGGATGGAAGTTATGTGAAGGGGGGTGCTATCACCCAATATTGTGTCCTCATCGTAAAAATTGATGAATGATCCATGATTGGAAAGTTTAATATCACATGGCTTGGCCATCGTGATCAGATTTTACTCAGGATTCCCTGGCTACGTGCTATGGACCCAGTAATCAGATGGAAAGCAGAAATGCTGAAGCTCCCTCGAAGTGAAAAGAGCGACCTAATCGAAGAGGAAGTCGATAATGAATGGAAAAAGAATGGTCTCCCACCTCTTTTCTGAAAGACCAATCAAGAGTCAAAACCAAATCCAGTTGTAGTGCTGCCGAAGGTGCCTCCTGAGAAATCGGTCACAACCACATTACCCAGAGAACCGATACCTCATGCTACCATTGAAGAAATCCTAGACAAGGAAGAACCCCAAGCATTACCACACCTTGACCCTATCCCTGATGACGATGACAACTCTTTTAACACCAAAGAAGACATATGGACTTCGGACTATGCTCCACCTGTGCATGAACTCGCCACATATCATCTCGACAACGATGAATTTTTGGTTGAATACCCCGCCGATGCTACTGAGCTCCAGGTTATCACCAATATCTCCTTGGACACTCTGTTAACCAAAGATGGTACTAGTATTGCAGAACAAAAACCCATGGTTACACCCCTGTCATGGCCAACAGAATATGTCAAAACCAGTAACAAAGCACAGCAGTTTGCTTTAGCAGCCAGACTTGAACAAAAGAAGAAATCATTTGAAGAA